AAGTTGATATACCAAAAATCACCTATACAGGGTGTCCCAGAAGTCGACGTCAAGCCGAAACCGGGTGATAGGCAAAGTCATAACAGCTATCAGAAAAATATTTAAAATAATTTTATGTATGTGTTTTGAAAATTATAGGTCTTTGAAAAAAATATAGAAATTTCACACCCTACGGCAGTCTGTCAACTCCTGTTACTACAAATATTAACTTTTTTTGGATTTTATTTTTACAATGTAATGATGAGTAATGCATCTTCAAACTGGTGTCTCAACCTTACTGCCAACTTTTCTCGTTCAGGAAAAATTGCCACTTATTTCCCAACCAAGTATTCCAAAGTAAAACTTTGCTCAACTTTAACTGGCTGTACTGGAAAAAAATGTACTACGAGAGTTTGGCAAGTAACCTTAAAAGTTGGCGCATTTAATAACGGTTAGAAAATGGTATAACACTTAGAAGATTACCCGTTAACTTATGCCCAATTTTTATTTGAAAAAAAACTGATGAAAATTTTTCAAAATTTCCTAATTAAACAGCGATTATAAAAACGCACAAGGACCCTTAAGGATAACTGTTTGCACAACAGTGGGCGTCAAAATGCTGCTGATGATGATTTACCTTTACAGCAAATGCTCAAACTGTTTTCCTTCAGCCGCAATACACGCTCGACATCTTCTTAAAAAAAATCGGGTTATTAAACGAGCGAATCCACGGTTATTAACAAACTCAGCTGCTTCCAATAGTCTTTGCCGTAGCTCAGCTACATTTTGAATCGGCTTGAAATACACTTTTTCTTTTACATTTCCCCAGTAAAAAAATCAAAGGATTCAAATCAGGTGATCGGGCTGGCCACGGTATTGTACCAGACCGCCTTATCCATCTGCCTGGAAAGTTTAGATCGAGATACTCTCTCACTGAGAGTGCATAGTGCGCTGGGCAGCCATCATGCTGAAACCACATATCCCTGTAAATACTCAGTGGCACGTCCACCAATAAATTTTGTACATTATTTTTCAAAAAATCCAAATAAACTTCAGCAGTCAAAGTCTCTGGGAACTCAAACGGACCGATTATTTTACCATTTAAAATTCCTGTCCAATGGTTTATCTTGAAGCGATATTGAGATTTATCTTCTCTCATCAAATGTGGGTTTGCTACGTGCCACTCGTGTAAGTTATGCAGGTTCATGTACCCGTCTTTCTTAAATGTGGTCTCATCCGACCATAACATTTTTTCAAAGAACTGTGGATCTTTCCTGTGTCTTTCTAACATTGTGCGACAAAAAGCAACTCGGGGCTCATAATCCCGGGGCAGGAGAGGGTGAACACGCTGTATGTGGTATGGATGAAGCACATCACTTACTTGCTATTGCACACTTTGATACCGATCAGTACTCCTTCGTTTACTGCGCTTCTTTACATGTTCGTGCTTGTTGATTTCGTACTGTTACTAATTTTGGATTCGTGAACTGGACTGTTGATCGCTTGTGATTTGGATTTGGACTGTTTAATTGCTCTTCAAAACAACATTTGCTTTCCTTAGACTATCTTTGATAGTGTGATTGTGCAGTGCCGCTATGTCCGTGTACACCGTACAAGAATATGCTAACATGCACCTCATTTATGGGGAATACAGATGCAACGCTAGTGCTGCAGCGAGACTTTACTGTGAGAGGTACCCGAATGCAGCTCGTCATCCAGATCATCGAGTGTTCACAAATGTGCACCGCTTACTGTTCTCAGAGGGCCAACTACCAAACCAATCGCACGGTGAGGGAAGATCTTTCCTTCCTTACGAAGACGTGGTGCTAGGAGCTGTCGAAGAAGACCCGAGTACTTCAGTGCGTGCAATAGAACTAAAAACAGGTGTGCCCAAAAGAACAGCCCATAGAATCTTGCAAAAAAACGTGCTCCATCCATACCACGTACAGCGTGTTCAAGCTCTTCTGCCCCGGGATTATGAGCCCCGAGTTGCTTTTTGTCGCACAATGTTAGAAAGACACAGGGAAGATCCACGGTTCTTTGAAAAAAATGTATGGTCAGATGAGACCACATTTAAGAAAGATGGGTACATGAACCTGCATAACTTACACGAGTGGCACGTAGCAAACCCACGTTTGATGAGAGAAGATAAATCTCAATGTCGCTTCAAGATAAACCATTGGACAGGAATTTTAAATGGTACAATAATCGGTCCGTTTGAGTTCCCAGAGACTTTGACTGCTGAGGTTAATTTAGGTTTTTTGCAAAATCATTTAGAAAATTTATTGGAGGACGTGCCACTAAGTATTTACAGGGACATGTGGTTTCAGCATGATGGCTGCCCAACGCACTATGCACTCTCAGTGAGAGAGTATCTCGATCAAAACTTTCCAGGCAGATGGATAGGGCGGTCTGGTACAATACCGTGGCCAGCCCGGTGACCAGATTTGAATCCGTTAGATTTTTTTTACTGGGGAACTGTAAAAGAAAAAGTGTATTTCAAGCCGATTCAAAATGTAGCTGAGCTACGGCAAAGACTATTGGAAGCAGCTGAGTTTGTTAATAACCGTGGATTCGCTCGTTTAATAACCCGATCTTTTTTAAGAAGATGTCGAGCGTGTATTGCGGCTGAAGGAAAACAGTTTGAGCATTTGCTGTAAAGGTAAATCATCATCAGCAGCATTTTGACGCCCACTGTTGTGCAAACAGTTATCCTTAAGGGTCCTTGTGCGTTTTCATAATCGCTGTTTAATTAGGAAATTTTGAAAAATTTTCATCAGTTTTTCTTCAAATAAATATTGTGCATAAGTTAACGAGTAATCTTCTAAGTGTTATACCATTTTGGAATCCTTATTAAATGCGCCAACTTTTAAGGTTACTTGCCAAACTCTCGTAGTACATTTTTTTCCAGTACAGCCAGTTAAAGTTGAGCAAAGTTTTACTTTGGAATACTTGGTTGGGAAATAAGTGGCAATTTTTCCTGAACGAGAAAAGTTGGCAGTAAGGTTGAGACACCAGTTTGAAGATGCATTATTCATCATTACATTGTAAAAATAAAATCCAAAAAGTTAATATTTGTAGTAACAGGAGTTGACAGACTGCCGTAGGGTGTGAAAGACCTATAATTTTCAAAACACATACATAAATTTTTTTTAAATATTTTTCTGATAGCTGTTATGACTTTGCCTATCACCCGGTTTCGGCTTGACGTCGAATTCTGGGACACCCTGTATAAAAGATGTATAATAAGAGAGCTAAAATTATTTGCAAAAATCATTATCAAGTTAAATGGATACCATTTTTACACAAACTGTTCAAAATTGTCCTCATTTGTTCGATTAACGCGAAATATTGCTCGGCGAGTCCAGGACTCTTCGAAAATAAAATCCTGGTGTCCACGAATTAAATCACAAGCATTTTCAGTGCGCTGTTTAAGTATTTACGGCTCCACAAACTCTGTCAAATAGCCCTACAGCAAAAAAAAATAGCAATACGTTAGATCCGGGGAGCGAGCAGGCCAAGAAATTGGTCCATTGCACCCTATCCATCTATTCAGAAACTCATGAACTTCTCGTCTAAAATGTGGTGGAGCTCCATCATGTAGGAACTACATATTCTGTCTCACATTTAGAGGAACATCTTATAATTGTGGTAGATTGTATCGAAGAAAATCTAAATAAATTTCAGTCGAGATGGACAAATGTAGGGTCCAATAAGCATGCCATTTACCAAGCCAGCCCAAACATTTAATGAAAATCTATATCGAAAATGAGTTCTTTTTCCAGCTTGTGGATTTTCTACTGTTCAAACATGATTGTTAGGAAATTGTGCACTCCATTTCGTGTAAATGTGGCATCGTCTGTACACAAAATTAATTTCGTAAAATCTTGATAATGATAAGGATAATACTGTTCTTATCGTATTGTCTTCCACACTTTACTAAGAGAGACTTGAGCTGCTATGGCTCCAGTACTTATTGTTGGGTGTTCTTCGACCATTTCTAAAATGTCTTCCTCAATTTGTAACATTTTAGGTTGAGCACGTCTTCCAGCGTGACCTCCTTGTTGTTCTTTTAAATATACCGTGCCACGAAGTCTAATAACTAAATTTACAAACATCCGGGGGGCCGGGTGATTTCTTAAAGGAAACCTTTCCGCATACAGCCTACATGCTGCGGCTGCATTTTGTTGGCACTCTCCGTATGTAAGTATTATGTCCAGTAGTTCATTAGTTTCGTAAACTTCGGCCATTTTTTCGCACAAAATAATCAGACAAATGAAAGTATAATGCACTATTAAAAGACTGATGCGACTAATCGAACCAAAAGCTAATACTGAAAACCATACAATAACACAAATTTAGATAAACGATAAGAGTAGTAAACAAAAAACGCTAAGATTTTACACGGCAGTCGACGAGAATATCGAAAAATCTGTGTAATAACATTCTTGTTTTTTAAATTTTTAATCTTTCACTATTTCTGTTATTATGCATCTTTTATATAGGTGATTTTTTTATATCAACACCTTTTGACGACTCCTACAAGCAGTTAAAATAAATGGCTCAACTTTGAACACACCCTGTATACGAGTATATAATAAGAAACCAAACAAGAACAAATTTTCCGCACGATGTCGATCCGGAACATATCTAAACTCATACCTTTAACTTTCCGGTAAAAATACAGAAATTGGCGCTCCGGTCTGGAGTACCTCATCCCTTATAAGAATCCTGTGCACCCATCATAAAAAACAAAACTACTATTTTCTATCATATTAGAGTCAAATAAACATTTAGGTAGAATATGAGACATACGCCATAAAGTAATAAAACCTCTCCAGCTCATGTTGCTGAGGCAAGTTTCAAATGCCGATTCTTGAAGCATGGTTAATAATTAGACCATTACATATTTTGTTATATTACAACAACTTATTTCAACAAATATTATTCTTAGTTCCATCATGGACGTAATCATACCTCGTAAGGCTCAATAATTATTTGCTATATATTTTTTGTCACAGGGGGCTACAAAGCTTACAAAGGATGATATAGAAAGGGTTTTTGCATTATACGACAGGGTAAGTTATAAAAAATATCAACTGTATTGTACCTCAACAGTAGCCAGTAATTCTTCATCTTTGCTGCAGTGCTATAATGCATCCTACCAGAAAAATGTATATAACTAATTTTCCCTGCTTCCAACCAAACATATCGTCGGTCTCCGCACGTACAAGCGTAAATGACGAATAATCTAAAATCGACTTACGCCGTAATTTCACAGATTTTTTTGTAGTCTCTTACTTCACGAAGTGACGTAGCTGTATATCAGTTCGCTGTTAAGAATTAAAATTTTCAGAAAATTTCCTAAGTTATAAAATTGCGAAAACAATTTTCACGTACCGGCTTAAATAGATTTACGCCTCTGCGTTAAAACTGGTTCTATCATTTTAGTCTAACAAAAAAAACCGCAACGTTCAGACTAAAAAATCAGTGTCATTTTCAATCTCATTTATTGCTGATTTTCGTTTTCTAGCTCTCCTGTAAAATTTGTAAAATGTTAGTTACGCCGGTACGTGCGGAGACCGACGATATATGTGATTACATGCCGATTTTCGGGTTTTCATGAGAAAAGTCTCAAGTCGATGTTTCTATGTCACAGTATATTATTGTATGTTTACACAATTAAACTTGACCTTTCATCTTGGCAGCATAAACATAAGTATATCTACACTGAAAGCTAAATCCATTGACGTCATAATATGTACGAGAGACAAGCGTGCAATACGCGTGTTAGGCCCGTATCGTCAGTCATCCCTACAATTGTAGGGCGCGTTTATGGCCTCCTTGATTGTCATACTGCTTTCTCTCCTTCAAAAATTTCTAGATTAGACTTGTCCCGTGTCAGCATCAGCGCTCTCTTATTGTGAAGATATGTTTTCTTTTTAGATTGTAGGAAATTTCAGGCTGATAAAACATGATATAAGTCAAAAGCAAGCACAATTTGATGCAAATAGATGTTTGTGACATAACCTCAAAATAGAGCGCTGACACGGAGAAGTAGAAAACTATGACAATCAAGGAGGCCATAAACGCGCCCTACAATTGTAGGGACGACTGATGATACGGGCCTAAGAAAGAGATAGAAGCACTCCGTTGCCTAGCAACCCGAGTGACGGACGCCATCGTTGCACTTTTTCTAACACACATGTTGGACGCTTTTCTCTCGTACACATACACAAATATAGTAATATTTTTCAGGATAATAATGGTACAATCGAAAATGAAGAACTAAGAGGATTTCTTAAAGATCTTCTGGAACTTGTTAAGAAGGTAAGAAGTTGCTTTGGTGTTTCCAATTGTATAGGTTTCAACTATTATGATCAAACACTGCGATCACAGACATTGTGCCCGAATGCTAACATGAATATGTTCGGATACAAGAAATAAAATAACAAAAAAATGATATACTTTTTACGAAAACACAATCTTGAGCAACCAAACGTATGGAGCTTTTAGCTAAGCTACATCTTGAACAGATCAAGTATGTGCATCGACTTAGTACTTCCACGCATCAATATTTTCTTAGTATCGTCATGATCGCAGCTTGAAAATATTGAGATCCTGGTAGACTAGAATTTTTTGAACTTTCAAATTTTTTATTCGCTGGCGAGGAAGTATTGTAATCGTGAAAAATTTCGGAAATGAGATATTATGTTTTTTGGATGTTATAACATATAGCAGGTACATCATGAAAAACCATGTCACTCATTTCCGTCGGTCTGTCGATCTGTTCGCTAATCTTGGGACCGCTTATAACTTTGAAAGTACTGCTCGGAGACGAAAAAACTGTATAGTTTTTGAAATTTTGCCCGCCCAGTGGTAGCAGCAAAAATAAAATTCGCTCAAACCTCATTTCTTACGTTTCAGATGCTCCTTTTCAGAAAAAAAAATTGTAGCGGTTGAAAATTCGAGGTCGGGGGTTGTAGGGGGAGGGCGAAGGTATATCTCATTTTTTATCATTCAGTACATATTGCTCACATCAAAGGTTTCCAGAGTATATTTGCCATTATAACTTTATAGACAAGACACGCGGCAGTCGGGACGATGTAATGCAACGGCGACTTCCATACACCAAACCCTGCCTTGCGTCTGACAGCATCACCGGCAAGAGTGTTATGTTATAATATCGTGGCTGGTACTTATGACAAGTTTGACCGATGTGGTCAACAGCGCTGCCAGATGGTCGGCAGGAAAGAAACCAGGCGTTACCGTTATCAATAAATTGGATGGGAACATATTTGTTGCTAGCTCAAAGGGACTAAATTGGATCGAACATAATCCTTTATGAGCTGATGACAGCGTTGCTTGGAAAGTGCACTTGACACCATTTTTTTTTAATCACGGACTCAACTAATATACAGAACCTTCTGCATATAGCTATGGTTGCCTCTACCAACCTAGCTTCGAATAGATAGATCACCCGTCGCATTCGTCAAATCTGGTCGGTTATATTGTACGCTTTCTTTACAAATATTTTTTTTTCAGGACTACGATGCTCAAGATCTCCTGGACTTCGAAGAAACCATACTGCGAGGTGTGGCATACAATCACGACGGCAAGATCAACAAGAAAGAACTCACCATGATCCTACTGGCAATCGCAAAGCACAATCAGGAAGAGGATCCCTCTACCACTGCTTCGTAAATATATCAACGTTTATCTACTGTAGTACTTCTCTTTGTCCATGATACAGTTTAATTAAGGGCTATTTAAGTATCGTTGTAAATGATAATGTACTGATTTGTTACATATTTGACGTATATTTTATAAGAACAAAGAGTTAAATGATTCAAATTCGAAATTTTTTTACTCCTTAGCATTCGTGCTATTGGATAGACAGAAAAACCGTAATTCATTATAAAAAACGGCACATGGTAGAATTGAATATTTCAGTCCCCCAGAAAAAAAAAACTGCAAAAAGTAAAATCGTAAATACAACTGGTTTCAGGCATTCAAACCGAATGCAGATTTTTTAATGTACAAATGCGAAAAATGCGCGTTCAAAAAATTGCATTCAGTTATTTAGTACCTATATTCGATGATTTTGTTTATTAAAATACACTTTTCTTGAATTTTCAGTAGAAAAGGAATAGTTCAGTTTATTCTAAATCTATTCATTCGCAAAGTTGAAAATATTTTGTATCTATCTGATCCGTGCGCCCAGAAAAGGAGATAAAAAAATTAGAGCTATATCAGGTGATTTAAACTGTTCTTATATTTTAATGTTGCAAAACTATAATTGTAAATTTGGTTTCTCATTTTTCCAAGATCACAACTATTTCAGCAACATCTTATTTTTAAGGGGACGTGAACTATTTGCCAGCTTCCCAAGTTGTTTCGAATTTGGAAAATTCCTTTTTGATATGAAGGACGTTCTTTTTTGTGCCGTACCGAATAACTGTTAAGTTAGATCTTAAAGAATACACAACATCAACGAAATAATTGCCTACAATGGTAAACCCATGATATTGATAAAAATGATGACGAACAAGTCCGTACATACAAAAAACTTAATTCTGGTCACTTTCATTAACCCAGTGTTCATTTATCTTCCCTAATATTAGTAATATTTCAGTTATCTTTACAAGCTTTCGCGGACTTCAACCTTAATAACATTATAAATAGTCCGACCGAAGATCTATTTTTTGGCCATAGCCGTACAGTTAACATGTGGGATGCATTATAAAAATACAGTGGTAGAATAACGAACTTTTGAAAATTTAAATAATACACTTTGTGATCCAGGAGGAGGGAAAAGATACCGTCAGTTTGAAGTAGAGGAACCTTTTACATTAACATATGTCTTGACAATTTTATAATTCAAATATACGAATAATTCCTGAAATTGTCATTCCTTTCTGACAGCATTTACAGTTGTGGTAGGGAAGACATTGCAATACTTTGTTGAAGAAGACATATACAATAAAAAACTGCATTTGCAATAAGTATACAAAAAAAAAATTATGATAAATGCGATTCCGCACAATAAAGTCAATTTTTAAAACACAGGCCATTTGAATTATTTTATTTTTTGACGATGGAATAAACTGAATGGATAAAGTTGATTCCAACGATAATTATGACGTGAGTTTTTCGCGAACACCAATAATCGAATATGTTTTCCAATGCCGGAACATGGCATACCAACACCACACAGTAAACTGGCTATTTTATCTTCATGTGTCCTTGGCGTCGACTATCACTATCTCGCTCGTATACATTTAATACGGAACCTCAACGATTCTCTGCCAATCCTATATACTCGTATATGTTGACGTTCGTTATCTCTTTTTTATTAATTATCAATCACTGTGAAATGCGTTGGCCAAGATTATTAGCATTTTTTGCTCCTTCAATAAGTGATACGTTCGCAAAAGTTCTCATGAATGCAGATTTTTCGAAACCTTCCGTCTTCGGCCCTCTTTGGCTTAAATCCGAATTTTGATCGAATGGATATTGTTTTGGCCAAATGTGGCTGAAGCCGAAGCTTCGGTCGGACCCTCATTAGAGTTTAGAAACGGGTTATACGGGCGCTAAGAGTGACGATAAATGTGCGAAAGAAGCGCGTATACAGGGTGACTTCGAAGTTGAGTCATTTATTTTAACAGTGAGTAGATCTGATCAAAAGAAATGTATTTTCCTTTAACATTTTTCTGGTAAAATTAAAGAAACAAAGTTATAGCCCTTTAGAAGTTTGAGTACCACCCTCTCTCAATAATAATATTATGTGCTCGTGTTTGGCAACAACGGATGTAATCCGCCTTATCGGTTCATCGCATCGGAAACAAAAAAGCGAGAGAATTTGAAACGCTTATCACGATGTTTTTACTACAATTTTATTCAGTTGTATTCAGTCAATGTGTCAGTCGGTAACGCGTGAGTGAATAGTGGTGTTTGTTGCGTGGCTCAAACGGAATAAAAAATGGCACTAGTTTACGAAAATTCTGAACTTGTGGACATGATTCTTATTTACGGGGGGGAGTCTTTACAAAATGCTGCCGCGGCATCACGGATTTATGCGGATCGGTTTCCCAATCGAGTGCAACCAACCCCTCGTGCCTTTGTTAATGTAGTACAAAGGGCTCGTGAATCAGGTGACTTAAGACCTCACAGGGGAGGGCATGCCGGTGCTGCAAGACCGCACGATCAAATACAGGTCTGCACTGAAATACTTGTCGGGAGGATACTTTATAAAACAAGGTAACATTTTTTTTTATTTTTACACACATATTTTGGTTTATCTTCCTTCTACAATCATTATATGAAAATTAATGACTCAACTTCAAAGTATATTGTATGTTTACGTAGTTGCGATGGAACGACGCGACGTTTGGATAACAAATACGATGACGCTATGGATAGACATATCTACACATTATGTCCTCCAGAGCCGTATTAAGCTCCCAATAATCATTCGACCGTGTCAAATTTGACTCGATCATAAGCAAAAAAAAATATCCTCATATGGACTGAATGGAGCAGTGTATAATGTTACAAAGGCTAAATATTCAGTTACTCCAAAAATGTTAGTGTTCATGTAACATGTCACTTTTATTTACATGTTGATGTATTTTTGACAGTTTCTAAGATATATTATTCGGACTAATGGTTAAGCGATATTATAAAAGACGACTTAGCAGAAGATGTAGGCAAAGCGAAAAATATAGCTGGTCAAAGTAAATGGATACTTATGACATTTCATTGAATTCTATATTCTAATCAGCTAGGCGATGATTTACTAGCGCTTTTATTGGATACGTGGTTATCGGATAATTAACTTGAAAATTTGCATCGCGACAAATAGCTTCGATGATATGATTTCAACTTTCGCTGATTGAGAACATCTCACATTTTTTAAAAAAATGTATATTTACGGAACTCTAGCGGATTTTGATTAATTGAGGAATTCACAAAGAGTACAAATATTTTAGGCTGGGCGTATTTAATAATTTTTAAACTGAAGCCCTTATCAGATAATGTGTAATATTTATTTACGTTGACCAGTAGCCTTATGAAAACCGATTATCGTTGCCAATTTATAAAATCAAGTAGTTGATAAATATATGTGTTAGTAATTTTAACAATACCTCATTGATGAAATGTATCTACTATAGTCGTTCGACGTGTTCCTAGACAAGATTTTCGATACTCTATATCACTTGCCTCTTGTATCGTCCATAAAGTTTAAATTTTTACAATACCATATCAATTTTTCTGAAAGATGCTTGTTATTTTTCTATGAAATGCTATTTACTTTGTAAACCCATACTGTTCCTCATCTATTTCTTTTCTGTTTGATATTAAAGCTAATCTTGTACTTTAGAATCCTATACTGTGCAGAATTAGCTCCACATTAGAAATGTCCACCTAGTCATAATTGCATTTTTATTAAGTAAAATAGGTTTTTGGACATATTCACGGATGATGCAATTCATTCGTGTTTTTCGCCTACGTTTTAAAAAAATTACTATGAAATTCAGACATTAAAAGCCTCATTTCCTATATTTATTGATTTCTAAGCTGTCAACATCGGAGAATAAATCGTCTTTTTCCTCACATCTCGTGGAAGCCCTTCTATGGCAAAAGTATGATCATATTCTATGAACAGCGTGTAGAAATATGTTACGCTAGAACCACCAAGTCACAACTTTGACGCTTGAACATTGAAAGGCTTCTCGTTTATAATTATAAAAAGGCGAATATGATAATATACTTCTTACTTGAATAGAACACGAAAACGAGAAGCATTTGAGGTAAGAAATAGATTGTGAACAGTATTCTATAATATTGCACTGTAACACTGACTACAATAAATATATCAGATGAGTTATCAAATAGATGAATATTATGAAAAAACGAGCTTAAAGTGTACTAATATATATTTTTCAAATATACTTATTATAATTTAGACTGAACAAAGTGATATTTATATTTTTTATTTAAGATTTAAAGGTAGATAAGTTTAACTTATTTTTTCAGGAAGCTTTTAGATTAAGATATTTTCTTCGTTCAGACGATACAACTATATTACTAGCACTGTGCACTTAGTTGTAGCTAGCCTTGTAGAACGATGGTAGTTAAAACTTCTTGTGTCAAAATACTATATTCTACTATTCATGTCAAAAAATAAGGTGGCTTATTTTATGTTTCGTTGCACATTGCCAGTGATGCCCCTTTATACAAGAACATGTATACAATCCTTTTCAAAAGGGGCTCGCAACTTACTTTTTGGATTGGATTGGGGACGATGGCAAGTTAAAATTCGGGGTGATGGTATTAATAGATGCTTGATACACAGCGTTGGTCAAAAGTATCGCAGTTCGCTGAGACTGGTACTCGCGCAAATAAACCCAGAATAGCAAGACACCCATCACCATAAGCCGCCACTTCTTCGTGAGTTTGTGAAAGGAAAAAATATCATTCTGAGCTTGCTCTGGCTTCAAGTGAAGGGACTGTAAAGCTAATAAGTGCTCGAACTGCAAGAAGGAGGCTAGTAGAAGGCTTAAGAGGTTTCTAAGCCGAGAAGCCCTGTTAAGCGGTTTGTCATGTTTGCCATTTTTTAGTATTTCGTGGATGGTGTCCGCAAAATATCCATCTGTGGAGGTCGTGTGAACAGTAAAAAGTACATCAATGTACTAGAAACTGATCTCATACCTTTACTATCGGGTATTTTTGGCGACACTAATTTAAATGCAGTCAAATTCCAACATGACAATGCTTATCATAAATCAGCAATTATATACGATGAGCTGGATAATCAACAACAATATTCCCCTACTGGATTTGCCTGCCTAGTCTACGGATCCTCAATCCAATTGAACATTTATGAAGTATTTTGGAGCAAAAAATAAAGGAGCACAGTATCCTCAAAAACAGCATTGCGTTGATGCAAGAATGGGATGCAATTCGTCCAGAGTAATGTACGTAGTTTGCCCACAGAAATGTACGTAGTTTGCCCACAGATTTCCTGCTGCGATAAAATCGAATGATGGTCCAATTAAAAGTAGTTTTATTTCTACAGCGGAAAAATGCAGTAAGTTTAGGGTGCTTAATACTTTTCAGCAAGGCTGTATTTTAGTGTAAAGCGACGGTCAGCCGCCAGCTTGAAATTGTCAGCTGTGCCGTTAACGTTAGTATTCTTCAAGCATGCATTTTTTCGTCCTAACTTTCAGCTTACTATCTTGACCCGTTCACTCAATAAAGTTGAAGTTCACTGTGTTAGACTTTAAAAAGCATTTAATCACCATATCACCATATTAAAAATCATTGACCGCTGGATCCAAAAAGAACATGTCTACAGCAATAAGGCATTCTGTAATCACTATTTAGCAAAAATAAACTTTTTAAGATATAAGATTAAGTCGTAAAAAAGTATCCTTGCCTTAGCCTTGCTATTATTCTTTGTGCTGTATAATAAAAACTAGTGTTGAAACTTTTAAGTCCGTACTCACTTCACATCCTCATTATCAAATCACAATATTTATAAAAATAACGCCACCTTATTTTACAAACAGCTCACTTAACTGCATTGCAAACAATACGCATTTCAATGTTGCAAACTGTTGTATTTGTAATAAAAATATTTGGATTCATAAGACCCATTATATTACTTTTTATCACTTTTTTATGATACGATTTTTTAAACGCATTGTATTTAGTTACATTGTATAAAGATGAAAAGTGAACAGAAAAGAGATACTAAAAAAGAATTAGCAATGTAGGTTCGAACACGATGATGTTCTAAGACTAAAGACATATGAAAATGGCACTATAGAAGTAGCGAAATTGTTGCAGCACAATCGACACTTACTATTCTATTTGAACATACGTTTTCCTCTCGATATTTTTTATTCTCATATTTCTATAAAATGAAATTTCAACAGATACTTTGGTTGTGATTTGAAGCATGTCTATTAAAAAACTGTAGAGAAAATAGTATATGTTTTGATTATTGAAAGGTTATTTTAGACACGGAGTAGTCTGTGATGGAAATGAAACCAAGAGTTCTACATTTACAGAACTGGTTCTCTTGGGCATTTATTGTATTTTATGAATAAAATGTGTGAGTACGATTGTTTTTCTATTACAATCATCCTTTCAACATACTCTTGTAACTGGAATGTTCACCATTTCAATAGTCCGGTTAATTTGGTAGTTCTACCTTGAACATTTTGGGGAAGTTCTGAAAGGTTGGTATCCTCTTTGACTTCGACGTGCCCTTCCCTCGAGTAAACCCTCTGGTATGTAAAAAACAAAGGACTTCTAATAAAAAATTTATTGATAATTGCTATGGCAGTATACAAAAGTACATAAAAACGAAAATATATATTCCTTACATAATTCTTTCACTGTTCCTCGTGTATACATCTTACATTGTATGTGTGACAATAAAATCAAAGCTCTAAATGTAAACAATCTAACACCAAACAAACAAATTACTGTCACCGATAAAACACTAGACTCGTTTTTATCTCTATTATGGGAATGTACAATGTGGTTTTTCGTCACATGCATGAAAAAATCATATAATAACGTTTTGTATGCCTTTATAGCAAATAAAATGAATTTCTTCTTGGGATAAATTTTTCGTCCTAAGTTACTCGCGGCAAGATCATTCTCGATTTTTTTAATTAAACATAACACAATTATTATTCAATAGGTTATCTATAACATCAAACGAAATGCACTTTGGGGTGACAGTAAGCACAAAGGAGTGATGTATTTTTCACACAAAAGTGACAAATAGACAAAACGAACAAGAATGAACAGTAAAAATACAAGCCAACAAAAAGAATATGCGGTACAAAATTACCGAGGCGCCTCTTGACAGTGGGTTAAGCTGACTGAACGCCAATACATAGATGCCAATAAGTAGTACCAAATTTGAAAAGGAACATTATTCATATTGGGGATATTTACAATCCAATCGCAGCCCACCAAATATATATTTCATTCAATGCGTTAGTTGCAAGTTGGAAAATATTTAAGCAACTGAATCTATTAAACCAATCATTGACCCCCCATTGTATCGGCAATATACTACTGCACATGTTTATCTCCAGTAATGCAATGCACCTATTTGATCTTGCACTGATCTGGTGCGTTAGTACGCGAAAGAAGATTGGCCCTTTCATTTTCCATTTTTATTCTTGTGAAACACAAAAATGGCATGATTGGATGACAGGAACGAAGAACCGTGTATAAGCTGCAATTTATACAAATCTGTTACTTTATTGAGTTCATTACAGCAGTTTTTAAATATTTTTGGCAACTTGGCGACATTGCATGGTTGCTTCCTCAGCATTTTGCCCTCGCTATGGCCGTTCGCTTATTTAGGGCTGTTTTGTCGTAATATAGACATTGACCAATGCAGTACTAAAGCAATTTGAACAAGGTCAATGAAAGCGATCGGTAAACAAAGACATCCTGCTGTTAAGTCATCGAATAGTCAAGAGAAGACAGGCAAGACAAATAAAATTAGAGACAGATAGAGGCGTAACCAAAAACAACTGATGGGGTCCAACACGTGTTGTGCGTACTTCGTCAGAGATAAATGCGATACGGCCGCAAAGGTAATCCTTTTTGAATGAATCCATTGTCTATTACTTGCAGCGAAGGCTTAAACATGTTTTGTTCAACTCTACTTTGGTTTGGATATTTCTTCATGGTAGGGATATCTGTTATAGTGTATCGATCAGAGCAATCACAAAAGATAACCGACATTCTAATAATTCTTCACATTAACTAATAGATCCATTAATAAATGGTATTCATAAAACCTCCATTAGTTATCGAATGAGTCAAATAGTGTGTAGAATTTGGGAGATGCGCAACAATATGACAACTGTTATAGATCCTTTCATGGTTTTATGCGGGTCACAGTAGAAGGGTTAAACTAGAGGAATTACTTTCATACATTAATCTTCTTCACAAATACATGTTCAATAGCCATCTGTGCAGGAACCTTTGTGTAAGCTCACATACGAGTACGTTTTTTAGTTTTATCTCACCGCCTTAAAGATTTTCTCGTCAAAGTACGACTCTTCCACATTTATACTTGTCGCTGTCAGTATGAAAAGTTGCGATTTGAGTTTACCTCTTTTTGATCTCCGATATAAAACGGAGCAATGCCTGAAAATACATCTACAGTATCAATAGGCTGTGTTAAATTTTTTGGATTATTTTCAAAAGTGAGTGAAAACTGTTAATGTACCAGCTTAACTAGAAAATTGGAAGCTTGGCAACCCTGCCTGAATTGTCCTTGACATATGTGATGTCGATGTCTTTGTGAAGTCATTTTCGATGACGATAAGTTTAAGCCCACGTTGTGAAGCTACTGTTCCAATTCATTGTTTTAATAAACGTTCTGCTATTTAACTGTGCACGACTTCTACTCCACCAAAATTTAGCAACAACAATGATCCCTGTTACGCAGTTCGTGTGTGTATGCAAGAGCAAGTAGCAGCCGCATTAGGGATCGGCCTGTGCAGGGTGGCATTTCCCTAGGAAAGTTCGGCTATGAAAGTGGTGCAGTTAAAACAATCTTACTTATTTCATATTCGGATATAGTATAACCGCCAAAAATCGTGAAATGAAATGTGGTTTATTCAGCTTAGTATACTTGTAGCAGTTTGTAAACATTATTTAGGTCTCAGTTTCTCAACATTGCCTCGATTGATAGCCGAATCATTTATGAGCGAACCGTCAAACCAAGGCCGGTTCGCTCATAGATCGCTGTGTGTTTGTCGTAAATCCGAAATGCAGTTAAAACCCAACGTCCGGCGGATTTCAAAGACATTACACGAAGTGTCTTCTCTTAGTATAACTTCTCTTTGGACTCACTTTGGCACAACTGTATCTTTGCTCCGTCGGCTCGTATTTTTGCAGCAAACTCTTGCTCTTACTATATGGTGTTATACACATTAGAACACAAACATCGAAGAATATATTATACGGTTCTGCATTGAACAACATGAGCATATAACACTCTAAAACCTCAATATTCATACGTTTATAGCAACATTAATCTTTTCACCTCTTTTTGCTGTCCAAAAAGAGGTGTTATCATAACTTAAACCTTCTGTTTTAGATTCGAAATAGAATTTGGCATAGCAAGTGCATGTTCGTGAACATTGACCATCTGCCATCAAGATAGAGAGAGTTGCTTACGAATTAAAGACCCCTAGGTATATAATCCAGTTTGTTGATACATTTTGTGATTCTCAATGTCTATATCAAAATTCGTTAACAGAGATACTTCAAGCTAGGAAATAAGTTTAATCTCATCTCAATTTTTCGACATATTTTTTACTGACCTCTCAATCAACAAGTACCCATTGACACCGATAAAATGTATTGTTATTAGTGATACATTTGCCAAATGGATATACGGGCATGCGTCCTTACAGGATACTTGATCACTAAGCCCGTATCGTCAGTCGTCCCTACAATTGTAGGGCGCCTTTATGGCCTCCTTGATTGTCATAGTTTTCTACTTCTCCGTGTCGGAACTCTATTTTGAGGTTATGTCACAAACATCTCCTTGCATCAAATTGTGCTTGCTTTTGAGTTAGAACATGTTTTATCAGCCTGAAATTTCCTACAATTTAAAAAGAAAACATATCTTCACAATAGGAGAGCGCTGACGCTAACACGGGACAAGTGTAATCTAGAAACTTTTGAAGGAGAGAAAGGAGTATGACAATCAAGGAGGCCATAAACGCGCCCTACAATTTATTGTAGGGACGACTGACGATACAGGCTTAAGACATCTCTATACTTGCATAACAGGTATTTTTTTGTTCAAATACCATTCAACCTTTTTGATGCAATCGTTTAGGTCGATTGTAGCAAGTATCGCAATAAAAACGTAAAATTTGGTACCTATTTTATTCATAGTATTAGCAAAACTGAATTTTGCTTGTGAAATATGCTCATAAGCAGTATATTTTTTCGTTTTTTTTTTCAACAATCTGATTTGCGAAATTATCCATTTGCGTACGGTAGAGGTCTCTAATTATTTGACAATTACCATACTCATATCACCACATACATACTTACAATATTAGTAGAATTACTTTATAACCAGTAATATTGAATAGTGCAACCATAACCTGAGCTGTGGAATATGTAGTGGTGGCTTGTGATCGATTTTTTTAGTGGCAAACGTAAATGGTTTTTATTCAAAACTTCAGAATATCTGAAATATGACTTTTTCGCTGCAAGATATACCATTATTACTCCTTAGGGCAACAATTTTCAAAATTGTCGGAAAGAAAATAAATATATATTATAAAATTATTCTAGATTTGAAAAAGTGCTATGCTCTAATGCATAATTTACCAACAGTAGCAGTCAATTCTGAAAACACAACAAAAATAAAAACTCGTTCTACCACTGACTACCGTTGAATATGCCCAAAATTGCATTTTCTTGTGCTTGTTTCAGTAGTCGCCACTAGAATATGTATTTAGACTCATGCGTAATATTTGATTAAACTTGGTGGAAAAATTGTTATGCGCAAAAGATATATAGAATCACAGCCTACCAGTCAGCAACTCAAGGTAAACGATGGAGTTGATGCAAACCTGTTGGTCTAGAATATTTTAGGATGTTACTGTGGTCACTTGATTTTATAACATTTCAAAGCAAATAAACAAGCAGCATTATACACGTTTACAATTAAAAAACATATATACAAACCCTTTGTAATAAATTAAAGTATTTTACACAGACGTCTCTTCTTCTTGCTTTTGTCTTTCCCCCTACCATTACTCGTCTTATTCTCGTCCATTTTTCGAGCTCGAATCTCCCTCATCAGATCGTAGAATACCTGGATAAAAAGTAGTCAAGTAGAATAACTCAGTAGTACCCAAGCAATAGTCTATTTTCACACTAGGCCTTCATAAAAATTCTAATAATTTCTCAAACTGTTTCGAAAATCCGCACTCATCCAAAAAAATTTTACATCACTAAATAATAAGTTAAAAAAATTGTACATGTGATGAATTAATCACTAATGAAGACGACAGCGTTTTTAGATTCGGTTACAATTTTGGCGATAGTCATAAAACGGCTATAAAACCGAGAACCAGAGGCATGAGGACAGAGCGGATCTGAACATTTCCAAACATTTTCTCTTGCAAGTCTGGATAAGATGAGAGATGACTGAATCAAGCTGTTGAAGTAACGTTGATTGTTATAGGTTTCAAATCTCTGAAATGGCCGCAAAGAACAACTCTCGGCTCTTTCCATCAATTCTCGATGTACCATCTCTGCTGTGGAAATTTCATTACGTTTATAATGATCATACACTATGTTCCTTATTTTAGTTGTTGCTGCACTTAAAGGTATAGGATGTCCCCTTGTCAATTCTTATTTTTCTTGGTTTGACACTGTTAAGAATAATTTGATAAATTGTGGAATATGGCACGTTAGTCAGTTCGGCTGTTTTTTTACTATTGCCGCTATCACCCATTTCACGTAACAGTCTATTATAAACATAACGACGGTATTCCTGACTATCATTGCTGCCCTCGTTACTACTATCAGTATCATGTGCACTGACGGTATCACTGCCCGAAAAGTATTTGCTGCAAGATGGGTTTCCATCATTCATAGCGCCTTTGTACATATAATTTTCGATGTCTGTGGGCCGCTGACCTGCCTGAGCAGATCGTTCCCGAGGGAGGAAAAAATCGTATAGCACATAATTATTATTCAAGACGTGGTCCGTCAACCTCGATTGTCTACATAGAAATGAAAATATATTATCTGTTGCATCGCGCTGATGCAGCTGCTTGCGAGGCTAGGGAGGGGGTGAAGGTGTTCAGGTCTTCACAGCGCAGTCACCTTATGTGAACTTGTTGCTATGACTGGTCATTGCACATTGCTCAAATGTATAATTTATACAGATGAACCAGATTCCATTATTATTTATACCGTATCATATAATGACCGCCGCACTATATGGCGGGTCGGTAACACAAGGAAGCAGAAAAAATGTAAACGGATCTGAAAGCGTTGTCATCTACTACAATATATTGGCACTATTGAATAAATAACAGGTACTCTTGCAAAGAACCGGGAATTTCTAGACTATGTGTCATAGGAACCAGGAGGTCTGCGATTTTGGGGTCGCTCACGGTGAAACATACTGATGTGGGCTTACTTCCTATTCCATATAAAATTTGTGGTCTGTTTAGTTTGCTTTATTTAAAAGCAGTAATTAAAAATATTCCTAATTATGATTCAACAACAAATTAGCAATTATAGTTCTTTTCACCGTTTTTGGCAGAAGGTCAAAATGACATGAGAAATAATTTAACAGATTAACTAACTGTAGCATGTGCCGAGCTTAACTGCCTGAAAGGAAATTGCGCACTGTGCTCTTAAAGGAGCTATTACTCGCTCTTGTACACACACACACACACACACACACACACACACACATCAACTGGGTGATACGAGGACCGTTGTTTTTATTCACTTTCTGAAAATACTCCAATAAAATTAACACAGACTGGTCAGCATTATAGTATATTTAGTTTATATCGAAGAAAAACAAAAGCTAAACTCAAGTCGCAAATTCGTGGCAAGCAAGTTGTCATACTGAAAAAGACAAGCATGAATGTGGAAAACTCATAAGTTCACAAGTAAATGTTCCAGGTGGTGAGACAAAATTAAAAAACATACGAGGTGTCTTAAAAAAGTATCGAACCTTGAATGTTCCCGCGTAAACCAATGAAGCGCGGGAGACTTCCTTTGGTGGAGATATGGAGGGGACATTCATGCGTAGCCCGGAATTTTTCCCGCCCTCAGATAGCGTCGGTTGCTGGCAGACGGCCTACGTGTAAAGACGTGAAGAGAGCAGTCGTCGGATGTCAATTTTCGTAAAATGACAGAAAAACTTGAGCAGCGATATTGCATCAAATTTTGCTACAATCTTGGCGATACCCAAGTGGAAACCATTCGCAAGATTCAACAAGCTCTCGGGGACGATGCTATGAGCACCTCACGGATAAAGGAGTGGTACAACCGATTCAAAGATGGTCGCACATCAGTGGACAGCGAACCACGTTCAGGCAGACCCTCAACAAGCCGAAATGACAATGTTATTGGAGAAGTACGGACTGTGATCATGCAGGATCGTCGTATCACAGCAAGAGAAATGAACGGATCTGTGGGCAGCAAAATCTTAGCAGCTCCATCACGACAACGCACCCGGCACCCGTTCATTCTTCGCATTTAATTCAGACTTTGTTAGCCAAACACATCATTCCTGTGGTTCGTCAGGCTCCCTACTCACCCGACATGGCTCCGTGTGGCTAAACACCATTCCAAAACCTGCGTTCCACGAGAGTTTCCAAAAAGGGCAGAAGCGCTGGGAGTATGGGCATCACCAAGGACACTACTTTAAAGGAGATTAAAGTTTCGGACCTCCAAATCAATAAATATATGTATGCCGACCAAAGGTTCGATAATTTTTCAACACACCTCTTATATCGATAAACTTACACAATCAAACGTCTATATATAGATGCGGATTGCATATGCTGTATGAAGGGAGATCATGTATGGAAGTAATTCTTGTAGTTTTACTGTGACCTTCTAAAAACCATGGAAAGACCTATAGTGACATTCATGGGTCGCAATCACGACCACTTCTAGTACAAAAAATGACAAACCAAAATTAATGTTCGGTATTATTATACATTGTATATATGTACAAGTGGATATGAGCCGTTAGAGTGCTTGACAGCACAGCTACTAACACGCAATCTATATGGAATCTACAATCAACCATATCGTCCCTGTACTATAAGACACACACATATAAATTAATTCAAGTGTGACAAATTGACCTATGCTATGACCCAATTACCAGCATTGTTTTACCGGTTTATTGTGAAGATTTTTTCCCGCGAGTGAAACATTCTCACGAGCCTGGCGATTATACTCATTCACATTTTTAGAAAGGGAAACGCAATAAAACATTTCCAAGTTCTGCTAGGAGAAATTCCACATTCGACCGTAGATACATTTTTTGATTGTATCTCCAACAATTTTTATGTCATATGTACATTCGTAGCTCCATACTGTATCATTTGTTTTACGAGATATAAACAAGTTCATTCCGGCACGGGTATTACGTATCTTGAAAAAATAACATTTCGTCGTTTTTTCCTGACATTTTCTAGTTTTTTTGCGACAACGTAGGTTTTTCTACAAGATGTTAACATAGCACAATCTTATTGTACACTTCTAGCTGTACGTGTTGCTTAAACGTCATCGAACCGCGATTATAGCGAAGCAAACGTGGAATGAACTATTTGCACACTAAAAACTACCTAGTCTGCAAGATGACATTTCGTCGGTTTTTTTAACGTTTTTTAGGTTTTTTACATAATGCTCCTGTCGGATTATAATCCCACTTAACCTAATTACATCTAACTCAACCTAAGGATGTTAGCAAGTAGATGTGGCTTATGTTGACTTTTCAAAGGCTTTTGATAAGCCAGATCACGGTATTTTGTTAAGGAAATTAGCTATGCGAGGGTTAACTCATACATTCTGGAGTTTTTTCATCACATATCTTACAAACAGATGCTTGACCGATGAATAAAGCAGCCAAAACATGAATGGATTTTCTCTATGTGGCCGAACTGTAATTGCTCAAAAAAGTACAATTGGGTTCAAAAATGCATAGAGGTTTAGAGTGTTTACGACCTTTTAGAACTTACACTATTCAGCTAAAAAATCTAAGCAAATGTCAAGAGTAATCTTATTGTTCTGGCTAACAAATTAAACCACATATGTGGATAAAATATGCTCCAGTAGCCAGAAAAGTATTTCGATTAACATCTGTAGATGCATTGATTGGCTACGTAAATATAGAGATAGGTCAATGACATTACATTATATAAAGAGCAGTTTACCTTATCTACATGTTCCCTGGTTTTAGCGGAGGTTTCAACATAAGGCACGCCCCACTGTTTCGCTCTTTCGCTAGCCTCTTGAAATGTGACTTTCCTCTTATCTTCTAGGTCGCATTTGTTACCCACGAGTAGAAAAGGAATGTTTTCATCGTTCTTTACTCTAAGTATTTGCTCCCTGTAATGGTATCAAAAATAACGGTGAGTATATCTTACTCAAACCGCATTTGTGCCGCATCAAAATAAATATGACTGCTTTTACGCCTAATTCTTGAGCTCTTATTAGTTTACAGCTAGTACCTTTTTTACTGGCCAATAGTATATAAATTTTGAAATCGGCAGCCGTGTTTCGTTTGATGCGGGGTGAGTGCGGTTTGAACATGGTATAGATTGATGCTGTAAGAGCCCATTCAAACACGCCATTTGTGTCGCGCAACAACGTAATACCACAAGGTCGCGAGTTTTGAACAAAAAACATACATATAGTTGTAGTCACCACAGTTCTTGGCGGGTCAAAGTAAGTCTACCAGTATCCCTTTATATACCCCCATCTCCCTCATACATACACATGCAACCTACCCATGTGTGTGGACATTTGTTCAGTAAGCTCAAAGGCATTTTTAGTTGTGTCTCCGTCCTAAAAACTTTGTCGTTACGTATGAGTGCCCTTCAATCATATTTGTCAGATTGACAACTTACTTGATATCGGCGTGCAATTCGAGCTGTCCTTCTAACAATCTTCAATATAAAATTGTGTAATGCACGGGAATACGATCATTGGAGAAGACCGACAGCTCGTGCTAAATTTATTAGAGTATTTCGAGGAAGAAAACGAAAACAGCGGTCCCCTGTTACCCACTTCATGCGTACTGGTGAGAGTAGCAGATGCACTGAAGATTAGTCTGCGCAGTGTTCCGCCCATGCCACGGAGACTCGATCTGTTTACTTATTTCATATGGGGTTGATGACGTAACCGCCAAGAACGGTGGCTACAACTATATGACATTTCATATGAGCGATTTCTACAAGACGTCGTGTGACTTTGGTCGACAGCGCTACCAACAGATGTCGACACGGACTATCCGGTTGCCATCAATGCGACTATCAGTTTGACATTTGCTGGCAGCGCTACACCAAATTCGCACAACATAGTATGAAGTTCATAAATAGTTTGGGATAGGATTTTTGAATTTGACGACTTTTTGGGATCAGTCGACGGACTGACTGACAACATGCAAATAAACCCATGCGGTCGGTGCCATCGCCATCGATGCTGACTAGTCCCCTGTTTAGTAATCCATATGGCGTCATCGGTACGCTTCAGAGAAATCCCTTCGAGAAATGTATACATTATATGGAAGGAATTCGGAAATCAGTATATTTTGGAGAGTCCGTTGCGTGCGACAACATCGAAAGACAAGGTAGCGCATTTTGAAAAAGCTATTGTACATTTGTTGTCGCGCGATTTCTAGTTTATAGTATGTCGCGAGACTTTGATCAAATGCGCTGCCAAAAGATGTCTGTACGGACTGTGGGCTTGGCATTGATAAATAATCAGTCAATTTGTTGGCAGCGCTAAAGAACAATATATAATATATAACTTATTATACGACGTTTCGCGCAACACAAATCACACTTTTCATAAAGAATCATACACACGGTAAATAAGTAAGTATTTGGGACTTGGAGACCGGCTCGGGTATTACGTATCTTGAAAAAGAAACTCTGGAAATTACACATGCAAATTTACTGAATTTCAAAAATGAGTAAGGAGATAAGAAATAATTATATTCACTGTACATTGTCGAATTACAAGTCATATACATGCTAACAGCAATTACACACAACGCGGACGCGGTAGTGATTTCCCGTAGTTTTCCTCAAAGTTTTTGAAAACACAAAAAACGTAAAAAATCGTAATTTATAACTTTGAACATAACCTGTCTTCAGAAAGGACAAGATATAAATAACCCATCGGGCACACCTAATAGATATACTTCATTGGCAGCATATTCAGTGATGATTTTCTCACACATCAAATATCACTGATTTTATGCACATGCAGACCAATACACATAATCAGCCAGATGTGATCTTGCTATTCAACTAACTTTCTTCTCAGAGATGAAAACTATAGAATACTCGGCTTCACAAAACATATGCAACCAACAATGCATATAGTATAAAAACTACCTAGTCTGCAAGATAACATTGTATAGGTTTATTTTTTGACGTTTTATAGGTTTTTTACATAATAACAGTCCGGTGCCTTCTTATCCATTTATTATCCTAGGATAACAGATGTCGGATTGGCATATACACGACAATCAGTGTGACAGTATTGTGCCTTAACTAACAAGAAGCGTCCTAGCGCCCCTTTGGTTTTGATAAATGACTGAATTCTACCAAACAGCTGTGCATTTCTGCTGGTCGGCATCCAGATCACCGAGAACTTGATCTTGCATGAAGACATCTATTCGATAGCGGCAGTTGCCGGGAAAAAGCTAGGCTATGTTTAGAGCTAGACGTACATTTCTCTCTTCAAGAACGGTCGATCTTATAATACGAATAAGCATGTGGAAGTTGAAGACTGGTGCCTTATTGGCCATTTTTTAGAAGTGGATTAAATGTATTTGAGGATAACATCTCCATTATCGAACTCTATTTATAAACTGTATTTGGACCAATGCTTTCTTATTCAATTTAAAGATCAAACAGTCTGATGATGGATCTATAGCTATGGACACATAATTACTGAGAGCTTATTTTAGGTGGAAAGATTAACAGTTCCAATACTACGTACTTGTATACCCGGGTTATTAAAGGAAACTAGGCCAAGAAAACAATTCAACTAATATAAAGTTATTAAAGGCAGAAATTAAATATTACTCATTATAAATTATAACAAAAAATACATGGAGAAAGAATAAAGTAGAATTTGCTGAAGCTGTCTCCTGTTCAAAATTCAATATGAATAAAGTTCAATAATAAACAGTTTCTAAAAAGCATGTGTCATATTTTAGAGCATAATTACCCATTTTGATTTAAAATGTACTTCGTACAATCCAAGTTTGTCTTGAAATTATTTAACGTAATCAACGGAAACATGTACCAACATTTTCTCTTCTATAACTTCGTAAATATAACCGTTCTTCTAAATATTAGCATGCAGATTATAAAAATTCAACCCCAAGAACTTAAATTTGCTAAAAATGAAAAAAATCAGGACTAAATATACTAAGTGACATATAAATCCGAACACCCAGTTTAAATGGTTTTATTTTAATAAAAGTTGGTGAATGTATTTATCTTACTGTAAATAACAAGTGAAAAAATTTTCAGCCTTATCAGTTGGACATTCCGGTTTTTATACTGCTTTTTTTTAATTCACTAACGCTCTAAAAATGAATATTTCAGCCGCAGTAAAGAATCAATGTTGGCGGATTTTGGTTCTTGACATCCTTTACGATCGGTTACGATGCCTAGAGTACGGAGACCTGTACGATTTCGTCAACTTAGTGAGTTTGATAGTGGGACTTCGGAAAGCTGGACTTTCTTTTCGGGCAATTGCAGTTAGAGTGCAAAGAAGTGTAGACACTGTGGTTAGGTGTTGTCAGGCATGGCTTCGAGAAGGCCGTACGCAAAGAGCAAGGGGCACTGGACGCCGCCGTAGAACAACAGACCGTGAAGATCACCGCCTAAGATTATTGGCCTTAAGGGACCGTTTCTCCACTACCAGGCCCATTGCAAATGAATGGTTTGCAGAACACGGAAGACCTATTGGCATGCGAAGTGTTTACCGACGAATGAGAAGTTTTGGTTTGTTTTCATACCGGCCACACTGGGTCCTCCCTTTAACTCGAGAACACCGACGTAATCGCCTTGAGTGGTGCAGACAACGGTCACTCTGGGATCCGGAATGGAACAGTATTGTCTTTAGTGACGAGTCTCGATTTTGTTTAGGCATGCACGATGGTCGTGCCAGGGTTAGAAGGCGACGTGGTGAAAGGAGGAATCCACAGTTTTTTGTTGAAAGACATGTTCATCACACTGTTGGAGTTATGGTTTGGGGTGCTATAGCTTATGGTTCCAGGTCACCTTTAATCTTCATCAGAGGTAACATGAACGCGCAGCGTTATATCCACGAAGTTCTAGAACCCCATCTTTTACCCTATCTTGACACCCTGGCAGATCCAACTTTCCAACAAGATAATGCCCGACCACATGTTGCAAGAGTCACAATAGACTTCTTTCAACATAATGATGTCGCATTGTTACCATGGCCACCAAGATCTCGCGACTTATCCCCAATTGAGCACGTGTGGGATATGATGGGTAGGAGATTGCTCAATTTGCAACGTCCTCCTCAGACTCTAGAAACACTTCGAGAGGAGTTGGTGTTGCCTGGAATCAGATACCACAGGAGGACATTGACCACCTGATCAAAAGCATGCCTAGGCACATTGGAGAATGCGTAGCACATCAGGGTGCATCCACACATTATTAAAGGTCAAAGGGCTTTAAAGCAGTGCAATCATTTTGAAATTTTTATCATTTACTTATTATGCTTCATTAAGTACTTATACAAAATTTTATTAAAATAAAACCATTTGAACTGGGTGTTCGGATTTATATGTCACTTAGTATAGTTTTGGTGTATAAAATCATCTACAATATGTAGTGTCTTCCACCTGCGACAGTCTGGAGATGTTTTGAATTTCCAGGCTTATAAAACAAATACTGTCCAGCATTGCCAAATTGTACGTTTTGATGGGTAAAATACGAAATAAATAAGGTTATTTACTAATTAATTTTACCACATCCTATGAAAATCAGATGAAACTGAATACAGACTTAAGATAATTTCCCATTATTCGCTAAAAATTAGATGAACTTTGGCCGCGTCTCAAGCAGAGGAAGAATCTATGAGGTAAATGGATTTTTTGTACTTTGTTTTCTCAATATTTAATGAATGTTAGGTAATACCCTGAACTTAATAAGCCTAAAAATAGAAAACGGACTAGTGGCACGCTCACGTACGCCGCGACTTGTGGTGGAACATAACTTCGAGGTAAATGACTTTTTTCACAAGTACCTTTCACTGAAAATTAGGTGACATTCTGCGCGGGTAAGCAATTTGATAATAGTGCAACTGGATTGACAAATCATGAATAATTCTGTTAGTTTATCTTGAAAGAAACGATTACTCAACATTAATAACATAATTCCATCATAAATGTGATAACACATTGCATGAAAATTTGCGATTTGCTATAAAGTATTTTTCAATGTTCCAACCTCACCTAAATTCCTGTGTCGCCTGAAAACTCTCGTCTTCAGTAATCGAAAAGATGCAAAGGAATCCTTCTCCACTCCTAAAATAGTTATCTCTAATAGCTGCATAATCTTCCTGCCCTGCTGTATCTAGTATATCAATTTGCACATCCTCGCCATCCAGGAGAATTTTCTTCCTGTATGAATCTGCCTTTGTAGGTTCATAGTCCTCCACAAATTCATCGTACATGAATTGCAGGGTGAGAGCTGACTTCCCTACACCTCCAGAACCCACCATTATCACCTTGTGGATGACTGGTTGGGCTGTTGGTTTCTTTGACATGGTCAGCAGCTAATTGAAACAACTGTGTCTGGAAACAGGGCAGATGCTGGAAGGAACTAAAAAAAACAGAAGATGAGTATCTCATAATTTCAAGTCTACAAGTCATTTCAACTGGGATGTTGTAGATTGTACTGCTTCATTATGTGATTGAATAGTTCAGTTTATTACACAATGCAAAACAAGGAAAACACATTTCACTTAGTTCTAAAAGCATTGCCAGATAATGTAATATGGTACACAGTAATGGAATGCACATTGACAGATGTAATTTTGACTCTGGGATACTGTATAACATTTTTTTTCAAATGCCTACACTCTTGTAATGAGACATGATGGCAGGCAACTAATTTCTAACCATCTTTTCTGCGATCATTGTTTTTATTATAAGAAATGCTAGATATGACATATACATATATATATATATATATATATACATATTCTGAACACTTTTTGATAATCAGATAAAGTAAATAAACAATGAACCATAAGAATGACATGTGACACTCTTATTCCTAAGTTGTTGATCATAGGAATAAAAGTACACTTTTGACATTCCATACGGAGTATTTTGTTCTATTTCCAAATGGATGGAGCAGGTCTGTCAAACAACTACGAACGCTGAAATTGTTACAGAGCATTACAAAGTACACAACAATTTATGATCCCAGCAGTGCATGAAGTATGGCTCAGCTCAGTTGCTAATTTTAAGATTAATTTATTTTGTCAATGTTGAATGTCTTCTGCATATGTAACAAGAACAGTATTTATATATTGTCAGCTGATGTTTCTACTTGCCTTTAAAGTTTATGTCAATCACTAAACAAATGACAAAAATTGAGGAATCGAATACATGCTGTTTTTGACTTGTTAATACTGTTTTCAATATGACAACTGTGGATGTGAAATTTTTGTCAACTGTTCACTATTGTATTCAAGCTTTTACCAACAATATAACTTATGTCTGAACTACTGGTAATGTCCAGGTTACTGGAACATTCACCCTATAAATATAACCAACAAATAATCCCATTAAATCATCTAATCCATCCAAAACATCTCTCTAAAGCATGTACTGAGAAGAAGCACATGCTGAAAGGTGTTTTTTATGTAAAGTCATTCATCCTGCCATGGTTTTGTTCCAGCATACTTGTACTTTTTTTCTATCGCACTACACCATTACCGACATTGCAAAAGTCACTTGAGTGTAGAAATAAATGAGTGCTTGCCAGGGGAAAACACAATATGTAATCTTGTGTATCAACAAATACTTCAGGTTCAATCAATATCACATTCTATGATAAATACCACAAGATCACAGTAACTACTGTTTGTGGTACATTCTCCATAAGGTAATTAAATATTACAAACTACGAGTTCCACAGAACCAGAATTATGTAGGAATTATCACAAATATCTGTCCTCAACATTTTTATAGCAATAACAGTATCACTGATAATCACATTACAATATTTGATCTCATTCCTTGATAAACTCATCAGATAAAAAAATGACATAAAGAAACATGTCAGTTACTGAGTCTACTCTATAAATAGTATATTTACAGTTTATCAAGAAGCTGCATAAGAGAAGATCATCTGTGCATCTGTGGATGCAAAAATCTAAATTATATGAACATATAAAATCTCTATAACCATTTTGCCATATTCTAATTTACTCTAGTCTAGATGTTAAGCAGGTTTTCTATACTTATAAGTTAAAAGTAATTAAACATTCGGCAGTAAAGTGCAATTATTGCACTCAACAAGAAATGTGTACAACAACCCAGTAATCATGATCAAATGTCTCATTTCATGTCTTTCAAGCCATTAAATAGTCACATACCAACTATTAAAAGTCCTAAATGTTGGCAAATATAACACAAACAGTATCTTCAAATAGGCGTGCCTGCTGCCTGAGTTAAGCATCCCAGTCAATGACCCTTTTTCTAAATAGTCTGACTCACCTTTACGTATTCTGTACGGGCTTCTTCTACAATTGACCGTTGCAGTTCGACTATGGAATATCTCGATATCACACATATAATTTAATACAATGATAACGAGTACACTGTTACTTTTTCTTATTTATCTGATCTGCAATACAAATGTTTGACAGTTCGTGATAAAAGGATAATTGACATGACAAAAAAAAGGATTTGTGAACATGACTTTTGACATGTCTGCTGTCTGACAAGAGCCACTTTCCAGTGCCTCATTTCCTCATTTGTGTTACATGAGCCGCTTTCCAGTGCTTTTAAATTGGTTGTATGCATATGCACCCGGAGTGTCACGCTCCCGAACTGCTCAAGCCATTGACGTCTTACGCTCAAGCAAATGCGCACGGGAAAGCGACGACAAAAACCTATTTGTTGATGTTTTGGTTTGACGTTGACAATTTGTAACGCACTGCCAGACAATGAAAATGTAAACTGTAAATGTAAATGCTTTAATTTCAGAAGCATTGTTGCACCAGCAGACTATCCAATGCTATGCTATGATATGTGTTCAGAGACATTAACGTTCCACCGCATAGACGCCAAATGTAAATAACAGCTTTTTAAGTTTTTTGGGAAACATTGCTATGCCTCAAATTTTATATATCGCCATTGATATCCCTTAATATTTTATTCAAAGCTTCTTTCTAACAACCTAGCAGAGGTAGCAAAATTGTCCGATGAGCTGGCAACGCCGCAATCTAGGCGACAAAAATGACAAGTTTAACTGCCAAAACGTATGTCTATCCCGGGGTAACGACGGATCATTTAGTACGTCAAAGCGTCAGTTTTTCAATCTTCATTTGCATTTTTTAAACGGCGTGCAAAGATTTCGAGAAACGCTACGGATGATCTTCTAGTACAGTGTATTTCAATATTTGCCTTGCGTGGTCATGTTATCTTGACTCGGGCCGTTTGATGTGTTTTTCTTAATCTCAAAGCAGCCTTAAAGAAAAACAAATCGGCCCGAGTAAAGATAACATGGCCATCGAGTCGCTTCAGATAAAAAACGCAGACGCGCGGAGTGGGAACTGGAAAGGGTAGTGGCTGTACGAATGTCGCCATGTTTTCGTGGTGATAGAACAAATATGACACAAAAATAACGCCTGCCTACTCGGAACAATTTGACGAATGATATATGCCGCCATGTTTTTTACAATGACATACGGGGTGTTATCGTGGTTGCCTAGTTTCTCACCACATCTGTCATCTTTATTTGGTTGTTTTGAATGGTTTTCCTAATAACAAAAATGAATTTTGCATTAGGGAAAACAATTCAAACACCTCACATGTATTTGTGATTGGGTTCGTTCAAGAGTGATAAATAAAACAAAATATTTAGGAAAATAACTTTATTCTGGTAGATAACGTAATGTGGTGCATTTGCAATATAGTGCAATGAAGAATCAGAAACCCCCAGGGTAGGTTTCTGAATAATAATACCAATATATAATCATAAGGAAACTACAAAAAACCCATGATACCACACTCAACAAAAATATTGTGATATCTGTATGTAAAGGGTACAAGATTTCATTAATCAAACATTACATTATACTTCTGAATAAACATTCATTTGCAAAATTTTACATTTATTTTACATGAGTAAAGCCTGTATGTATATGATATAGCATATAGGTCATATACAGTAATTTAATAACTCAACATAAGATTCTAAAAAATAAAATAAAACACAATTCTATCACAATATGGTAAACATGTCCTGGTCAGGTATGTCACAGCCGGGTTTATGATGGCTCATCCATGGAGGTACATGAAATCGTTTTGTGGGAATATCAATTTAAGGTGCTATAATGGTTCTGATGAACGGCAAGTAAATGAATGAATGTTTGGAAACAAGCAATATCTATGAACTTTTTGGTAGAGCCTGTCATCAAGTAGGTGCTTGAAAAGTAATTAAAACATGAATTTAATTCAAAAATCAGACATTTCTTTAAATTATGACTGAATTATATGTAATTTCTTAATATTCAATAAGCTGGTGATGTTTCATTGACAAGATGTCATCTCATACTTTGACAGTATTTTGTTTTCAACATTTCATAGCTATTGGTTGCTAAAATTTGTTGATTGGAACTTGAAGCTCATTCGCTGTATTTGACGGACTGTTACCCTATAGGTGGAGAATAACGGACTGTTGATTTGACAACCTTGGTGAAACCCACCCTTAGTATCTTTATGTAAAGCATAGTTGCCAGTGCCGGATGCTCCGCTGTTCGACTTTCGTCCGACGGCGCGTATGACGTCGCTCTGAGAGTGATTCTCATTTGGGTTGATATGGATAACGTGCATATTTTCACCTACAGGCCAAACGGCTGGACGGATTTTCACATATGAAGTGTCGTTGGATTCGTCTTAGCGGTGCCAGTGTCACTGGCTACATTAAAATTTTATACAAAACCAAATGGTGGATTTTAATAAAAGATTTCAACCTTGTAATTCCTATTTCATAGGCTACAGCTCCAACGGCTTGATAGATTATTTTCATTTTCTTTGGATTCGTGTTAGCGATTTTTTCCACTTCCAGCTCTTTTTCGGTATGGAATCTGAAAATATCTGAAGTATTTTAAAAAATCGTAGAAAATGAGGACGTGTTCGGTCTTTCGGTAATTAAGGTACCATTTTGGTAGAAATCCCGAAAAATTAGTAGGTTCGACAACACTGCAAGGGGACCATAGTGATTGAATGGCTGTCAATTGCACGTTGTTGCATGTCAGAATTGTCAGGTGACATTTATGATAATATAACCTATATTAACCACGGCTTGTTTAAATGTGTAAATAAAATAAGAAATAAGAATATGCAAGTTTCAGAGCCAAACAACGTTAAGATTTACAATCTAAGTGCAGGAAAATCACTACCAGAAGTAATGTATGAATTAATTCTATCTGTATTTACTCTAAAAAGTGTATTTTTAGTGGCTGTCCGAAAGAAAACGAAGAGCTTTGCTGAAATCAAATGTAGATATTCGGAGAAGGATAGAGTTAATACAAGACTTCGACATGCCAGGAGTGAGCACTACGATAAAAGTTTCTAGGGATGGCCAATATATTTTAGCTACTGGTATATATAAGCCTAGAGTAAAATGTTTCGACGTCAACAATCTATCACTGAAGTTTGAGAGGTGTTTCGACTCAGAGTCTGTTACATTTGAAATACTCAGTGACGATTATAGTAAGGTAGGGATGATGACATTTAGGAGTTCACAGTAATTACTCATGACTCATAAAATTGGGTAAACTCAGTTGTTTGGTATAAAATATCTGTATAAACCAGGCCTGTCCAACTTAATGTGGCCCAAGGACCACTTAAAAAAAAATGCAGTTTGGAGGACCGCATTATAAAACCTTTCTATTCAACATTATTACAGAGTTAATGTAAGAATTGTGCATATTCGGTATTTGATAGTAATTTATACATGTGATGTATACATGACCTGTGAAGTGGGCCGCAAGAAAGGAGTTCTCGGGCCATATGTTGGACAGCCCTGGTATAAACATACCAATACTGTTGCTTCAGAGTGCAACATTTTTATGAAGTGACCATTAGTCTTTTGATGGGCAGTGTCATTAGAAGCATGCACTCAAATCTGAGAAAAGGAAATAGTATACATTTTTTTGTTTAACCCTTAACCGATCATGTGGAGTCTGACAGACCCCACGGTAAGTAAACTGTCCCGTATCTTCCACAGTAGAAACGCCTCCTGGCCAATCGGGGCACCTAATTCCTCGCCTATTGGTGCCAGACAAGTCATATGATGTTCAGTGCATTTCCTTTATTTGAAGATGAAACACAGGCATTATTTGGTGTGTAGGGGTCTGCCAGACTTCACCTGTGTGTTTATGTGAAAATTGTTTAAATTGCGATATGACCGGTCCATCAAAAAGAGTTTGGTTAAGTGACAAAAATTTTGAGGAAACTGACCTCAAGTTGACGACACTGCCAGTGATATAGATAGTGCTGCAGAGGACGAAAATATTGCGTCAGAACACGAGACGGACTCAGACTTCTCGGCAGGCGGTGATAGTGACCAAGAAAGTGACACTCATCAGACGGACAATAAATACTTCTATAGCAAAAACCGCTTTAGATGGTCCTCTACCGAAGTTGTTCCTTCATCGTGAACTAGGAAGCACAACTTGGTGACAAAGGTTCCTGTGATAAGAGGACGAGCCCGCGATTTAGGCAACAAGGCAAGTCCCATAGCCATATGGAATTTACTTTTCTCTGTGGAAATCCTACAGACGATTCTCGAATGGACAAATCAGAAGCTTTCGCAAATGTGCTCAGGATATGCAGATTCAAATAGAATCAGTCACCTTAGAGATACCGATATAGTTGAGCTGAAGGCTTTTTTTGGCCTGTTGATATACGCATCATTATTCAACTCCAATCATGAAAGTATTGATACAATATTTGCTACTGATGGAACTGGTCGAGATATATTCAGAGCAGTAATGAGCCGAAATCGATTTGCAGTTCTTTTGATTGCTTTGCGTTTTGATGACCCAGCTCCAAGATCAAAAACCAAAAAATAACTTGTTTTACTATCTGCCCAGTTAGTGTTCTGTGAGACCCCACATGGATCTTTGCCACCAGATGACTCACATGGTAGGTTAAGGGTTAATACATGTTGGTATGAGTTGTTTACATTGTCTACAATATGACAACTTAGTAAGACATTGAATTAAAATAATAATTTCAATTTCAAAAGTCAATGAATTTTTTTACACTAAGAATTTTTTGCATATGAAATAATATTGAAAATTATCAATCCAACTGTTAACAATTTTCACACATTCTAATGTATATTTGAATAGTAAATCTGGAATTTTTACCAAGTATTGATTAAAATTCATTTAACCCTTTGAAATGTAGTCAGAATCTTTAGCAGCCATATTGATTAATTAATTATAAGTATTATACTAAAATAGGTCACAGAAAAGAATCAACCTACTAGAAAGTACAAAGTAGTACAAGGCATACCTCTGTCACTTGGCAGTAGGTAGTAAGTTGAAGTATTATGAAAAATAGTGTGGTAATACTATTGGGCTTGGAAGACAAATTGAACTGTTAATTGAATATTTTGCTATATATATCTCCTTATATATATATATTTATTGAGACGTGGTCATTGTCGTCTAGACCAGTTAGGTGAAAAATTAAAGCTTCCGCCTTTTGTTGGGTACTTCGACAAAAATTTAAGCAAAGAGACTCTTTATACTTTTTTTACAGACATTGACAACCTTCGGCCTTCTGTCAAAGGGTTCATCTCACTCATGTCCACCATTTTGTGCACACAATGTAATGCTTTCATGTTCTAAAAAAATTTTTAATCTGTTTTTAACTTGTTATTGTCACACAGTGTGTGTATTTTATATAATTTTGACCATTGTACCATCTATCCAGCTTTCACCATGTTACTGGGTGTTTCCCTCATCCTGAACGTAAACAACAATTAGCAACATCCTCACATACCACTGTAAGTTAAGTCAATTTAAATTCATTTTACACTATTGTTGCTACTGTTATCAATGTAACTGCTAGCTCCTGATGATGATGGCAAAGTCCATTGAAAGCTAGAGAGAATAAAAAAAAAGTATAAAGAGTCCTCTTTGCTTAAATTTTTGTCGAAGTACCCAACAAAAGGCGGAAGCTTTAATTTTTCACCTATATATATATATGACTTTATAGGTAATTTTAAATGCTGTTTTACAATATGAGAGTTACATGTTTCCATTCAAAAAATTGAGTAATACAGCTATACTGTTAAAAAACATGACCAACCTAAGATTTCTGCAACAAGTTGTAATATTGTACATTTGAATGTGGATATTTCTTGAACTGTCTAAAGCATGTGATTGCTTGAATCATAACATCCTGTTTGACAAATTCATCAGATATAGAATGTCCTGTGGGAAATCGTATCTTACAAACAGGAAACAATGTGTAGCGACAAAAAAAGAATATGATCATCAAGTCAGATTTCACTTGCTATGAGGTAGGTATACCACAGGGCAGTGCTCCCATATTATTTGTCATATATGAACTTACAATAATTCATTATGCTTATGATACCAGCATACCCAATAGGGATTGGAACATAATGGTCATAAGTGTTTGAATTAGTGAGGAAATAGTTTGCAATGAATAAACTTGTATTGAATAAGGACAAAACTGATTTAATAATATTTAAAGCAATCACAGATTGACACTAATATCCAAATAAAGGCAAACTAAAGTGTTAGGAATACATTTAGATGAAATTTCATCTTGAACTCCACACATAAAACTGAGTATGGAATAAGAGTGTTGTCTAGATATATAAATTCAGAATGTTTAAAAATTGTATATCATGCAAATTTTGAATCGATTTTACATGATGGAATAATACTGTTTGGAGGTAGCTCACAACTGTAAAAATTGTTTTTCAAAAAAGGACCAAAAGAGCAAGGAGACTTATGAAATTTAATATATAGATTTAATGACAGAATTATGCACTTTACATATTTGAATGTGTTATTTTTACAGTGAAAAATAGAAACAATTTTCCTATGCAAAATGATCACATATATGGTACAAGCACTCTAAATGTTTTGCTATAGTACGTCAGCGTAGGGTAACAGTAACTGAAAAAAAAAATTTTATATGAGCTCAAAATAATATAACAAGTACCTAGTCATTTAAAAGTGATGGAAGCTACAGGAACCTGCAAAAAACCTGAAACGCGTTTCAGGTCAGCTGGAACAATACAGTATTTCTGAATACATGCATGCTTCCTTTTAGTTCTTGCATGGGTATGACATTAGCTCCACATCTATGACATTTATACATATTATGTATTTGTAGTTCTAGATTTGGGAAAAATATTATTATTATACTAATTTTCATTGCTAGAATGAAAATAGGTAAACATGTGGTGAGCAATGTACATCCGAATCCATTCATAAACAGAAAAAGGTGTGTGTAAGTAAATAACTGCAGATCCATCTGGACTCATTCAGCTGCAAGTTATATGCTATATCTCATAATTTAGTTCACGTTTTTCAAATGATGCTGCAAATCACTGACATAATTCTTTATTAATTTCAGTTGGTCTTTCTCCAGTGTGACCGATATATAGAGTTCCATGCAGCATATGGACGCCATTATAGGTTGAGAATACCAAAATTTGGCAGAGATATGCAGTATCATTACCCAAGCTGTGACCTATTTATCGTTGGTGCATGTTCAGGTAACGTTATATTAATTGAGCATCGAAAGGCCAATGGTCTTATTTACCAACCTTTGTTTGTTTTTGTTGAAATGTCGATGTATATCATTAATTTTAGAACAGTCGTGTACCGAGGGGAGACAGAGGGGCCATGACTAAGTAACCATATATGTAGATATTCTGCTTCCGAAGATCGTGCAAAATACTTGCCGGACAACGAAAAAAAAGTATTAGGTGGTCTGACATTTTTCTGTCTCACCTGAATCGCAAAATTTGATCTGACATTAAGGTGTTTCTCAAATGTAAGCAGTAGCGGTGAATGTAGCTGGGCGGTGGTGCAAAACAACGGGACAAATAACACAACCTTATTCTATATTGTATCTTACATAAAATTTAATTTTTGCTGTACCATCAATCATATCATTCATATATGATCGTCAACGCTACTGCGTCGGTCTATATGATTCTTTTGTTTTCTGTATACTATGGAACTTCTATTTTCTTGACCATTCAAATGCGGCCGTGAATTTTTGACATACTCTATATCCAGTCTTAAATTTATTTTTTGATGTATCTCTGGCATAATAAGCATTCCTGTCGTATGGCATATCAGAGCGCGCGGCTTGGACTCTAACTTCAAACCATGGACCATAAACGTCCACGATTATTTAAGACAGCTCACGGACTTCGTTTTGCCCTATGGCGGTGAAGCTACCTCTGCCAACTATGTATTAATGTTAAACATGATTTGTTTTGTTTTGGATTTTGCATAAAAGTTGCGCTAATGTTTCAAAGTAAGTCTATATAAAATTTTGTAAGTATTTTGGGCATAAGAAATATATAAGAGGATTCCAGAAAGGTCTAAGATTATGGCTTACACTTTACTCAAATCTGTTAAAATATGTTATTTTTCAGACATCTATAGGCTGAACCTAGAAAGAGGTCAGTTCATGAGTCCTTATTCCAGTAAAGCATCAGCAATTAACAAATGTGCAATCAATCCAGTTCACCATCTGCTGATGTGTGGTACAGAGGAAGGAAGAATTGAGGCTTGGGATCCAAGGACTAAGAATATAGTTGGAACTTTAGATTGTGCCTTTAACTGTGTTACGGAAAACAGAGAGTAAGTATTTTCTTCATTTCACACACCAAAAATGCAACAAACACCCTATTACCTATAGACGATAATTTTCTAGATTTTTCATTTATTATACTTAGCCAACAGTCACCCAACCTGCACATTTGGGTCTAAATAGTAATAAATAGTGTGAGACAGAGCCATGTGTCACACTGGACTTGTTGTCGAGAAATGATGAAAAATCTAATCAAGTAGACAGAAGTTTTTGTGTGTGTACACAGATTTTCTCATAATCTGTGAATGTTATTCTCTATAGTTTGAATTGTAAGAAGATTATGTTGTGTGGGTGACAAACTGATCCAGTATTCACATTTTTAGGTTGAGTAATTTTCCTTCGATTACTGCCCTCAAATTCAATGGTGGTCTCCAGTTAGGTGTAGGGACAGCCACGGGACAAGTTTTGCTTTATGACATAAGATCAAACAAGCCTTTTCATATCAAAGATCATATGTACGAACAGCCAATCAAAGATATTGAGTTTCACTATCAACAGGATCTCGTTTTTTCATTGGACAGTTCTGTAGTGAAGATATGGGATAAGAACAATGTAAGTTTGCATATAGAATAATTTGTTTAAAGATGGTAAAGAGTAGTTATATCAAGAGAAGACAGAAAAGGCGACTGAATTAATAATAATAATATTTATTTGCCATTTTACTCAGACTGAAAATATAATACACAATATGATTGCAAATAAATATTCTACCGCTCACAGAAGGTACACACCTTGTGCGAGAGTTTAATTAGTGATTAAAGATGACCCCCAAAACACGGCGTCCACGAAACAGCTGATGGCGTCCAAACGTGCTGTTTATAGTTGGTCGGAGATATATGCGGTGTTGCCAGATAGCTAATCCTTTATGATGAATGCATTGTACATCACTTGTCTTGAAAGCACTTTTCATTCCAATATAATTTTGTTTGGACATCTATTCGTGGTGGGGATATTTATCATACAATTGCAGCCTATTCACGATTCAGTTTAGTAACAAAAGGACAAGGTAAGTTCGAAATTCAAATTTTTTCTCACCCACAATTGCTTATTTGACATGGTTGTCCATTATCTAGACAGCCTAGCCTTAAGAGGATATGCTTACTTATTTCGTATGACCTTATGACGCAACCACCAAAAATTATTGTGCTCAGTATAAATGTGAAATTTCAATTTAGCAATAGCGCGTCGGTACATGCAGAGCCAAACCCGCAGATCACTGGTAGAATGTCAAACCATCCGTTTTTTTAAACCAGTGATAGTCCATGAGCAGACCGCAAAGTTTTGCTTACATCGCGTACTGATATCATATGTCGAAAACTCGGCAAGTTTGCTGTTCAGCATCAAAATCGGACTGGTTTTTGTCATAACATATCTGTACGCGATGATGTAACAAAAGATTTGCGGTTAACCTACTGTCTTTGGAAATAAAGAATTGCCACAATCTAAAGACATTCAAGTATCCCTTAAATGACTAGTTAACTGAAAATTACTCTTATATTGTGCAATATTATATGTGCCGTTAAATCTTAGTTTTTACTATTTGACTGTTTTTTTGTTAGACATGGGTCTTTCTTTTAGAGTTGAAAATGTATATATGTAATGTTTTTTTTTGTCCAGAGGAACTAAATAAATAAATATAATTACTCTTCGGCTATCCTAGGATTTTATATTTCGCAACGACGGAAAAAGAAATGCCATAACATAGTCGGAAACCTAAATGTGGTGAGTGACATGTACGTAGAACTCATAAGCATAAGTCAGTATGCTTACTTTCGCGAAGGTCCGGGTTTCAATATCATTGCCAAAAGTAGATTAATAAAAGATAGATTTGATAGAAAAGTATGCTATTTGTATTACCCATTGGGTTGTGTATCTTCTGATAGAATATAATCAATTGATAAAGACAGAAAAACTTGTATTGAGTATGTTTCCATGAGTACCACATAGCCCATCCTATAGAGTGTACACAGGCTCAGTGTTACTCCTCCAAATGATGTGAAGCTTGGTCATTAAGAAAGGACTACATTTTGCTTCAACCTATAAAAATAACTATTTCAGTTTTTGGATTAATTTGCTTCTATGCCAATACCAGTAAAGTAAGGACTTTCGACAATTTTTCATTGCTTGCTTGTTTTAGGGAAAACTATACACTTCGATAGAAGCCTCCACAGAGTTCAACAACCTGTGTGTCGTTCCAAAAAGCGGATTGTTGTTCCTAGCGACAGAAAATACAAAAATGCAAACATACTATATACCCAGCTTGGGCCCTGCACCACGATGGGCCAGCTTCCTCGACTCGCTCACTGAGGAACTTGAAGAGAACAACTTTGAAAACGTTTATGATGATTACAAGTTCATCACAAAACAGGAGTTGGAAAATTTGGGACTAGATCATTTGATTGGAACCAACCTTCTCAGAGCTTATATGCATGGGTCTGAACCAAATTTAATAATAATAATAAACGTCTTTTATTGTGGCAGCAAAGTTTAGCTCAAAGCTATATTCATAAATAATGCTATGATATGAAGGGTACAGGAGGAAAAAGCTGAATGTTACATAAATTAAGTTTCCAGAAAAGTGAATTTAAAAGTTTGAAGACTCCTATTCGTTGTACAGGGTTGGTCAAGGATCTGACGGAGTACCATAGATTCCTTATTATAAGAAATTGAAAAAAGTTAAATTATAGATAAGAAAATATTTTTTGATATTCATGGTTGCCCAAAAGTGAAAGCAGGCCAAACACTTTTAATGGAAACTCCTATTTATTTTGGTATTTTCTCCTCCTGATTTTAAACATTTTTTATGTGTTGGCGTCCATTCCTGATTCAACTTTTTTTGAGATATTGAGGTTAGAAGTGATTCTTTCATCATATGCGACACCCTGTAAAATCTAAGGGTTGATTAACCAGCAAAATGCCTACCTTAGGTTCTAACATGAGAACTACCTTAACATTAAATTCATTACACAGGGCCTACAATATGAGAAAAAGGTGATTTTCTAACTTAAATAGTCCAAATATAGAATTATTTCTAATTATTTTTTTAATTGGGTCAGGAAAAAACGTTGAAGACTGGTGTCTGGTAAATTGTTGTAGTAGCTACTAGTTTCGGTGACGATCAGTGGCCGTTCATCTTTTCTTTCATACAATTGCTGTGACATCCATCTTTTTTCACTGCACGACAAGTTTTCAGTTGGGTATAACTTGCTTTTGCGTGTTTCAGATACTACATGGGTTAAAAGACTACATGTTGCCGGTTCTGACTACAAAACACTAAATTTGTGACATTCATCTTTTTCTCCTTTACCCTCCAAATGATGTAGACTGAATACCATAAGTGTAAATACTTTAGAGAAAGAGACATAAAGATCCCAAAAATTGCTTACCTTCGAGGTTTTGCAAGGAATTCGAAAAAATCGCGATAGTATTTGTTATCCTAAATAAAAACATAAACGATATTTATTGGTGCAAGTACCAGAAACCATGCTTTTTTGTCAATCCACCTTATAAAAATTATAGTTTTGGGACAATCATGCTGATCTATATGATTAGTTTTTATATTGGACGTCTTAGCATGGGGAACCATGCGCAGCTTAGTGTTCACAACAGTGGCCCAGCATGTGCTGTTGTGTATATTGGACCTAAAACGTGTTTGTCCATTAAACTATTTTTTGAATATTTTGCACAGTATAACGTTGATTTTCTAGTCTCTTTTTTGGTATTATTGGTGCCGATTTCCCAATGTTTATTTTTTGCAGGTATTTCATGGATGTGCGGTTATACAAGAAAGCCAAGTCGGTCGCAAATCCATTCGAGTTTGATGAATATAGAAAGAAGAAGATACGAGAAACTATTGAAAAAGACAGAAGTAATAGGGTCCAAGTTGATAAGTTGCCCAAGGTCAATAAGGACTTAGCTCTCAAACTCATGAATGAACAGAACGATAAGAAAAGAAAAGAAGGTAACCGACGTTTCGATAAATGTGCAATTTTTTCAGTTAATATTTAGTCAGTTTTTTGATGAAATTTTTGCACAATAGTACTGCTATACCAAGGACGAAAAAGATTTGTAGTTTTTGAAAATCGATACAGTGGCGGCGTAAAAAATGCTAAAAGCTTACCTGCATCCAAAACCTTTTGAAGAGCGCGAGGTAGCTTATTTTCTCAGGATGGGAGGACAAAACCAAAAAAGACCCAAAATTGTATACAAGCATGCTGAATAATAACTGTATGAGCCTGTTCGACTGGCTCGATCCATTGAATTTTTTGTTATACGTGTTCGTAGCTAGCTTTTTTCTTAATAGGGCTTGTACCGAACTTAATCCTTTATGTATTGATGACGGCGTTGCGTGGGAAGTACAAAAGCAACCAGCACTTGGTTGAAGTCTGTTCGTCAAATGTGACCCACGAATCAGCTGTTTCATTTCTAGAGAGTACGCTACTTCGCAGTTTATGTTTAAAATTCTGATACATCCAGAATGGTTATTGGTTTACCTCACAGTTTATTCTTTCGTTGTAGGTGCCGCATCTCTCTTGGCGGATGATAGATTTAAGGCTTTGTTCGAAAATCCAGATTTTGAGGTGGACAGAAATGCTGAAGAATACAGACTACTAAATCCAGTGTTATCCAGAATGGAAGAGAAGAATAAGAAGAAGCAGCTGAAAAAGATTGTTTCCCAAGAATTTGATCCGGTTGAGGTAAGTGCCGCGTGTTATAGTACATAGCATGTTACACGCTTTTCATCTAAATCACAGCTATGAGATTATGTGACATAAAAACACACCCTAGATGAACAGGAATAAGTGTCATGAATTAACTTATTTTTAGGAGGAGCCTGAAGGTAAAGGAAGTTCTGATGAAGAATTAGATTTTTACGAGTTGCGACAGGGCGAAGATTATAAAGGAATAAATTCTTTGAAGAAGAAGCGGAACAAGTAAGTACAATCTATTGTTTTGCACTTAGGCCATCCACCGGGATCTTTCGCGCTTCTGTACAAGATATTTTAAATCCGACTGTCTCCATTGGGAAATTGGATACGGTAAGATATTTGCGGGGATAGATGAAAAATATCGAATTCTACAAAATCGTTTTTATTTTTTCTGACTATTTGGGGTGAGATTTCAAAATAAATTGCTCGTTACGAACTTTACTGACATAATTAGAATTTTGTTTCTTGTCTTCAATCACCAAGTTTATTTGTCCCTATGTACGCCACCTTTTGCTCAAGTGAATAGGATTTTTAATTCTGATTCTATAAATGTATAATAACATTAACTACATCAACTTCTTTCCAGAGCATCACTGGGCGAGCGAATTAGAACAGAAGAAGTAAACAGACGTTATTATATAATGTAAGTTGTTATAATAAAAAGTGTTTGAGCTTTAACAACTTGTATGTAAATTTATATTCCAGTGCATTCCTTGTGATACTTGATGTTTCTTCTCTTTCTTTGATAGAATAACAGAATTATGGCATGTTTTCATTTGGATGATTCGGGTTTATCTTAATGGACTAGCAAAGCCAAAGCATACAGCTGGAATTACTTCTTATCCCAGTGTACGTCCAAGCGAATGTAACCTATGTTTGTTGTTTATTAAGCACAATGCAACAACATTTTTAATAGTTACACACAAATACATCAAATTCCAAATTAGGGTCATTATTATAAATACATGTTTCCCAAAACTCTGTCTAATTGGATCTATTCAAGAAGAAAACATTTGTTGTTTGTGAAATTAGAGTCATTTAGAGACGTCTAATATAAGACTCATAAGACAAAATTTCATCACACTCTACAAATATAACAAAATAGCGAATTAATGTTTTTGTAGGGATCATTTTTAAAATCTGTAATGGAGAAGATTTGATATTCCGTGGTGAAGGTTTCAGGAATAAATACTTTTTTTACTACTAACTTGAGAAACGGTTATTATTGACCTCGATGAGATGTAGCTTTTTTTTTCTATGTGAATAATGATGTGTGCTGCTGTCATTGTCACTTTGGCAACTAAACTTTATAATTAGTACACGTAGCATCATCAGTCACCAACGAGCTACCGCGTCGAACGCTTAGTGTGCGTTCATACTGAATGCGCGGTGACTGCAGCCTAAGCTTTCGGCTTTCTTTCTGTCGGTTCAATTGCAACTTAATATAACTTCCCGGTTCCAGGGATGGTAAAACAAACAAAAATAATAAATATGGAGCTTATTCTAATTGATTCAACAACACATCCATCCTTGTAAGCTATATCAAATTACATTTAAACCAACTAGGGAAAAAACTAAAATTGTCGGTGGGAATACAGTTATGCTCTCCAGTGTATTTCGCAATATTTGAATACGAGTGAGATTTGGCTGAACATAGGTATAACTTGTTATGACTACGATTGGGATAATATAATATATTATATAATAATATTCAAAGCTAAGGAAAACACGATCAATTAACATTAGCATATTACCCCCTTGAAAATGCTAACAGTTATACTCGTACGTTTACGCGCCTAAGGGTATAAAAGTGCTTGGTCAATAATGTTACACATCGCAACCAAGGTAAGTGATGTACTATTTCAGCTTGTTTCTATTGTGAGTATATTATTGTAAGCTACAATTCCAGCATTTATGGCTCATTGGACCGAAGCGTAAGTTAACTTATATTAGCCAGAATGTATTTTAATTTATGCAGGACAACTTAACAGCTGCGAAGTGCTTAAATGTCTTATGTTCCCTTCCATATAAATGACGTGTTTCTAGTCTCACACTGTAGATATGCTTCCTTAGCTGACAGTGTCTGTATAAATGAGGGATATTCTAGCATATAAGCAGCCAGATGTTTGTCAAAATTTGGTATTCCCGTTGTTCTCACACGTTTCTGAAAATCGGTTGTCAACGTCAACACTAAGTGGTTGGTATTTTGCTTATCGATGTCCGGTTTTTATTTATATCTAGGGTGTTGGGTGTTATTGATATGATATTTTGGTAGTTTTTGAATAGTTAAAATATCAATACCAAAAGCCTACCAGTTTATTGCCGACGATTTAATAAGAATTAAGCATCCCACAAACCGGCGCGAAATATTCGCTTTGGCTGCGAAAATTTCGCGGCGATGAATTCGCGATCAGATTAAAACGCGGCGGTTTACGGACAGACTCAGACTTGTGCGAATCGCAAAGCGATTGTTCCAGCGTTTTTATCGCGGCGTATTTCAGTTCGCCTTTGACCGCGTTTTTGACGCCGTTCTTCAAAAATTCGCAATGGAAAAAACGGAATTATTGATAGAAATAGTGAAAAAGTATCCTTGTTTGTATGATTTGTCGAACGATGAATACAGGAATGTGAGAAAGAAAGACAAGATTTGGATGGAAATAGGAAAAGAATTAAATACAAATGGTATGTACCTAATGTTTTTTATTAACTTGTTAAATAATTTACAGTCTACACAAATGTGAAAACGAACATTCTATATATTGGGCATAGGCATATCAGAATTAAAATAATTTACGAATTTGTCACGAGTAGAAAATGCTAGCCTTGCTGCCCACCGAGGATCATTTGCTATATCAGTAAAAGCTCCAAGCACGGGTTCTGGGGGATCTAAGAATTGAAAATATTTGTCATCGCCACTTTTACTTCGTAAAAAATTGTGTAAAACACATGCCGTACGTACAATTAGAATAGTAGTATTTAGTTTAGTTTCTAATGGCCTGTAAAATATTCGCCATTTTTGAGACAAAATACCAAACGCATTTTCCACGACCCTTCTAGCTCGACAAAGTCTTACATTGTATTTCTCTTTTCTGACGTCTGTTAAAGTCTGCTTATAAGGAAATGGTCTCATAAGGTATGGTTTTAAAGCAAATGCTTCATCACTAATTAAGACGTACGAGCAGATTTCATTTTGCCCAGGGAGAAATCTAGGTGCAGGGACACTCATTAAATTTTGTTCAAATCGTTTTCCCATGTTTGAGGTTTCGAAAATACCCCCATCACTATTTTTTCCGAAACCATCAATATCAACACATATAAATTTATAGTCCGGGCCAACAATGGCCATAAGTACTATTGAATATTTATGTAAATAGCACCAGTAATTGGAGCCACTGTTGTTAGGTCTCTTGATTGTTACATGTTTACCGTCCACGCTGCCAATGCAATTGGGAAATCCCCATCTATTTTCAAATTCTTCAGCACATTTTTTCCATATATTCTCTATTGGTTCTGGTAAATATATATGCTCCATATGTCTGCACATCGCTTCACAGACTTCGGTTACGATTGCACTCACTGTTGTAAAGCCAACTCGAAAGCTATGCCCAATGGTATAGAAGGTGTCACCAGTGGCAAGGAATCTATAAAAAAAATCGTTTTTAGGTGATGAAGTAAAAAAAAGGTGGAAGAATATCAGAGACACATTTGCAAAATATATAAAACCTACCAAACCAAAGACCGGCCAAGCAGTGGGCAACATAAAAAAAATGGCAGTGGGCTGACTACATGGAATTTTTCCGTCCTTTTTTGGCATTTGCCAAAACGTCGTCTAATGTGAAAGATATTGACGTCATACATTATGAGACTGCCGAATTTAACTCAAATATATATCAGGAAAGGGCTGGAAATGTAGAAACCAAAAATTTGGAAGACCGCGGCCATGGAGAAGATGAAAATGCTGATGCAGATGCAGAAGATGCACAGAACGCCTCGGCAACACAGACAGCACCACCTTCTTCATTGAACACTACAGCAGTGACTACTCCAGGGCACACCTTTCCGCAGACTGCAACTACACCAAAATATAAAACGAGCAGAAAACGCTATGAACCACCATCTTCGTCTGTACAACAGCTCATTAATTATTTTGAAGGTAAAAAACCTAAAAAAGAGAACGAGGCCATTGATTCACTTTTCTTGGCACATGCACAGACTGTGAAAACACTTCCCTTAAAGCGTCAAGCCCGAATAAAACTAAAAATAGCCGAATTAATAGCGCACGAAGAATTTGAACATATTGAAGAAATGTCTTCAGCGTCTACCCAGAATTCTGCAAGTATGTATGATAGTAGTATGTCGTCCTTCCCAAGCGGCACTGGGTTTACTCCAATAATATACCCAACAGAGGAGGCAAATTCTGCCTCGAATTATTTAGCAACATTTAATCCTAGTGGCAACATGTAGTCCAATTATTACAATAAAATATTTATTTCACGATCCCTGAAGTTTTCGTATTCGATAAGCCTACTAATTTTAATACATATAATTTTTTTACCTGAGTGTAATAGCAAGTCGTTCTTCTGGCGAATTAGCTTCACGATAATTTGTGTCAGATTTTAATATTTCACCTTTCACCAAGTTCAATATTTCATCGAAACACTCTGGAGTCATTTTAAAATATACGTAAAAGCGCTGTTCATCCAGCCGAAGTTGTGGCATCAAGGTATGGTATTCCCCAAATTTATTTCGTTCCAAGTTAATATCATGTACCCACTTCCTTCGTTTCCTAAACAAAATTGAAAATATTTGTTTTACGTACTTCGTTAAACTTAATACATACCCATCAAATGGCGTTAAATAAACATAACTTGCATAACCGTGCATTTTGTTCCTCTTCTAAAGCAAGAAATAGAAGTGCCTCCTCTTCTTCTGAAGACGAGCTCATTGCAAAAGGCAAAAATAAAATGTACGCAACCTGTCGAAACCTTCACGTTCGCGGAGCGAATAAGACGCTTTGGTATGAATAAACAGGCGAAACAGATTGCGAATTTCGCTCTGAATTTCGTTGCGAATACTTCGCCGCGATTATTTCGCGCCGGTTTGTGGGATGTTGTAAACTTTGGGAGGCAAATTTTCTCGGAGATTAAATAATATACCGTCTAAGAAAAAAGGACGTGTGAAATTTGGAGAAAATGCTGCACCTATTTTAGCCAGGGCATTCTAGATCGCCCGCGATAAGTAATCGAGCAAACGTAAGTAATAATGAACTACTTCTACTTGCAAGATCAACACAAAGATACATATAATAGTGATGAAACACTGATACCGTTATATGTACTTATTGTAAAATAATTAGTTATCTGTCTATTATAATGTTAATAAAGCTAACAATCCTACAGTTAATCTAACATACAGAGACATACGAATGTGACATTATTTGATTAGATACTCTCTGCCGTACAATTCTTTTTATAATGTTAATAAAGCCAACAATCTTACAGTTAATCTAACATTCAGAGACATACGAATGTGACATTATTTGATTAGATACTCTCTGCCATACAATTCTTTGATAGTGGAGACTACTAACTTCTCGTAGGCAGAAATCATACTGTAGCTCTCAGTCAGCCATCTGTATCGCCCAAGAATTTGATGGGTTCCATGTCCTACCGGTAGTGTATCTGGCAATGTTACCTCTCCCCGATAGTCAGTCATGCGCGACAGTAATAGTAGAATATTTACCAAGACCAGCACGTCGCCGGGAGCGGAAGCAGACGCGGCCGATAGGTACGCGATCTGTGTGCTGAGAATATTTTTAACGGCAAATGTACGGGGGATCCTATGATGTGTGAAATACATCTAATAGTTTTTTTTTATATTCCAACTGCCATGACGGCCTAAGGCCTAAACACCCCTGGGGTAGGGGGATACAGGGGAAAGGGGGGACGCCACACGGACTCTGCCAAGGGAACACGTGTGCATGCAACATGCACATACTCTGGCCCCACCTGCGAGATCCGCCGGGTGGTACCTCTGCGTTCGACAGTCAGAGACCGTCTACCACCTACGGACAATCACAACATTCATAGCCAAGAGAAAAATTTCTCTTGGGACGGGATTCGAACCCGCACAGCGCACGGCGACTGATCAGGGGACCGAAGAGTCTACTACTTGGGACTAGATTAGTTTTGTCCCAGTCAGTGAAATATCTGGGAATTATCCTGGACTGCAAACTGAACTGGAGAGAGCATGTGGAACACAAGGTTAGCAAGGCTCGCAATTCGATGTGGGCTTGTAGACGTGTTGTCGGTGTAAGGTGGGGGCTTAAACCCAAAGTGGTATACTGGCTCTACACGACGATAGTACGTCCATCTCTCTTGTACGGCTCCCTGGTCTGGTGGCCTTGCATTAGAACTGAGTCAACTAAGGCCAAACTCAATAAAATTCAGCGTTTGGCCTGTATTAGCATTACAAGCGCAGTGCGAACAACGCCATTGAGTGCAATGGAAGCTCTGATGGATCTCCCACCGTTGGATCTGGTGATCCGCGGTGAAGCGAGAGTAGTCGCTCATCGACTGTGGAGTCAGGGCAGCTGGGCTTTCTTGAATCCGGTCAAGGGGCATACTGCCATATTAGTCGAATTAGAAAGGGAGGACCCCGTCCTTCTAAGCAGGGGTGATCGTATTACCCCTAAATATCGCTTCAACCGCAAGTTCATTGTGGAGTACCCAACGAGGGAGGAGTGGGACGCCGGTAGCCGAGGACTCTCCGAAGTGAGCGGGCAGGTCTGGTACACGGACGGCTCGGTCACCGAAGAGGGCTCAGGTGCTGGGGTCTCTGGACCTAGAACTAGGCTATCTCTGCCTCTCGGTGAGTACACCACCATTTTCCAGGCGGAAATCTTTGCGATTCTGGCTTGTGTATCTCACATTCTGGAGGAGGGTGGGTCTAGGAGAAGAATAACAATCTTATCCGACAGCCAGGCTGCAATGAAAGCACTAAGTGCATGTAAGATTACTTCGAGTCTTGTATTGCAATGCAGGGAGGCTCTGGATTGCCTCGCAGCGAGGCATCCGGTATCGTTAATATGGGTACCGGGGCACGCTGGGATAAGGGGCAATGAGACGGCGGACACTCTGGCGAAAACAGGATCAGCCAGCAAGCTCGTTGGTCCTGAGCCAGCTCTAGGAGTAACCGCGCATAAAGCTAGGAGGAAAATGGAGACGTGGGTTGCAAGACAACACTCTCAGAAATGGAGAAGTATCTCTAGACATCTCCGCCAGGCACGAGAGCTCATTGAAGGGCCCAGTGCTAAGGATGGACGCTTCTGCCTATCTCTGGGTAGAGCCAACCTAAGGTTGCTGGTGGGACTGTTGTCTGGCCATAACACGTTAAGGCGGCACCTGCACGTGATGGGGGTGGCTGAGGATCCCTTGTGCGAACGCTGCGGAGTAGAGGAAGAGACCTCGGCGCACGTTTTGTGTCGCTGTGAAGCTCTGAGCTACTATAGGCAGACTATACTGGGGTCCATTACTTTGGACCCTCAGGACGTAAAGGAGCTTGGACTCAAGGCGATTCTCAACTTCGCTAAAAGGACGAGGCTTGTGATTTAAGTATTGTAGAGGTGCATAAGGGCCCGCTTAAGCGGCCTATGCACTGGCTCCTTATGGTGGCCGGGATGCCTCTAAAATTCAAGATTCATTCATTCATTCAGAGTCTACTACTGCGGCCACCGCTGCTGGTGCGTAGAATTACCAAGGTCGGGGCGTAGAAATATATCAAACAATTTAGATATACCCTCCCAACCCCCTACAACCGCACCCCCCCACTTTTTTCAAAAATGATCAGGATCCTCTAAAAAGCCAAAAAATGAGCGTTTTTTATTTTTTCGTTTTTGTTGTTTTTGTCCGCCGACTCTGGACCGATTTTTAAAAACAAAAAAGCTCTTTCGTCCTTGGCATAGTAGTAACCTTGTATGAAAATTTCATCCAAATCCGAGTAGTACTTTTCAAGTTATAGGCGGTCCAAGGATTAGCGGACAGACTGCCGGAAATGAGTGACATGTTTTTTCGCGCTGTACGTGTCATATAACATTCAAAAAACGTAATATCTCATTTTAAAATTTTTAACGACTACAATACTTCCTGGCAAGATGTACCAGGCGGATTAAACTTGAATCGTTCGCACAGTAACTTGAGTAGGTAAACCAAACACTTAACGCTTTTGCAGTATGAACTGATTCGCTAAGCATTTTGGAAATGTATCGCTTTCAATACTAAGTAACGAAAATACCGGACCAGGACTCGCGAAGTCTGATTTTAATAGTCCTTTTTGGCGTCACAACTCCACGTGAGTCTGCCTCGTTCATTATTGCCCTCCATTCGCGTCGATCGTGTACCACTATTTCCCACTGTCCCACTCTTCATTTTCTCTAGTTTTTCCCTCACTGCATCTTTCCATCTTTTTATAAGCCATCTTATGGATTTCTTACTATGGCATTCCCAAAAACACGGTGCTTATTAGACGGTGATCTCCTCTGCGTACCATATGTCCCTTGGATTATAATTAACCCCCCCACCCAGGCTAGATTTATGTTGTTGCTGGTGGAGGCTTCAACAACACATTCACTTGTTGTGGTAGACTCTGTTTACCACATTTTATGAGTAACTGTGTTAAAATTATGTTTGTTCACTTTTTTTTAGTTGTGAACTGTTCTTGTTTATCATACTTCAGACAGTTAACTATCAGTCAAACACTAAAATATAGATTTTTGTAATCCAGATCTGTATTTATAGATATGTGAATACAGCTTTTATTTTGAAACTTGAGAAATTACATTTCTGTTGCATATAAAAGATGAACCTATTAAAAAAGTAACACGAAAGGTTATCAGGGAAGTAAATTATATTTATCTTTAGATAGTCCAGTCAGTACAAGAATATAGATCACAAAAATTCCGCATAATATATAGCTTCCAGTATTTTAATGACAATAGAAGTAGTATAACAATTATATACGACGATTTTCCTAGAATGAGATACTGCAGCAGGTGCGAAAACAAACGTAAATACTCGAGTACTGCGACAGTACTTTTCAAAAAGTCCTGTACCCTAACTTATCTGGAACATTTTTCTAAATGGAAAGAGGGTCATGTGGCCTCACAAAGCTCCTTATCAGTCTTTTTGAACCCTGGAGTGACCATGTGTTACCTTTCAAAATAGCGGGCTATTCGTTTTGTACATTGAATCACCTATAACTCAACAACTGATCATCGAAACGCCATAGTACGCAATGTCAATTTTCGTCTTTTGAATGGGTCTATCTGAGTGTGCAATAAAATATATGGGACATTTCGTTTTAAAAATTGACAGATTTTGACATTTGCATTAGTATTATTACGAACGGTGGGAACTGCGCAGACATATACAAAGACACATCTCGTTAGCAGTTTTGAGTACGGCGTTACTCTCTGAACTGTATAACCGACAGATAGAAAACAAAACTCGGCAGCTAATGCTACTAGCAAATGAGTCTCTTTTTGTCTCCACACGATTAGACCTATACCGTAGAGATGATTGCTAAGAAACAACGTTATATCTTGTACCTTCTGTAAATATTATATACTTTCTGTAAATAGATGTAAATAACGAGTTCGGAGTTTCAACAGTACCATCCTCTATGTGCCTCTAACACCAAATGAGAAGGCACAGCCTGCCTCTATGCAATCTTTTGCTGTACGCCGTTGTTGGTAGCCTTCAGAATACCTCGTTTACCAGCTGATTGGCGAATCGTCCTTTCAGTGATGGTATATATCCGTTCATTTGAACAGAAACTGTCATTCAGTATAGGTCAGAGGCGTATGGCCCTTCTGCATTTTCAGCGTATGAGCCGAAGATCTATAAAGCATTAGCGAACAATTAAGTAAGCGGTTATTGTCAGTGTTTCCATCTCTTTGTGAACAGCATACTGATATTTTAGGAGATCATACCCGCTAGCCCGCGCCTAGCCGCCACCTTGATATATCCAACTGTTAGATACAAGTATATACTACATTATCGGAATTTCAACTTGCTAACTTGATTCGTAGTTCGAAGTACTTAAAACACCCAGACTATGAATTTATATCTTCAGCAAGAAAAAAAATATTGCAACACCAAGTTCTTTCCTCCATGTTCAATGAACAGAGTGGTATGTACGTTTTTGTTATGGTTAGTTGAAGGTGAGTTGTTTTTTCTTGATAAAATTTTATTTTGTTTGTATTTTGTGTACTCTTGTGTGTTCTTCTATCTTGATCATTATGGGTGATGAGTTAATCGTTTCAGGGGTAGAATTCAATGTGAATGTGATGGCCGGAGATGGGGACAATAAAACTCGAGTGAATTTGAATTCGTCAACTAATCTGGTAAGTAATTTTTATATCTTTAATCAGTCTATACCATCCTAAGCTTATCAGAGTATGCGGAAAACTGGTAAACAAATGAAAAGTATGCTGTTTTTACGCCGAATTTGCTTCCATAGCAAATAAAGTACTATGCACTCCTACTACATCATATTATTTGATTTGCTAAACCATCATATACAAGGTGCTGAAAACTATAAACAAATTGTTCGTTTGTTATATCTGCACCTAAAAAAATTGGACTACTTTTAGTGTCAACAAATCCTTACAGAATTTTAACAGAAAATAAACAAATCATGGAAACCGTGTCTAGATAGGCGGACTATTTTTGCTAAACAAAGCGGCAGCAGGGGGCATAGGTGTGGCTCAAGTTTTACACTCTGCATATATCAGTAGCAACTAAGAAAGCCTTAGTTTGGTCCTGCACCTTGTTTTTACAATACGTGCTGTTTCCTAATTGAATTTCAATATTTAAGTGGCGATTTTTAGGTTCATTTTAAGAAGAAATCTTCATATGAACTTGTGTCCCAAACGTGTTAACTTTGGGATACATGGTTGTAAATCTTCCAAAACTAAATCATTCGTTATTATTAATATTTGTAATACCATTTATATTTTAATGACATCTGGCATGCATGTGGAGACATTGTGTAATGTACCATACTTTTTTATTTTCCACCCTTGGCGTTCGTACGGAATTTCACTTGCCTGTTTTGCCAGACATTAATGGTACGCCACTGATTTCTCTAAAAAATTATTCTTGAGATCCCCAGGTAATATCTAAGTAAATTTGATCACTTTTTTCAATCCGATGCACGGGTTTCGTCTAAAAAAATAAAAACCGTTTATATGACAAAATCACCATACAGAGAGGAGATCAAATCTGGTAAATGACTGCAGATTTAATTTCGTTTATTGTGGCGTGTAACTGACTTTCTATAATAATATTTACGACTATGTTAATTAGGTAGCTATAGTCAAATACCAGAATTGATGACAGTAGCAGAAGTCATCGTGCGCCACTGCTTTGACGCTGTACCTTTTGATTTCAGCGACGTTTACCGACATTTCACAAAAAAGCGCCGCATTTTCGAAGGCCTCCGCATAATAGCAGTGGCGTACGAAGAGTTTCGCTACTGTCATCAATTTTGGTATTTTACTATAGAGGTTAAAATTTGGAATTTGTTTCTTACAAAATCTTAAATTGTGTGTGAATAAATTAATAACAACCTTCGTGAAAAATACGTAGAAACTACATAACTTATTGAAAATTCCAAGCAAAACTCATTCCAATAATTGGTATTATGCATAGGAATTCAAATTATTACAGGACTATTTTTACCTATACACAATTATCCAAATGTAGATATAACATTTTATAGTGGAGTTGGTGATGAAAGATTACAGCAGCGACGCCTTTAAAACTGTAGGTCCGTTTTCGCAAGAACTTCAACCTGTCAGCTCGAAACAGCATTTTCTTTAAATATATAAAATCCTTCAATTAAATGCAAAAGCAAAAACGTCGCATATTTCCTATTGTAGCACTATTTTGAGCATATAAAAACACCATTTGCTTTCTTACAGATGGACCACATTCGATTGTTTGTTTTTCGTTGTATGTCTCCCTGACAAGACCGTATACTGTACTAATAATTGCTAACAAGCATGAAACGGCTTCGTATATTGTTGGTTATGGTCACAGAAATTTAATAGAAACAGTATAATACAATGTAATTTAATTGCCGTAGGATCAAGAAACGGATATAGAAGTATGTGACATCTGCATAGTGCCGGAAAGCTCCACTCATCTAACTGTCACAACAGTATTGCTATACTGCAAACAGAAAATCCTGAATCCGTACCTGAGGTTGTTGAGCTTTATGGGATTGCGTTCGTTACTAAATGAAAGAGAATCTTCATTTTTCCTCAAAGTGTTCAATTATTTTTATACTGCTACTGCCATACTTTTTATGATTATAGGTGAGTAAATGCAGGGTATGTTCCAAATTGTGTGAAAATACGTCAATATTGATTTTAGAGTCCAAAACTATCTGCTATAGATGTATCGGATGTTACGGAGTGTTGTTAGAAAAATTAGGTGCATAACGAAAAGATATGAAAAAAAAGTCCATATATGCCACTGAATTTTTAATAATTAGGTGGGCCGTTTTATCAGTCATACTGATTTTGGTTGAAGGGGTAATAAAAGTTTTTACTTCTGTCAGAAAAACTCTTGTTTTAACTTACTGACATTAATTTCTTGCACAAACCGGTTGCGTACTCCTCTTGCTAAACATAGAGACTTTCCGGCACTAACTAGCGGTATAAGTGTTTTGGAAAGCGATTTCGTACATGTTTATGACTTTTGATAATACATTTGCCTGTACCAAAACAGATCTCAATATCAATCTATTTTTAAGAAATATAAGATGAAAACGAAGCACCTCCGGTCCTATGTACATATGAACTTTTTTAAAATTGTCATGTGTGACCTAAACTGTCAATCATACCCACTTGTTTGCTTTCCGTTCATCTGTCTCCAAAACTACTAGACCTCTGCCGCACTGACCAGTTGCTAATGAGGACGAAACGGGCCTGTCTGCGGTTGGCCGTGGTAACAGAGGTGGAAAGCAAACATATACATTTCGGTTGTGTCTGTGCATATATGCATTTTTCATCGTAAGGAATGAGGATGAAGGTCAACTTTTCAAACAATTGGTAGGTGGAGATCGTCAGCCTCCGCAGATGATTTTTTTTTGTATAAAAGTGCTGAATCTGGCTATCAATTTTCTTGAAAACATTCTGTAACAGCGTGTACATTGATAACTAGATTTGATGATATTATTTCTAATCCTATCAAACTGTAGAAAAAGTAACACGTTCATGTAAAAAAAGTATAATTCACACGAAGTTTTGAGTTTATGATTTTGGTTGTGTAAGAGGAGAGAAAAATAAAATAGAAAACGAGGGGTGACAGTGACTATAACCCATACTTTGACCCGGGGAACAAAATACTTAGTAAAGTCGGAGCTACATTTGAGCGAGAGGAGAGGGATAATTTTCAAAATCAGTATTGAAATTCAATATTTTATTACGAAAAATGTGTCTGAATGTTGGTCAATTGTAGGACTTTTAGCTTTTAAAATACCGTGTCGATTGAGTACTGGAACTCGGAATCAATACCAAAAAGGGAAACAGAATAAAATAAATACAAACTTCACAACTTTCATGGATTTACTGGATTAAAAATTAGCCCACCAAATGATTTCAAAACAGTAAATAAATATTTTTCCCCGAGTTTCAATTTAAGTGATGATTCGAACTTCCAAGGTAGTTGATCTAGTACTCGATTGACGAGGCATTGTGATATCTGTAACACAACATTTTGAGGGTTCTTATATTTTATCAGGTATCTATTGCAGGATACATTCTCCAATACATGTCTTGCTTCAGGAGAGACCGAGGATTTTGGTATGTGATAACAAGTGACACACGCTACACGAAGACTTCCGTTAATGCCATTTTCCTGGAAACATGCGAAGGCTCTCTGATATTCACGTTCGTCATTCCGAGTATTCTGCATTTTGCTGCATATCTTCATGCCATTTATGTCTTCAGGAGTGGGGATGATGAACAACTACCTGTTCTCATGGAAAGAGTAAGGAAGCTTCAGTATTTATATATTTTATATTAAATGATTCCGTTGAAAGTTTCAAAATGTCCTCTGAGCTTTTCCTTAGATGCTTTACCTCCCTTAAAAAATTTTGTCTGTCCCTCAAAAAACAAACGAAATGGATTTTAAAGGTTTTTTCTTATAGTACTAGTCTTATTGATGTGAGAATTTTGAGCTAGTTGAATTCAGAGTAGACAATCAAGATGTACTGAGCTCGATAGCAAAAAGTACCAATAATGCGATATACTTTACAAGATGTTATAAAACGCAAACTGTAGATTGTTTTCGAACAAATTAAATGGAACGCCTTGAAAACGTCTGTGTGGGTAAGCACTGACATCAGTGCTGCCATTTATACCACCTAAAGTACCCCTACTGAATAATATTTGCGGCAATATACTGTACTTGTTTTATGCAGAGTTAAAAAATATATTAATATACCTATCTCGAATTGACATCTAACATATCTTTTCAGGTTTTTCTTATAACCACCAACCTCAGTAGTAGTTTTATCACCCAGAAAAAGTTAGTGAGAACACTATGGTTTTACATCATTTTTAGTGTATTATGGATGATCTCATGCTTCGCTGTAGTCAATTTTATGATGACAGTCGGAAATATCAACTTCAAATGGTTGGAAGATGAGTAAGTATTGTACATTTAATGCTTTCTAATAGGGTGAATTCGGGAGACTGGACTAAGTTGGGATATGCCCGACATGTGTTCTTACGTCACTTCGTTATTTATATTGGGATATAATGAATTCCGTATTAGTTATATTACGAAATTGGCCTAGCTCTAAGAACCAACCGTATTTTAATCCTCAGTTAAACTAAATTCCGTGATTTTGGAATAAGGTAAACAAAGTTGGGCTAGGGAGAGGTGATCCATCATGGACTAGGGAGATATGATCAGTGGTTAGTACAACTCTCCTTCCGGTATGTCTGACAATAAATGAATAACGGATATGCCGTTCCAAGACAAACATATAAAACTTCGTCTCGCTAAAAAGTTATCAAGTAGGAGTTAGAAAGTGCTATTTTAGTGGTGAAATCTGAAGGCTCTCTACAGAGGACGGGTGCTTCATTTTTTTTTTAAACTCCAACTACCACGAAGGCCTAAGGCCTAAGCACCCATTGGGTACCGTGGGGCTATGGGGGATACATGGGAAAGGGGGGACGCCACACGGACTCTGGCGAGGGAACACGTGTGCATGCAACATGCACACATTCTGGCTCCGCCTACGAGAACCGCCGGGTGGTACCTCCGCGTTCGACAGTCAGAGACCATCTACCACCTACGGACAATCATAACATCCATGGCCAAGAGAAACATTTCTCCTGGGACGGGAATCGAACCCGCACAGCGCACGGCGACTGATCAGGAGACCGAAGAGTCTACTACTGCGGCCACCGCTGCTGCCTAAAACAAACACACAACATCCATGGCGAAGGCGAGATTCGAACTCGCGGCCCGGCCGGCCGGCTGATCAGTAGCACGACACTCTGACCCACGCGGCCAACCGAGGTTCATTTAGTACGCTGATAACCCTAATGGTAACAAGAAACTCCTTGGTATTGTTTTATATGTCAAAGGGTTTAGACTTTATATTTGCAGCAAATGATAAGCTCACTATATACATACGTTGATTGGACCAATTAATATATTTAAAATTTCATATGCCATCAATCAATGCAACCCCAGTCATGAGGACTAAAATTATGGAAACATATCACGTTTTATCCCATTACATATTTGCCCTGGAAATAGTTTTATTTTTTGTTACTTTTCATTCAGCGATTATTTCGTGAGCAGATTTTTTTTTGACTACTCCCATAATGCATAAATAAATTGTTCGAGAAAACTTGTTTCCCTTATCTTTCTGTACAAATGGATGTGGTCTCAATTCTACTATGGTCAACTCTCCCAGCTCAATCAAAGGATTAATGACGATTTAGACATTACGTAGTTGTAGCTACAAAAAAGCTTTTTCAAAAATGCAAAGCTTTCTCTACCCTGAGCTTTGTACCTTCTTGTTTATTCGAAAAATAAACAAAACTTGATAATTTAACGAGTTATGATTGAACTACGTATATTCGTTTTACATATAAAAAATGTAGAGGCAATGGTTCACCACGCCATACCAGCTAATGACAGGTGTACCCCGCTCGAGAATTCATAGCGGCACTGTCGCTTTTGTGTGCGTTGTTGTGCATAAAGTAATTGAAACATTTTATATACAGAACGAACCCGTCGACATTGTTGTTAGTGATCATGATTACATTTCAAATCAGCTGAGAATTAAATATATTTTAATCGATGTGGTGAATAATTCTGCTTCACTATAGAAGTTAAACAGATTCACTGTTGCTAACAGTGCAAAATCAATAAAAAAAGACAGCTTAAGTAAACGTCAGAATATGCTTAAGTATTGTATTAAATTGTCTAGTGGGCCTTAAGATTGTAAAATGTAGATTTTAAAATAATGGTTGTATTTGTTTTTCTAGCACAACTGGTTCGTGGGGTGTGTGGTTGATGAAGATACTCCTGGTTATGTGCACATTAGCCCATGATATGGTTCAAGCAACCATTATTTCTAACTACTGCCTTCAAGCAGAACTACTCACAAATTATGCGCTATTTCTGAAAGAGAAGCTATTGCAACAATCTGTCGTCCCTTTAGAGTGGATGAGAGTAAGAATATGCTTCATTTTTTGGGTAGACTTTGCAACAAGATGTAACTTCTAAATGTACAAAGATAAATCTATGGAAAATAACACGTAGCTAATAGCTGCATTATTTTGCCACTTTTTGGAACTGACCTATTTCAGTAATTGGTAGTAGGTATAGGACATTGAAAGGGTTGTAACTTCATGTTCACTTGAAAATTATACTATAGAGCTATTCCAACACTTTTGAAATTTCAATATACCATTGACGTTTTTAGGAAATTGAGGATTTCAAGAAACTTCTAGACTACTTTAATGGAAAAGTTGCGCACTCAGTTTGCATCCTCACTATTATTAATATCTCATTCTCATGCTCTGGATTGTTGTGGATCACGAACTTAGATCATATTGACAGGGAGACGTTATCAGGATTCAGCTTCAGCATTCTGAATATCGCACTATGGTGTTTCATTGCAGTTTCTCCATTCATTCAAGTGAGTATACCCTATTAATTGTAGATAGTGGTAGTATAATAGCTACTCTAGATTCATAATCCATCGTTTTATATGTATTTCGTCATCAACTGTTATGATTTTATATTGTACATCTTTAGTTATAATAATATTGATTTATAACTAACAACTTATACATGGGCGAAGTTAAGCCACATATATTCCTCAACTCAACCCTCAAATAGTGATGGTCGCTAAGAATTTAGATTAGTAAAAAGTTAATATAATAAAAATAAAAGCATTGAGAAACAGAAATAATTATAACTACGTGTGTTGGGTGATGTTCTAAATTACATTTAAATTTTGTTAGCGATACGTCTCTAAATTGGTTTTGGCAAAGAATTATACAAGGATACTGTATTAAACCTGAAAGACCTAGTGAATAATGCGGTTGTATGTTGGGGCACGGTGAATAAATAAGCCAATCCTGACGCTAAGGATGGTGTAGCTCTAGGAAATCTTGTTGGCGTAGAACATAGCGTAGAGCGTCTGCACATTGAAAAACGTCAATTTTTATGTTCATTTCACTGAAGTTTTGCCATGCTTTGTAGATTTACTACTTTGCGGTAATACTCGTATTATAGAAAACTTCTGCTTTCAAGTCGGCCGGGCTGTCAAAATTACATTTGTTTATATTCGTCGAAATGGCGGCGGTTTTTGACACTGACAGGAGAACTTCATAGCTGATCATTTAAGCTTTGTCTCAATGGATATAACTAAAGACCAATCGTCTACCGCCTCACCTACAAACTGTGAATTGAAAGTGACAACTATCAAAGTACATTATCTAGTAGTACTCAGTATAAATCAACAATCTCAACAGAGACGCTCAGACTACTAGAGTTGCAGTAACCAGCACAACACAGACATTTGAGTGTGTCTAGGGACAGACAGGATCGACCCTGGTCTTAGGGAATAAAAGTGTTAGAACTCCTTTTGTTGTTTCAATACAACAGCAAAATTTCAAATATGCGGTATTATCATACTACAAGGATATGTTCTCTGTACGATGTTAGATAAAAAAGCTAACGCACCTTTATCTATACAACAAAATGTTCGTTGATTCGTCTTCAAGTTTGACCCTCTAATGACATCCATTTAACTATTCATTCTCGAGACTTCGCTTGACGCTATCAGGGAAATACCACTTGAAACATTTTGAGCTACTCAATTATTCAATTTCATTTACTTCCAGGCAGCCAGATTATCACATGCTTGTCAGAAACTGAAGACTTCAGGTCAGGAGGCCAGAACACGTCCCTATGTCCACCTGGATACGCCTACTATTGAACTAGATTCGATATTGCTGTACACTACAAGTTTGAGCATTAGCGGCAAACTTTATTTCACAAGTATTACGGGAAGAAGAATATGCCTATATATGACCATTGTTGCCATTATTTTATTAGTACTTGGGCAGTGTCATTATTTAGTTTTCAAATAAATTTTTCGTTTTTATTTTACAGTGTTTGCAAAACTTTGACCACCTTTCTTTTACCAATGACAGTGATGGTTTGCGGTCTCCAATAACATATCGTTCAGCAGCTACCATTAGATCTGCTCTAGAGATGGCCTATATGTATAGTTATTTTTTAATATCTGTGATATCTGATGTCGTTACTTTTTAATATTAGTGATTTAAAACCCTGATACGACTTTCGAATAACAATGTTATACTGCGTAAGGATCTGTTGGTCCTCCTAGAAACTTCTCTTATCGATAGACCGACTTCACGCAACCCGACAATTCGACGCCTCTCAAAAGTCACTTAGCTGGAATACGCACTCTAGACGACATTTTGAACAATAACAGAAAGGCTTCTCAATAAGCTACACGAAATTTAACATTTAACTGACACCGTAAATGTACGAAAACTGAATGCTTCTTTACCACCAAACAATACACGCAGCCACCACAAAAACCTAACAGAAAAACCTGACCAATTTATGACTAACTTGTAGTTCAGGGCAAGATGAAGCGATACGTAAAAAATTCTTAAATTCTAATACCTAAACATACGTAGGCGACCTTTTTTTGTTACTTAGTATAATTTGTTTGGAAGACTGTATTTGACACTCTGCGATGGACATTTTGAGCTTGGAACTAACCACTAACTACTTATTTTCGAACTTTATAACCTAGCCGATAGATTTGGAAACATTTCCGAAAGGACAACCTCAAAATAAATATATCCGCTTTCGTCCGTCCGACAAGACAGCCAACCATGGACAACTAGCAATAGATGGTGCTTTGTGTGTTACTTCGACATCCTCAATATTGAGGCATTGGGACTGCTGTGCTTTTTTTATATTTAAAAAATGAAGAAATTAGGAATGTACATAACTTATTAAATGAAACTATAATAGTCATCACACCTCTATTTGAAAATATAATCATACAACAAAAAATGCGATGTATATCATTAAAAAAAACGCTACAGAGAAAATGGAGATAAATTTATGGTCAAAATGAATTTATATCTGTACCGTTTATAACACAAAATTGGAATATTATTTACGCGACCCATTCTAGTTTAATACAATATAACAAAAAAGTCGAAACATATTACAAAAACATAAAAAATCCTAGATAACCTTAGTTCCGATGAGGCTGATTCACTTCATATTTAAATGCTGCTTAGTTTGCAGCAGCTGCTTCAGACTGAACGATGACACACTCAGACCAATGGCTGCTAAAACAAATGCTGTTGGTGGTATCTTGTATGGCGATTTATCTATGGGTATGTTCTGAAACAATGTAATCTGCTATTAGTCTTGTTTTCTGCAATAAAGTAATAAAAAAATAAAAGATACAGCTGAAAATGCATTTCCCTCAGCCCAGAAACTCCTGAGGGATGTTTTTATATTCCTTAGCTATTTGGTAGTTGAAACTCCTTCCATATATAGTGGTTTTATGGGCAGGAGGAGTGATGAGGACTTTGGATCTAATATTACTATTGTGAACTTCTGGTTGAAATTTTTTTTATAAAGGTCTCTTTTGTGTGATAATTTTATGATATAAGGTAATCGCAAAAATTTTTAATGTTTCTCATATTGATCCATTTAGTTTCTAAAGATTTTTCCGAAATGTGATCTTTTCTTATGCCATGAATAAACCTAAACAAGAATTTTGAGCAATTTGACTTTTTCTGCGACTTTCTACATTCAAACTGCTATGGTATATAGGTGAAAGGTACGAGAACTGTGGCAGTACAAGACTTTCACATATAGATTTTTAGTTACATGATTTAAATACCTGAGTGAAGAATAGGCATTTTTTATATTCATAAGCACCTGTTTTCGGAAGCGCAATTTTGAATCGAGTATTAACACAACGTTATTTCCTTCTTCTAATAGTTTAATTGGAACACTGTCAATTGTGCCACTGAAATTACTTCTGATTGTTTCTCGAACTCGATTGGGACCAAACAAAAGAAGAGTGGACTTTTTCGGATTTAATAACAAATAATGTTTTAATACACATGCGTAACCAAGCCTTAGACCGATTCGCAAGACTAAAGCCATAGCACTCTTGTAGAAAATCTGCCACAGTCACTTTTTTACAGTAAAATATTCAAATTCAAGTTTGAAAAACTATGTTACGTAATAAGCGGAACATGCTTTGTGCATCATCTCTTTTAAATTTGAAATCAAGTGACAGTGACAGATTTTTTGTACCAGTCTCAGGCTTAGTGGCCGTCTGTGGCGGCGTGGAACTGCGCTTGAGACGAATATTACACGACCAGTATTTACTGTGATACGTCATTGTTTACCATGGAATGTGTTACTTATTGGCCGTGTAGCCAGCACGTCAGTAATTATTGATTTATTAGATTACGTAGAAATACAGCGATAGTGGTCAGTAAATACTGATGGTATGGACCACAGTAAATACTGATCGCGTGCGCTTAAGAGCGAGTGAAAGTGTGATGCAGCCGACACAGGCTGTCGCTGATAGGAGTCGACTACGGGTGGATTTGGATCTTTTGAGTTGAATGGCTAATGTAAAATTTTATTTATTATATCATTTAAACTGGCAGCTTTCTAATAGCCATCCATCTTACAGCATACAAACTCACCCCTAATTTGACAACCACACCAATCCCTCGACAGCCCAAACTTTACACATATATTGGGTACAAAAATACAAAAACCAGATGAGTATTATTATTTGGATCCATTGATAAAAAACTAAGCATTTTTTCTTAGTGCATGCACTTTTATCGACCCGTTTTTTCGAAACACGAATATGTTATAAAACGTCAAACTTTTTATCTTTCTCCTACATTGAGTAATTTGGATCACACCATGGTCACTTTATGATATTATTCCTCACGTAAACGATTTATGTGGACGTTTTCGCGAAAAATTCTTTTGCTGTCTCAAAAATGCATCTATAGATGTTTCTGACATGTACTGAGAAAATCAAATGCCATTCGAAAATAAAGTTTACGATATCGAAATTCTACTTCAGTTTATTAAAATTCTTGGATCAAAGTCTTCTAGTACAAAAACAATACTTTTCCAATGCTTGTAACCTGTGTGTGATCCACCATCGCCTTGCATTGTAATGAGCACCAATGACTGAGTAGATTTTCGAAAACCATACACAATTTCGATTATTCATAAACCATGGAAAATTCATGTTATGATTTGGATTTGGAGAACCCATTTAAAAGAGAGGAAAAAATTTCAGCGATCAGTGAAAATGCAATAAGTGGAACGGCAGATGTGTCGAATATGAAATGGAATCTCAAATTGCATATGTGATCTGTTTCAATAAATGCGCTCCGAAGAGCAAGATCAAGTCCAAAGTCGTAAACTATAAAACCAAGTATCAAATTACGACTATTTTGCAAACAATAACAACGATAGCTGGCAACTGCTCATCCAAGATCATGTTAACAATCGGCTGACCTCTAACGAGGTGCAATGGAAATAGAATGACGTTCAAAGTATGTGCAGCGGATGTTTGCCAAGTGTTATCATTGTATATTTAGCTAAATGAAAATACCAATTGGGAGTTCCTGATTATAATGTAAATATCTATATTTTTTTCGATTGGCTTGATTCCAACTAGAATGAGTAATCTATTCAATTCAGCGGAACAGAATCGTTTGATATCAAGCAACTTTATTTTTTACATACTATCAGTTATTATCACAAAGTTGTCAGTGAGCGCGATAAAATGACACATTGCCATGATATTGGATATAAATTATGTGCAAAAATGCCTCTAAACCTTATAAGACTAATGAAGCTACCTTTTCACTATTTGGGACTAAAATTATATGAACACGTGTCCAGACTAATAAAAATTTCGAAACATAATTTTAAAAAGGAATTATCAAAATGGATACACTTAATAGGAAGACAACATATTTTTGAGCTACAATCAAATATCCCTTAAAAATTATGATTTTTCTACATATACACCGATTTGATATAAATTTGTCTTCAAGTTTCTTACAACTTTTTTGTTTTGTTTTTGGAACACATTCCAACCTACAACTGATCCATGTACAGGCATTGTCTTTCTGTGGATTGAAACACTTATTTACACATGTTATTAGTTGTAGGATAGCAAACTGACATACTTGTGTATGTTTGATATTGAATTGAATTATCAAGAATGTGAGTTATTCATATTTCCATTGGTTTCAAAAGCACAATTTCTAAAAAATATTCGACATAACGAAATCAAATGCCTAATTACGAGGAGGGTTATGGGTGATCTATACTTATAAGGTACATCAAATGTTTAAGAATGAACAATTGTCTAAAAAGTTGAGTCTTTTTCATGCAAAATGAAAACATTCATATTCAATGCAACGGATATTATTTTGTTATGAGGTGTTGTATATACAGGACCAAGGCTACAGCTGAAAGGGCTTTATGACAAAGCTAAATTCAAGAGGCGTATTTTGCCGTTAGTGGCAAATGTGCAATTTTCTGGAATTTGACATTTAAGCAGCATTTTAGATTTAAATATGTTGCAACATCCCAGTGATCAACAAATGTCATTTTGGTAATAGATACGCAGTGAGTTATATTCGGTCAAAATTGCGCGTTGTGTTAATACGAGAATAGCAGTACAGACATTTTTAATTTTAGATATTCAAAGATTAAATTTCTGCAACCATTTGTTATGGTACAAATGTAGTTTTATCATCTTTTTAGAAATACTCTGGGAATATTGTAGTTTATGAGTTTATAATTTTTGATGTAAACCGAAACTTAAAATTTAGGGAATCGTTTTATCTGTGCTCAATTCTAACCTTATTACCAGAAATACTACAGAAATCGAAATTCCATCTATAATCTTCTCAGTCAGGAACATTTACCAAACTTTACTGAAACGCATTTTTTATAAACATATAATCTTAAATAACCAATCCTACCAATAAATTAATTTATGCATTTTTAACCTCCAACCACAAAAAAGTCGTAGCTTTCAAAAGAATGAACATATTTTGGTTTTCAATGTTTTGTTTAAAACTCAATTGAAAGTGTAGAGAATAGTCCCGGGATTTCCAGGTTTGAATCGGACAGAAGAGCCAGCACAAAACCTGATCCCGGTTCGTTCGTCAAATTCGGGACTACGTATAAATAAACTTTTAATAAAAATATGAAAGTGATATATTTAAAACTCAAATTCTAGTTCCCGTTCTATCGCCTATTCTGTCTCAAAGTCCCGAAAATCCTGAGCCTTCCAGTTCCATTGATTGCGAGTTCCGAAATTCCCGTTTCTCTGCGTACCGTTGTTTATTCTTTGATACAAAAAAATGTCTGGAGGAGTAGCCGATGGTAATCTTCGCCCATTATAATGTATCGTTAAAAATAAAGCCGTTTATTATTATTTCAAATCCTTTATCTTCAATTTCTAATTTAGACTTGTATACTATTTATCATCTTACCTGTGGCACCGTCAGTCTGAGGGCAAGGCAGCGGGCTTGCGATACTCTCATTATCTGACCGTCCAACTCCCTGCAATGCAAGCAAAACATTAGAAAATGTCAAACACATGCATACCTCGTCAATCTATTTTCTACCACATGACTAACCTAAAAATAATACTGGAGGCGCCTAGGATCTAGAATGGATGATTGAAATGTGCTTACCACTACAAACTTGCCAACAGTACCCACCGACGCTTACACACCAAACAGACTATTTTTGAATATAAAAGGATTTGAATTTAGATAATCATTTTATAGCCCAGTTGAATCAGTAACATACAGAGATGTATGATAAGTGACAGTTTCTAGATTATAAATTAAAACAATGATGCCTCGGAAAGAAATTAAGCTATAAAATTTTCAAGGACCGACCGAGCTTCGGGTTTAGCCTCATTCGGCCAAAAATACATCTTCAGCCAATATTCGTCTATACAGCATAGCGAACGGAATTTATCTGACAGGATCTTGGACACGGTCATTGATAGGTTGGCGACTGCTGTACGAACTGGACTTAGGCCCGTATCGTCAGTCGTCCCTACAATTGTAGGGCGCGTTTATGGCCTCCTTGATTGTCATACTCCTTTCTCTCCTTCAAAAATTTCTAGATTACAGTTGTCCCGTGTCAGCGTCAGCGCTCTCCTATTGTGAAGATATGTTTTCTTTTTAAATTGTAGGAAACTTCAGGCTGATAAAACATGATATAACTCAAAAGCAAGCACAATTTGATGTAAATAGATGTTTGTGACATAACCTCAAAATAGAGCGCTGACACGGAGAAGTAGAAAACTATGACAATCAAGGAGGCCATAAAGGCGCCCTACAATAATTGTAGGGACGACTGACGATACGGGCCTAAGTGAGGTTACATCTTACAAGAAACAGAACTAAGGGCACAAAAGTTCGTTATTCTACCATTTTATTTTTATAACATTACCCTCATTTTTGACTAACTAAACATTCGACTTAGCGGCCAAACACCGGCTTTGACAAAAAAATTGACCTTCGGTCGGACTTTTGAAACAGTACAATCAACTGGTAAAATAATTGACATATAATGCGGAAGCACTAATCGGGCTGCCCTAAGGAGTAACACAGTATCAGTAAAAAATTAGCTAATTTTAGTTTGTAGATAAGTACTGCATGTTATATTTACTATTTCCATGTTAAAAGTATTTTATGTAGCGCGCATTTATGTACGCCATTTCGGTTCCTTTTTTAACCCCCTTTTAATGTTTTCATGCTGAGTATCACATTCTATAAAAAGGTGCTCAACACTATGCTGTATTGGACGTTCACATACACTTCTACTGTCAAATACATGTTACCAAGTAGGATCGTAATAATCCCCTTACAAGTAATTTAAGCAAACTACATTTTCCTTTTAATGAAAATTGTTTTTCCTTAAACATGGCATCAAGCTTTCAAAGAATAAGCATCCCCCAACTTTCCTGTTATTACTCAGAATTCATATTATCAGAATTTCTAAATGATGGAAAAGGAAATCGCTTAACCTGCACCAACAGCCCAAGAGGAGGCAATGCTGACACTAAGGCCCATATCGTCAGTCGTCCCTACAATTGTAGGGCGCGTTTATGGCCTCCTTTATTGTCATACTCCTTTCTCTCCTTCAAAAATTTCTAGATTACACTTGTCCCGTGTCAGCGTCAGTGCTCTCCTATTGTGAAGATATGTTTTCTTTTTAACTTATAGGAAATTTCAGGCTGATAAAACATGATATAACTCAAAAGCAAGCACAATTTGATGCAAATATATGTTTGTGACATAACCTCAAAATAGTTCGGACACGGAGGAGTAGAAAACTATGACAATCAAGGAGGCCATAAAGGCGCCCTACAATTGTAGGGACGACTGACGATACGGGCCTTAAAGATGGTACTTGACATGTGTATAGTTGTTACCATAAGTAGTTAGCAGCATCACAGTACTTCTATTTATTTTTAAGCAGACATGGCGTCAACTGGACTGGGTATCTCTAAACCATGTAAGGCGGATGGCACATAATCAGTATTTATTGTGGTCAACACCATTGATACCATCTGTATTTATTTATCATTCCATCAGTGTCAGTGGATTTCTATGTAACATTATGTATCCATGATGACTGAAATTCTAGCTAAACAATTAATAAATTCCATGAAAAATATTGAATATACTATCATGTAACATGCACCAAAGCCATTTCCAGATTTTGATAAAAGATGTAATTACCATGTTTCCTTGGGACAGCCAAATTGGACCACCAATAGATCAAATGTTTTATTCCATAATGTGATAGGAACACTGATTGTCAAGGAAATTATTTTTTGATCTTCTGTTCCAAAATTATATAAAATCTGATGATCCTTAGTCTGTTTTTGGCAATAACATTTCAGAATTGTACATATAACTTATTTCAATATGTAATGGTTTGGCAAATAATAAATTCAGAAATTGTACTCTTGATACCAAAATAAATCTTCACACAATACATAACATAAAAAATAAACAAACAAACCTTGAAAACCTTAAAAAAGCAAAACAATACTGTCTAAGAATTGTGATATCAATTACTCAGAAGAAGCATAAACTTAAAGGGACAATTAAATGTGACACTGAATGACTTTTTTGGTTCGTTTAGGCACATTATGTATTTATGCAAAAGTTAGAGGACTGATAAAAAATGTAAGAATTGCAATGAAAAATCTAATGGTGAAGTTCCAGAAAAAAAAAACTAATAAAAAATTTATCCAAAACAATTTTTGCAATTCTGCAATATTTACAGAATTATAAATCCTACCATATATATATTTTTATAAAAGGTACAGAGCAGAGGTCCTAAGGATATAGGTACCATGTAGAGTAAGAAAAATGCTATTCTAGAGTAGCAGTGAAGACAAATTATTGCATATTTTTGATACCCTTGGAAAAAAGCATCAGTCATACAAGATAATTTTCAATGTACGAAGCTTGATAGATAAATGGAAAGATCTTGCTTTTTAATATATGAGGAGAATTTTATCTTGTTGCTCTTGGAACTTCTTTGTAATGAATATATCTGTTTCATAGGGTTACATCAAGTTAAAAATCTTATTCCTTGCAACCCTATTATTGATCTACAGAAGTTTCTTTTAATGCCTCTGCTAACTATGGGACCTAAAACTACTAATCGATCAGTGGGACAGAATATGAATAATCATTGACAAAACTCTAACCTCAAGACATTTCTGAAGGCAGTGTAGGGCTTATGGCAGGAAACATTACAATTGCTCCTCTCATCATTTATACATCATTGCTGTGCTTCCCCACAATCGTCAGACGAAAAAATTACACAAAACCTACTTTTACCAGATTATTATATAACTTAACCTCTACGCTCCCTCGATGAGAAGTGCGTCAAACGGAGAAATAAACAAATATCATGTAGATAACACTGGGCCGAAGTCTTCAGATGATGTTTAATCCATGATTAAAGTTAAAATTTTAAAATTTTCACACTTACCGATACAGTGCGTCCTACGTACGTCTACCTTGGGTTTTATCTGTAAAAGAACAGGAAATTCAGAAAAATCGGTCAACGCTAAAAATAAATGTCAACTGTCAAGTGTTGCGGTGTTGCCAGATGAGGTTTTTCATTTTTCTGTGGACAGAAAAGTATTTTGATAAGTTAGTGTTAGCCAAAGCAGGGAGGACTAAAACAAAATTACTTCCAAAACGTTTTATTTTTTGACTTTTGACTGAATTAGCAGAGGTTCATTTCATGCCACAAAATTGTAAAACTTCGATTAAATGGTTACCCACGCAATTTTTAATCATTCTTTATTTTTAGATCTGAAAACTGATAACTGATAAGTCAAGTAACACATATAAAAGACCGTTAAGCGGCTAGCTCGCTTTTCAAATGCGGTCTTCGTTGTAATGAACAGGGCCATTTAGGCCAATTAGGAGCTGTCATTTGCGTTTTGTGGGTTACCACGTTTTTGAAGGTGAAAACGGAAATTTAAGATATAGCATGATACTTGAGCACTCTAAATTCAAATGCAAATAGAAATGTTTTTTAGACTCGACCTGTAAAGTGAGTGAGGGTTTGCCCATGATGAATCGCGAGCGCAATTCTTTAGTTCTTGTGGTTCGTGTGTCGTTTGATGCGAATCCCAAACCATACCAATATAAACCGCGCTCTCTCGCCAATCTTCACAGCCAAAGCTTTGCTGTTGATATATGAAATCTAACAAAATCAGTAACATTATACGATTTGCTGAAATCCGTACCCTGATCCTATTACCTATTACGAGGATGATAAAAATGGTGGGAAAAATGCAAGACAGGATATTGGGAACGAGCTTCTTAAGCAATATTATGATAATCTACTAACTACTGACTATTAAAAAGAAAAATTGATGACGTTTGTTCTTTTTAGTTTACTTATGAAGTATTTGCATTCATATGTTTAATTGTTATCAATAGAGAAAAATAGTAGATATATAAGAATATCGACGAACCTGGCAACGTTGAAAGCGAACATTTTGACGCCAGAACCGGATCTAGGAGGTAGAGACAGATATGGGCAGACACAACGCAATATGTAAAAAACCTATAAAACGTCAAAAAAACAATAAAATGCCATCTTGCAGACTACTCTCTAGGCGCTGAAGAAAGAAACTAAACCCAAACAAATACACGCATATTGCTCGTGAGTGAGTGTTTAGGCGCAGGAGACATTACAGGACCGCATCAAGATATTATGGGTAGTCAAAAATTTCATACAAGATAATTATTATCTTTTACAGTAAATTTCAGTTAGAGATTCACAAATGAGTTAACTACACTTTTTAGTTATTAGTAAGTAAGCTGCGCGCACTCATTCAGAAGAGGAACTTGAATCTTCTGAATCGTTTAAATGAATTATTAGAGGTTCAATTTGGGTATCGATGACATTGTCCAAATCCCACATTTTGACCTCAACCTTCTTCCGAACGTGGCGGATACAGTTTTTCCATTCCTCTGCCGTAACTCTATTGACTGCGATGTGAAAGAGATTTTTAACATCAGAAAATTTATAAGTATTATTATTCGACGCCACGTATTGCTTTATGTTGGCCCAAATCAGCTCAATAGGGTTCAGCTCACAATGGTAGGGTGGCAGTCTCAAGACAGTTTTATTTTGTTTTTTGGCCATTTCGTCGATCATTTTAAAATCGTATTTGTATTTATGTCTATTGACTATACTTATCAATTCACCCTTGACCATTGTTTCATCAAAATCGATCTGTTTTGAGGCCAGCCATTGTTGTATGTTTGCTTTTTTAGTTGCCATTGTGGGAATTTTTTCTATTTTTCTAGAATGGTACGGGGCATTATCCAGTACAATAACAGCGTTATTCTCCAGCTTTAGTAACATTTTGGAGAACCAATTTTCAAAGGAATTGCCGTCCATCTCCTCATGATAGTCCCCTGTCTTTTTTGATTCAAAGGCCCAAAGCCGTCTTCACTACCTACGTGACAAATGATCAGCCGTTTGCCTTTTCCTGGAAATAAATTATTCCTTACACTATGGATTGATTAAATTTGAAGGAATGAGGCAATTGAGTTCATTTAGCTGAATTTAAGAGTCACGGAATACTGATCATAAACTGAAAAACGTAGAAAATTGAAGTTTGCAACTTCTCAAAACCCATTCAAAGCAAATTGACTGCACCCAAAAATGATAATAAATTTCAAAATAACGCTTAAAAGAGGGTCGAAGTTTTTTTCCTAATGACTACACTGCGAATGCACCATTTTTGGAGAATATCACACATTATCTGCTATCACAGCATATTATTTGCCCGAATTTATCAACATTAAATTGCCGGATAGATGAAGGAGCTTACCTGCAGGATTTTTCAATCCAGCCGAAAGACCGTCTAGAAAAGCCTGCCTTGATGATGTTACTGATTTGTCGACCCAAACTTTCGCTTGAGTATGTCCAGCATTCACCCACGTTTCGTCCAAATAGTAAATTTTTCTTTTTTCATCGCGAAACTTCCGAATCTTCCTAAGGTATTCCCTTCTCCACACAACAATTTCTTCTTTCTCTATTAACATACTGTTTCTTCCCCGTTTCAAGAATCGAAAATTAAGTTCCTTCAAAAGTTTTCGGAATGTGGTTCTTTTAAATGATGGAAGATCCTCATCAGCATTAACTAATCTTAATATCTTATCTACTGTAGGTATCTCATTTCGGAAGAAAAAATTATGCACTTTCCTCCTGATGGCAGTTCTGTCAAAGTCATCTACTCCGTCCGTTATCCTTTTTCTTGCAGGATACGGTTTTGGCTCAGAAAGTGAGTGAGTGCTCCTATATTCCTTAATGATCCTATAAACACTGGACCGACATACTCCAGAAATATGTGCTACCTTACATATAACTTCGTCCACGACCAAATCGGGTTTTTCTTGAATTTGGTTTTTGTATATATTTAATATTATTTGTTTTTCATTTGCACTTAAATGTAGCTTCTTAGCCCTTTTTTTTGGGTGGGGTTGCGCTGATGTCAACCACTTCGTCGGCTGTATCTGTGTCAGACATCGTATCTTAGGCAATATATAAACAAAACGTTCCACTCGCGAAAAACGAGTATACGCTACTGAATGCGTAATGCGTATGCAATGCAATCCTGTGCGTGAATTAACTGTTAGATGCCTGTCGTGTCATCTACAATCACGTTTACAAGTCCAAACCTGTGCAGATTCGTAGAGCGCCGACGACTGCTAGTGACCTTGAATTTGTCTGTAGATCGATGTTACTCCAGTCAATTTAGGTTCAAAGTGGATGTTTTCTAAACCAATTTGTTGTTCCTACATCAAAAATATATCGATGATGTTTTGTACTGGGAGCTCATGAAAGATCAAGGTAACTTATTTTAACAGTCATCCTTTTTCTAGTCTCAAGATGACACGAAAAAGGGTCTGTGGATTCACTAGAAATACACTGCCGAGGATGTTTAGACCTAAAGTGACTGGAGTATATCCGTGGATGCTTTCGAGGGATCTGTTCACGTGCTGGTCACTGTTTACGTTTAATGTCTTTCTTCAGCGCCCAGAGTATAGTTAGTTTTTAGGGTGCAAATAGTTCATTCCACGTTTGCTCACTATGATCGCTGTGAGCGTCCATCTGTGGAGGAATGACTCTACTCCTCGCATTGTTGGTTGCAGAAAGCAAGTATGTTTTGTGAGGCCGAGGGCCGAGTAGTACTCGTATGTAGTGTATATAGTAGCAAGATCGCATCTGGATGATTATTTGTATTGGTCTGCATGTGTATAAAATCAGTGATATTTGCTATTTGAGAAAATTATTACTGAATGTGCTGCCAATGAAATATATCTATTAGCTGTGCCCGACGGGTTATTTATATGTTGTCCTTTCTGAAGACATGCTCAAAGTTATAAATTACGATTTTTCCCGTTATTTTTATGTTTTCAAAAACTTTGAGGAGCATTGCGGGAAATGGCCACCACGCCTGCGTTGTGTGCAATTAAGCCACATTACCGAAAAATTAGGAATGACGCATCACACTTCAAACATTTTCCCAGTGCTTCACATCTGGGCGCTGATTTGTAGTTTCACATCGCAAAATAAATTTCTATAAAATTTAAATGACCGGAAATAAAAAAAAAATCATTTTCACTTTCATAAATATTCCTGTCTGTAGCATTTTATCACCTGTTACTTGACTGGTTTTACGCAGTGTCATATTAAAATTCTAATGATGGCTTCAGCCAGAACATGAAAACCACTGGATAAGTTTCAGGAGTTAAATTATGTTGCCGAATTTGGTGATGCTTAGTCAAAACAACGACTTCTTATGAATATAAACATGTTCACCACAGCTGCTTGCTTTATACAGGGTGATTCACAAAAGCGTCAATTTTCCAGTACACAAAAGTACGTCCCAGATGCGGAAAGTTTATATAAACACGGCTCTAAGGCCAGGCGTGCACAGGCGCACATGCGATTTTCGGTCGCACGATCGTTTAGTCGGAAAAATGAAACACACAATTTTTTAATGCAAATGCGCGCATATGCGACTAAATAATCTTCTCCACACGTTCGTGTGTACCACTTATTTGTATAAAAATGCTGGCGCCGTTGGCTATCCCCAAGTCTAAGGCCATGGCAAATCCTGAATTTATAGGAGTGATATCTATGTTTACGCGAAATAAATTGGGCTGTGGACTTTGCTACTTCAACACTTTTATTAAGTTGCCTAGTTGATACCTCAGAGTTCTCAGCAATTGCTTGTAAAATACTATTCTGAGTGTCCTCTAAAGATTCTTATTTTCAAGACGTAACATGCTTTTTGAATGAACCATATTCATTTAAATTTCGACCAACTCTAAGAAACTGGACTTAACTTGGTTGCCTTCTTTCGGGATATTTATCAAGATGCATTTCAGCAGTCTTTTTAGTATTTTTGTAGCACAAAATGTCGCACGTCAGCATGTCGAACTTCCTCGATAATAAAACGATATTAACAATACGCAATAATAACAATACTCGGTGACAAGTATTTACGTAAATGTAACAAAAACGCTATTAGATACAGGATGTACATATAAAAAAATAAAGTTGATGATGGTTTCTCAAAAGCGAACCTTCGGGCACAAAATTTGAAAACACCATCATGTAGTAACATCCAAAAATTATCTCCCATTTTCGAAATTTATTGCGATTGCAATACTTATTCGTCAGTATGGCGTTGGAAGTAAAAGTAGGAATTCCTCTCGTGGCAGTTAACTGAGCCGTTGGATTATTATTGTAATTGTTAGTGATCACTTATAAGTATAGATACGTACGCTTTGGATGCAAATGAAATAATTGCAAAAAGTATAATACATTTGCTGAGGTATGTTTATTACATGTTGTCTGGCGCTTTAAGTACACTATAAAATAATGAATCTATAACCAAGGTAAAGTAATCTTAGTCGAGTTAATTTGTCATATTGCTTGAAAACTGTTAAAAACATATTGGGTACACGTTCCTCAATCTTTTTTTCAATTTGAAGAATGCGATTAATATGGTGAGAATACCTTAAACAATGGTATTGGATATACAGTGATTTTCAAAAAACCCCTCTTCCTACTTATATTTGGCAAGGGTCAAATTAGTACGTTGAAATCCGGGATGATGAGATTGATGCATGTATAATTTATATATTAATAATTATAAACAATACTTTCTGCACTATATTGCCATTGATTTGAACTTTGAAAAAGGCCAAAATGGTGGTCAAGAGGTATGTAAAGAGTAATTTCAACATAGGGTTTCATTTGGTCAGAGGAATATAGAGTTTATTACTTGTTTGTCGGAATTCGTACAAAATATAGAGAAATGTCCAAAAAAGCAATCTTAACATAGTTGGTTCTAACTTACCGAATGAAGAACAACATAATGCTAACCGTTTCTGTCTTACTAGTAAAGATTCTAAACCAAGTAAAAATTTCGCGAATGCAGATTGCAAAACTCATTTTGTATCAGTCATATCTTAACCAATATACACATCTTGCATTTAAATAGTATTGATGTATGGCTCTGGTGTCATGTAGGCACGTTCCGTGGAGCCAAAAATACCGCTTCTTATATTTAATAAAAAGCAAATTACATAAATATCATTTAAACACGCTTCTCAGCAACTGAAGCAATATTTATTTGACAAGTTGTCATTGTCAGGGTCGCCTATATAAATATTATTATTTTTAAGTAACTGAAGTTTTGCAATGATAATGTACCACATGTTAGAAATTTTTTGAATCAGGATCATTAGCGATTTGGGCAAAAAGCCAATATGGCGCACGTAAGAGAAAATAAATTTGATGATGGAGGCCAGGAAACAAACCTCACATTAAAATTCTAATTATGCCACCTAGTACATGAGCAAAAGTGGCAATGTTACTGTGTAATTCGTTTCGAACCCTCATTACAAATAAAGTCAGAAACAAATAAAAGCGATTCTGGGAGAACCGAGAACCTGCCTTTTTCGTAAATTGCGGAACTTTTTAAGTGCCACTTTTCTAGTTACCTAAATGCACAACTTTGCTCTCATTTAACCGACTTCGTATCTCCTACCATTAAGCGAGATATCAATGGTATACACCATTACCACATATGTATGTCATACGGGTGCGTCAGTAACTGTCGATCCTTTTGATCTTGGTAATTCCAACTATTTGACAACTAGCCTGCTAATTGCCATATTTTACATAATTAATAATTTTTCCAAAAGATCGCAAATAAAATAGTATGGTTGTGCTTCCAAAGAAATCTACCTTCTCATATTAAATGAATGTTACATTAAACACCAAAAGGACTTACTTTCCTCAGGTGCGGATCCAGCATCATGGGAAGGGGGCAAGTAGTGTGGGTTGCATACTTTCATGGGGTATTGTCAAGCCGTTTGCGCTTAGTGACAGTTCTGTCTGTTCATTTTAATCTTTCCTCTTCCAACTCTCTCGTTCTTTTTCCTTCATTCCCCCTCCTTTCTTCCTTTTATCCTCTCCATTTTCACTTTCCTCTTCCTCTCTTTCTTTCGCCGTTCCTTATTTTTTCCTGAAAGTCTGAGGCCTTGGGGAAATGACACATTTGCCCCCCTTGGATCCGCGTCTGACTTTACTCCAATTGATACCATATACATTTTTTTATTGTTTGATCTGCTTTCCCAAAATCATCAAATGTGTCACAGTGACACTGACGAGAATCTTACTAAACGCAACGTATCCGATTTTCGACTGAGTTAAGTCTCTGGGTAGTCTGTACCATGACAGTAGTATTGATATAAAAGAATCATCGAATTGGAGAGCAAACTTCAGCAGGACTAATCAAAATATTTATATCCATTTCCATACTTTTATATTATAAACAGTTATGATGAGAATGGCTAACTTAAATATAGGTATCTTTTTAGATATACGACGTCTGCAAATGACCGTTCTATGAAAATATGCATTGATCTATGTTTGGTATATAAACAAGGACACAACCTATCTAACCGGCAAAATCAAAAGCCGGATGCCAATTGACGTTGTCTTTCAATCAGCGGTTGTTTTTAGATGACATATTATTTTAAGATGGCCAACAGTCTTAGGATATCTGTAAGTAAATTATTTACTATAAAATTCTACATACACATGTATGAGAAGTTCTTCAGTTTGTATTTTTTGTTTGTTTTTGAACTAATTTTCTATTAGCGAGTTTGAGCGAGTGCCAATCGAAAGCCAACTAAAGGACCAGATTACACGCATGAATTCGAAATAGGGGTTTACATTTTGAAAATGAAATGCGATTTGATCAACGCAGTTTTTCTTGTTGATGAATATTGCATTATTTCCACAATCGTTTCAATGATTTGGGATAAAAATAGAACAATTTTACGTTATAATTAAACTGCTGAACGTAAAACATTTATTTTTTAATATAAATTAAATTTTTACAGATTCTGTTCTTTCTTAAATGCAAAAAAAACTTCTTAATTGCAACCAATATTTTAGCAGCTAAGAGATGGCGCTGCACCTCTATTCTTCATAGGATAGCTGTATAGTGTATGCCAAAGTTACAATCTTCTCTTAACTTTTTTTATTATTAGACATTAATAAATAATAACAAGCTTATTTAATTTTGTACCTTTTATCTATTGCAACTCATTATAAAAAAGTATTTTAAACAGTCGTATATCACTAACCTATATACTTCTGCCAAAAATATGATTCAAAATATCATTAGAGCTTAAAAGTACTACTAGCTCCTAACGTTAGTGCGACATAATATATACGTACATAAAAACATCTCTCTCCTTAATTAATGTGAATGTCATTTTGAGACTTCGAGTGCATCTTAAACACACTTTTTTATCTAAAATAAAAAAATAAAAGTAGTCGAAGTAATAACCACATTAATTGTTTTAGAAATGTCAATATTGATTTTTTTTGTCAGAAAGTAGGTACAGAAAATTTACTATATACGACGGTTTCCTAATTTCAGTAACGGTTATTTTTCAAAAGCCCATCACATAGCAAAAAAATATCATACGAAAATTACATCGGTTTCACACCTACTAAACTCACCTTTTTTCATTGTCCGCTCCACATACTGCAAGCCATTCAAAGGAATCATCTTATCATCCTCCCTGTGTATATGTCGTAGCCACATCGTTAAATTACCCATTTTTTACACGAAGCAGTTTCGCAGGCAGATGTCTGAATACTAGGGCACCGCGGCTGCTATGAGGATCCCTAAGAAACTTCCGATTTTCGAACTGCCTAAGGTTAGTAGAACTGGGAAAAGCCCCCTCTCGTAAATTGTCCCACAATCTCGACAACCTAGGGTTGAAGGAGTGGTCGTATCGGCCAGTTCTGGATGTACGAAGTTCGACACGGTGAGGATGGGAGGCGGGAGTCAGACGGGAATGATGGAGGAGAGATCTGAGGAGCAAAGCCCGTTGGTGTAGCGGTAGAAGAGAGCTAGATCGCATGAAATGTATTATTATCTATTGACCGGATTATTATGTGGGTTGACCAGATCATTGATAGCAAATCGTTTATCAACAAAACGTGTGGCTACTTTATGGAATGGCCAAGTTCTCGAAGTGAACATACTAATAATTCCTCACTAAATGAGGAAGAAAGTGATATTAAAAGACTACGACAAAAAACTATTCGAATACTATGCGGGTTTTTTGGTTTCATGAAATGACCAATTTTATGATGTGGCTATGACATATATAGGCTTTCATCTTATCTTACATATAAAATTAAAATCCTCCACCCAAAAATGCAGCAGCTTTTCCGAAGTACTGGCGTATTGAATATGTTGTTTAGATGCAAGTACCCTGATTTCTATGCCACTGACTTGGAGATTACACTTAAATTTCGTATATACAAAGTATTCGCGTATCTTGGCATCAGGGCATATTGTTTGTTGGATTTAAGGACCAGTCAAAGATCTAGATCCGTATATCTTCGAAGGACAAGAGAGGCATTTTCTTGACCATAAGAATAACACAGATATTATTCTATATTCTAAACATACGGTTACAATACATTTCTCAACTATTATCCTAAGAAGTGAAAATGGCATGTCACAGGCACCGTTAGAACATTTTTTCTGTAATTATACCCTTGGAAAATATGTTTTTTATCTGATATATATGATACCTATAAATAGAACTATTTGCAACATTTAACATATTTTAACATTTTTATTTCATTAGTCAATAACAACATCCATTTCGAAATGCTGTGTAGCATAAGTAAAAGCCGTCCTATAAAAATGGTACTGAACCGTTCATTTTGAGTTATTTAATATGGAAACCTTGTTATGGACTTATATGTCGCAATATCGAGTTCTGTGCTTTCATATTTAAGAAAAACAATAAATTTTCATGTAGATGCTGCAAATCACATGCAGCCTTGTTCAGGTTCATTCTGATAAATCAATGCCAAAAATGAGTTGAAAATTTGTCATAATCATTAATTTAAGGCCTTCCCACTTCCCACGTCAAAAAAAAAAAAATCGTAAGGCTGCCACCATGCCATGTTTACAATGTTTCTGATGATTCTTAGATGTCAAATAGGTCTGTGGAGGGTTACCATTTCTAAGAAATCCTAAACCTCGTTTTTCGACTCTTTTTTTAACTTTCTGATTGCTTTAGGTCGTAGTGTAAAAATGTATTAGGGGGTCAGAAATTATGAAATCAGCCAGTCCTCTTAGGGCACTTATTGCCAATGACGTTCATACTTACTTACTCTACCTAAAGCTTTAAATAAGAGCGTTGATCATGCTCTGTCTTTCGTCCACTTGCAATAAAGCTGCATTTATTTTTTCTTTCTTATTGTTCTACATGATTCCCACCACGACCAACACACTTGTTGGTCGGCGCTCAAGCTCCCGGTAAAAAGTTTGCCCTGAAATTGAAAACCAACTAAAAGATATCATCTGTTGATGACTCTGATTTTTTCCGTCAATGTTTTTTTAATTATGGAAATGGTCTGAAATTGCTGAGGGCCAGATCTGGCGAATGCGGTGGGTAATCTTCCAATTCAAAGCACCTCGCAATTTTTAGATTGAATCACGTATCTTGAAAAGTGACATTATGCCGATTTTTTTTTGACATTATGTAGGTTTTTCTACAAGATATTAACTTAGCACTTAGTTGTACGTATTGCCTAAACGTCATGAGGCTTATTATCCATCTTTGGCTCTGATGTGATGTAAAATCTGTTTCTGAGATGGTATTACTGTATGTTGTATGTGCTGATGATAATTACATTGGGTTCTTGTCTCATATATACTTAATTGAGATTCAAAGCTAGAAATTAGTTGCGCATCCACTTTTTCTTATCATTCTGGAAATTACATATACAAATTGGCTGAATTTAAAAAATGAGAGAGATAAGAAATAATTATATTCACTGTCGAATTACAAGCCATATACATGCTAACAGTAATTACACAAAACGCGGGCGCGGTGATCATTTCCCGTAATAATTCTCCTCAGTTTTTCGTAATTTATAACTCTGAACATAAGCTCTCTCCAGAAAGCACAACCTAAAAATAACCCATCGGGTACAGCCAATAGATATACTTCATTGGTAGCATATTCAGTAATGATTTTCTCACACAGCAAATATCACTGATTTTATACACATGCAGACCAATACATATAATCATCCAGATACGATCTTGCTATTCAACCAACTTTCTTCTCAGAGATAAAAACTACAGACAAGGACCATTTGGCCTCACAAAATTATGCAGCCAATAATGCGTGTAGCTTAGTTGAGTGATTCTTCCATAGATGGACGTTCACAACGATCCTAATGAGCAAACGTGGAATGACTGCTTGTGCCCTAAAAACTACCTAGTCTGCAAGTTGACATCTTATAGGTTTTTTGTAACACCACATCATGCATTTTTTTAAACGTTTAATTCAGTCATTACCCACGAATTCGAATAGATTAGAAGAAGCCAAACCTTCATGTTTATTTTTTTTATTTGAAAGAAAGGCGCGTCAACCACGTTGGGTATATTGGCGGCATACGGTACAAAAATAAATACAGTCAAGGACACATAATTTAACATTTCTAAGGAATCGGAATACGGTGTTATAATCTGAGCTCAAGCATTGCACTGAACTCTTTGGTTTTGGTACGTTGGACGCATCACAAACACATGTTCACCTGTAAAAAGAAATTTTGTTTGTCTCCCAATATTTTGCATTTTTCAATATTGCTCGCAACGCCGATGACTATAAGATATTAACACTTACCGATAAAAAGATATGCTCATACTGAGGTTAAACTGCTTTTTGCATTGCACAGAAATCTTAATCGGCAATCATCTGGAACACTAGAATTGTATGGAATTGTAGGACTTTTATATGTTTTCAAAGGACGCCATACCTCTCATTTGCAGACTTTTTATGCTTAACAGGATCTTTGTCGCTCATAAGCCAAAACGTAGATACATGACGTCGAAAGACTTTGACATATCAGCTTGACATTTTATTAAGATAATCTATTCTATCTAAGATAATTCATCTACAGAAGGGCTAGGGGCGGAGCATATGAATCAATCCTGTTGAGTCACCGTTCTTGGCGGTTACGTCATCAACGTCATATGAAATAAGTAAACTCGATGAGTATCCGTACCATGGGCAGAACACTGCGCAGACTAATCTTCTGCGCATCTGCTACTCTCTCCAGTACGCATGAAATGGGTAACAAGGGACCGCTGTTTTCATTCTCTTCCTGGAAATACTCTAATAAATTTAGCTGTCGGCCTTCTCCATTGATCGTATTTCCGGGCATTGTACAATTTTATATTGGAGATTGATAACACGACAACTCGCATTGCACAACGATGTCAAGTAAGTTGTAACTCTGACAGGTGTGATTGAACGGCAACGTTTTCGAGACGAATACACACAACTATGTCTTTGAGCTTACCGAACAAACGTTTACACACAGGGGTAGGTTGCATGTGTTGTATCAGGAAGATGGATATATACACATGCAATATATAACAGGGTGACTTCGAAGTTGAGTCATTATTTTAACAGTGAGTAGATCTGATCAAAAGAAATGTTTTTTCCTTTACCATTTTTCTGGTAAAATTATAGCCCTTTGGAAGTTTGAGTACCGCCCTGTCTCAATAATAATATTATGTGCTCGTGTTTGGCGACAACGGATATAATCCGCCGTATCGGTTCATCGCATCGGAAACAAAAAAGCGAAAGAATTTGGAACGATGTTTTTACAATTATTTTATTCATTTGTACACAGTCAGTGTCAGTGAATAGTGGTGTCTGTTGCGTGGCTCAAACGAAATAAAAAATGGCACATGTTTATGCGGATCGGTTTCCCAATCGAGTGCAACCAACCCCTCGTGCCTTTGTTAATGTAGTACAACGGGTTCGTGAATCATTTGACTTAAGACCTCACATATGGACGGCATGCCGGTGCTCCAAGACCTCACGATCAAATACAGGTCCGCACTGAAATACTTGTCGGGAGGATACTTTATAAAACAAAGTAAATTTTTTTTTTAATTTTTTTTTATTTTTACACACATATTTTGGTTTGTCTTCCTTCTACAATCATTATCTGAAAATTAATGGCTCAACTTCAAAGTCACCCTGTATATATATACGAGTATATAAAGGGATACTGGTAGTCTTACTCTGAGAACGATGACTACACCTATACATTTATATAAGTGCGCGTGAGGTATTGAGTTAATACACTTGACTTCATTATTTTCAGTTACTTTCTTTTGAATTTTTAGCGGCATCTGTTATTTTTTTTGATATTATAATTGGAAGTTTATTTCAGGTTTTCATCTGCACGTCCTTGTATGCAGGAGTGGTACTCAGTCAAAATAGGCATAATAGTTACGCGACGATTCTACAAGATACGAGAAATGAACCTACTCCAGATGGTATCGTATTTTCTATTTCTTTGTTATCTGGTTTGATGAGAAACTATAGTGGAGATATTGACAACATTTGGAAGCAAATATCAAAAACTAACATTTGACTCACTTTGGATTGATTGATTACGCAAAATACTAAGGCATTCATATAAAATCTAACGATAAAGGTAACAGGTTCACTTTCGGAGTTCAGGAGCAGTTTCGACAACTCCATGAAATGAGACGGAAAGGCAAATACTATTTTGTTTTAACGGCTTGCACTGGGCAGAGTCTCATAAGATCTACGTGATAATAATAAAGCATTTATTGCCCAACAGTTCAGGTAGCATTTAGAGACAATAAAAGTTCATGTTTAATTTACACAGTCTGTGTGCATAAACGTCAAAAAAAAAAAACACAACAAAGAGGAAGGCGTTTTCAAGGAAATAAAAAAAACTTGATGAATTTGATGCAACCAACCCTCGTGCTTGAATGCGTAATGGCTCGCAAGCAGGGGACTAAGGGGACCTCATCTGTCCAAAGACAGAGCCGAGTGTCGCCGTGGAGATCGTGGATTAATCTAACCCGTTTAAAAAATTTAATATATTATATTTACATAGTTATCTTCATTACAATCTATGGTTCGACTGCACCAAATGCCCGAAAGCATAGTTTCGCATAAGAGTACGAAACAAAAACTGCATACCTCAATACTGATAGACGTTTCGGCCATCGTGTTGGCGAGTAAAAGTAATTTATATATATACGTACGGTTCCATTTGGTCAGAAGTTCTGTTAGCGTGAAAAATCTAGGATAAGTTTCAGATGCTGCACTATCTTCAAATTCTGTATATAGCATGTTTTAATCCGCGATCTCGAATTCAATGACAAATAATAAAACGTCGCAAACGAAGCTACACGATTCTGTTTCCATTTGAGATAGGTACCAAATATAAAGTCATTGTAAGCGAAAATTAACATTAATTAAAGATTAATTCTTGTTGCCAGGGACATTTGGATATATGTACAAGACAGAAGACGGCATCTTAAGTGTAGCTAGAGGTGATCCTACTGGTTTGATACAAGGTAATCTGCGATCTTGAAAAATTGCTCTACTTGTCTGATAACAATTTTCATTTGCTTGCTCTATATTATTTTGAGAAAGCCTTCGGTCTGGAAAAACCGATAACATTAAAATTAAGATTGAAAAATATAGGGTGATCAATATATGACTGACTGATTTGTTTCACCATCTTTAAGATGAAACTAAATACATCCATTTTCAAATTCAACGTTCTATTGACAGTTGGGAGTTATGTATCAACAATCATGTTACATAAATTTCCACATTGCAAGCCACAGAAACATGACTCATTTTTCAACGTGTAATCCCAAAATGTGAATGGCGAGCGTTTTAATTAATGGTGAAATTTTGTGATTCGTGAAATTTGATAACTTTACCTACAATTAATTTAGTTCCAAGAGGATGTATCCATGCATCACAGGGTTATGAATAATGAATTTGTTCATGGTGATCTCATCTGCTTCCCAATATCATGAGACGCCCCAAACGTGTTTCTGTTGTGATTTCTAAAAAATAAGGTTGATGTAAACATTTTTCCCGAAGCCTACAAAAATTGTTGGAAAACGTAATCAAGTGGATGTAGATTTGTGCGACTTCCAGGCACACGAATCATTTCGTAATCTAATCATTTTATTTAAAGCTTCACTGTTGCATGGAGTTTTTAAAGATCTTACACTACTAAGTGACACATAAGCTTGTCCAGCAGCAAACAATCGCGAGCCTAGATAAATGACTGCATGATCGACTATACAACCTTGCATCTTGTGCTGTGCCGAGTGCCCAAACCAACAAAGAGTAAGTCCGAAACTCATGCGCAGATCGCGCTCTAGCTCTATCTCTCTGACTCCCCTACAGAGGATCTATAAAAGAATGTATCAATCTTGGCGGACCTAATAAGGAGGACGGAAAACTGTTATCAGATTATTGTATTGTCATCGGTCCGTGATACGTGTGCGAAGTTTCAAATTAATCAAACTTCTGGAAATTGGTGAAAATTATGCTGAAAGATTCCATTACATACATACATCAGGCCAAGCTAATAAAAGCGTATTAATATAACAATGAATTGATGTTATTTTATTTTAAAGACATGGGAGAAACAAATCAGTCATAAATATATCGTTCCAACTAGAATTCTCATGATATACATGTGCTGTTTCCTTTTTACAAAGGCACATTCTCCTACACTGATCCTACAGGACTCAGAGTGAATTATAACTACAATGCTGGTAACAGAAGAGCACCTGCAGGTGCAGCCCCAAAAAAGGGCATCCAACCATCCAAAAATGTTCATGATGAGGAACCTCAGTACGACAGGTAAAATAATCATTATACAGGATGTTTCTAAAACATAGGGCAAACATTCCATCGGCGATTCATTTAAGCAGACTCATTTAATCGAAGTGAAACAAGAACACACAACACCTTAATCTTACTTTTGAGCGATGTACACTGTACTGTATGTACAGCGTGTAAAGTAAGGGAAGTCCGGGAGACTTGCCCCTCCCAATTTATTATTGGTGATAAAAATTTGTTCCTATTTATATAAATCAATAAATTCTAGATGACTTCGTAGCATATATTTTTAGAAACCTTGTTTTATCATTTAAACCTTAAAAAAATAAGTCAGCTGGCTGCATCTTGTTACTACAATGCGGAGGCAGCGTTAACAACGTAATCCCATTTTCCTTAGCAAATTTTACAATTTCAATGCTCACGTGGCTTTCATGGTTATCAAATATGAGTAAAACAGGATTTTCTGGTGACGCGATGCTATATTTTTTGAAATGCTCCATAAACTTTAGAAAGCTTCTAGCAGTCATCCATCCTGTTGAATAAGCATCCCCATTAGAACCTTCTGGGCCATCAGAAACGAAGTCTTCTCGATATTTGATACGAGGGAATATAAAAAAGGGTGGAATACGCTTCCAATTGCATTGACTGTCATCAAAGTGCCCCTCTCTGATGAAGTAACTTGACCAACCTGCTTAGCTTTTTTACTGGCTAATACCTTAGGACAATCCTGTACATAGTACTTCATCACAGTTATAACTATTTTGTGGTTCAAACTTAAATTTTTCTCGTACAATCCTTAAGTTTTGAAAAAAATCGTTTACATTCTTCCGATTGAAGCTTGTAGATCGTGACAAGCTTGTTGCCTCCGGAGCTCTTAAACTAATTTCGGGATTTTTTGATAAAAAACCGCGAAACCAATCCTTCCCTGCCATACTATTTTTTGACCAGCAGTCTGGAATTTTTTTGGAATTCGAAACTGCAAACTCAAAAGCTAATTTCATTCCTTGTTTTCGAGTAAGTCGATAGTGCATTTTGCTGCAATTTAAAAAATATTCAACCAGAAGCTTCTCTTCTCGTATGGTGAATATTTGTGAAGTATTATACTGGCTGTTAGTTTCTATTTTTTCAAGTTTATTTTCATTATTTTTGTAGCGTCTCCAAGTCCTCCGATCAATATCATATTTTGCAGAAGTTTTTCGAAGAGAAGTACCTTCGGCTAGTTCATCTACTGCATTTTTAAGAACATCCTTAGCAAGTTTTTTGCGAGTGGAACCGTCTTTTGTTTTGTACTTAAATGGCATTGTGCAGACCTGTAATAAAAAATGCATTAACTTTTACTAAAATTGATTAAAAACAAATACCAATTTAGAATTACATCAGAAAGGGAGAGTTGCCCCTCTGAGCAAGTCTCCCTCCTGAGGTATGGGCCAGTCTCCCACACCTTTCTTTTTCAGGTTAGCTTCAATTTTCTTAAAAATCATGAATAGTGCACGTTTAGCATTTATGGTGCATAAATCTACAATGTCTAATTAATATACCCACACAAGAATCTAAAACTTACCTTTTAATTTGCTCACAAAATCACGAAATTTGTAAAAGTATTAATTTTTGGTTTAAACGCAAAAAGCCACATGCCACAAACTGAGAAAAGTCAACTAGGATTTCGTAGACGCCTAGAAGCACTAGAAGGCGTCCCATTTTCTCTCGTTTCAGATTATGGTGCGCAATTTTAAAGTAAATATATCACGGAGGGGCAAGTCTCCCACCTGGGCAAGTCTCCCGGATTCCCCCTATACAAAGGCCTTCTTTTTCCAGTTAGGCGCAGTTAGTGTCATAATCCAATAAAAAACAGATTATTTTTTCTTTATTACTTATATGCTTTCTCATTCGTTTGAAATAAAAAGCACCGAGCAAACTGCAAGATAAAATTGTAGCAATTGATAGAAGGAAGACGTATTCTTTATACTATTTTTGTTTACAGCTTTGCACCTGACGAAGTGGAGTATGTACCACAAAGTTACAAGCCAAGAGTCAGAAGACCTATATACGCTGATGTAGCTGACGTCTACCAGCAAAGAAAAAAGAAACCAATCAGACCTACCCACAGAGCAAATGTCGTATATGACGAAAATTATTATTAATATTTATCAATAGGTCAATAAATAAAAAATAAGTACTGCACTTTAATTCAATACTCAACCTGACGCACCCAAGCGCATATCCGGTTTTTGATTTATGACTGACGAGTTCTACTAAGAACACATCCTCGACTTGTTGGGGTTCAGATAACTGAGGAGTTGATTTGACATCTCGTCAAGTGAGGCAGGTGCTAGAAAGGAATAGGGATATCTGTTCAGCGCTAGAAAGTACTTTCCTTCACATAAACTCCTCACTCTGAACAAGGCACAGATAAGACCTATTCTGAAGCACTGCTCACATGTCTAGGGTGCTGCCGCTCCAACTACACCATCTTTGCTTGATGCTTTTTTTTTTTTTTTTTTTTTTTTTTTTTTTTTAACGAGGGGGGAATGCATTTACGCACCATACCATAGCACGAGCTATGACGTGTGTGGGGCTCCAGGGTCTTGAAGAGATCACCTAATACCCACTAAACCCTAAACCTCCGCGTGGCCCGACTCATCAGCGTCTCGGTAGGCCATGTGTTGTGCGTGACCTGCGGTCTGCTACAACGTCTCCTCATGTGTTTCAGTCTCTGGGAACGCCGGGTTGGTTCCCTTTACCTCGCACATTCTATCGATGTCGTTAAGCGATCATCGATAGAGGGTCTGCTAGTTTCTCTTGAAACTCTTGTTTTCGAAAAATCAAGAGTTTCAAGTCCTCTTACCAATATGTTGCTCCTGGTCCTGGTCCTGAAGGGTCCTGGTCCTGGTGGGTCCTGGTCGTGGCGGGTCCTGGTCCTGGTTGGTCCTGGCCCCGGTGGGTCCTGGTCCCGGTGGTTCCTGGTCCTCTGCATCCACGCCGTGGGGTGGGGGGGGGGAGCAGCCGCAAGTTCTCCTGGTCTCCTAGTCAAGGTTCCAGTTAGCGGGTGCCAACTGGGACCTTGGTCTGGGGTACCTGGTTCTGCGGTTGCGAGGCCTCTCGTCCGGATCGTAGTCCATGAGGAATCGTAGCTGCTCGTTCGGGTGGTCCTGAGCTTTCTCGAAGGTCTTCTCCGCTTTTTTCCTCATGTACTCGTGGATGGTATCCCAATGCAGGTCTCTACGCAAGGTTGAGTTCCTTACGTAGGAAGGTGCATTGGTGGCGATCCGGAGTAGCTTCATCTCTAGAGCAGCAAGTCGCTTGCGGTAGCTGGGGGCAGCGTACCCCCAGACCGCGGAGGCGTAAGCGAGCTGAGGTCTGGCGATGGCCTTGATCAGCCGTAGCTTGGTCGCTAGCGGCATCTGGCTGTGTCTACCCAGTAATGGATAGAGTTGAGCCATGGCTGCTCTGGTTTTTGCGATGACAGCTTCTATGTGCGCTTTCCAGGTGAGGGACTTGTCAAAAACGATCCCCAGATATTTGACATTGTCGCTCCACTGGATATCTTCATCGAAGATGGATGCTTCGAGAGGTCTTGCAATCCTTCTTCGTTGAATGAAGATTGCCTGCGACTTCTGGACGTTGATGCGGATTTTCCATTTCACGCACCAGTCCTGGATGTGGTCCAGTTCATCCTGTAGTCTCCTACGGATGATCTCGGGCCGTCTATGCTTGGCGGCTATAGCAGTATCGTCTGCATATAGTGCCAGCATTGTGTCAGCTGTCTTCGGCACATCGTGTGTATAGATGTTGTAGAGCAGGGGGGCTAAGGCTGACCCCTGGGGCACGCCTGCTTCCAGCTGTCGCCTTGTTGAGTGGCATGTACCAATCTTCACCGTGAACCATCTTTGTGTTAGATAGCTCTGGATCAGTTGGCACATGCTCGCATCGATTCCGGCGGCTTCCATTTTGGCGATGAGTCCATCGTGCCAAACTCGATCGAAGGCTCGTTCCACGTCCAGCAGGACGAGACCGGTTGCCTCCTGGAGATTGAAGCCGCTGGTGATGTTTTCCGTCAGTCGTAGCGCTTGGAGTTCCGTGTTGTGGGAGGATCTGAAGCCGAATTGCTCTGGGGGGAGAAGTTGCAGTTCTTCTGCCTGCTTCTCTAGTCGAACGGCGATAGCCTTTTCGACTACTTTGCCCATCGAGGAAACCAGGCTGATGGGCCGGTAGTTCTGGGGCAACTTCCGGTCCTTGCCTGGCTTGGTGAGCATTATAACCGGGGCTTCCCGCCACCGCCGCGGGAAGTGGTTAAGTCTCAGGGTGGCATTGGCGATGTTGGTGAGCGCAGCAATGCCTTTGGTGGGAAGGTTCTTCAGCATCCTGTTGTTGATGCCGTCCCTTCCCGGCGCCTTTCTGACCTTCAACCTGCGGATGATCAGACGGATTTCCTCTGGACTGGAGGGGTGATCCGTCTCCTGGCCAGGTGGTCGGCTCCTCATGTTTTCGGCTGCGACTTCCACGGCCTCCTCGTGGTTGTCGTCCTCGTCTTCATGGTAGTTGAGTCTGCATTCGGATTCTAGCGAATCGGCGAATGCTTCGGCTTTTTCTTCACTGGAGTAGGCCAAGCCACGTTGGCCGTGAAGAGTGGGGATCGTGGTGCGCTGACGACGAAATTTTCGCTGCATAGACCAGGCCGTACCATCCTGGGTCTCTAGTTCTGCACAGGCTGCATTCCATTTGCTGTTTTGGAGTTCCGCGAGTGCGTTCTTCAGAGCTAACGATGCTCTGTTTCGCGCAACTCTCGACTCCTCTGTCAACAGTTGGAGATGTTCTCGCTTGAGTCTTCTGTTCTCCCTGATCAGGTGCCTAATATGGTGCGGTGCTGGACCATTTAGGTGTCTAGGAACTGCCGTAGTCTCGGAGCGGGTGCTGTCCTCGTGCGCTCGCAGGACAGCATTCTCCAGCTCCTCTACTGCGTTGTCCAGTTCCTCCGCTGATCGGATGGTTGGAATTTGAGTGATGTTCCTTTGGACGTTGGATTTGTACAGGTTCCAGTTCGTCCGTTTGGTGCTCAAGCTATCTCGAGTTCTAGACCCTGTGCCAAGTGTTAGTAGAATCGGATTGTGGTCCGACGATCCTTCCACCAGGGTCTCTATCTCGAACTCCTCTCTGATGTTGCGGAGGATGGCTATGTCCAGTACCGCAGGTCGCCCAAGGCCGAATGGAATGTAGGTTGGTTGCTCCGGACCGACGATGACCCCCGCCAGGGCATCGACGTGTTCCTGGAGCTGCCTTGCATTCCTGTCTTCGACGTTGTTGTTCCATGCCGGAGACTTGCAGTTTAGATCTCCGATGACTATGCGTGCTCCTGGGCCTCTCAGGAGGTCAGCGATGTCATCTTCGTCTAGGGCCTCCCCTGGTGGCACATATAGGGAGGTGATTCTGTAGGGACGGTGGTTGTGATGGACCTGGACCGTGATTCCGTCCCCATTTATGTCTGCGGCATCGTCGAGGACATGACTCGTCAAGGTACGTTTGACGAGTAATGCGACTCCTCCACCTCTGCCCCTTCTGTCGTAGCGGTACGTCTCGTACCGCGGGAACGTCAGACTATGGGCAGCATCCAACTTCGTTTCTTGGATGGCCATCACCTCTGGTTGGTACTGGTCTAGTATCTCCTGGATTTCTGGTTTCCGTGCCCTGAATCCGTTGATGTTCCAAGAGATAATGCGTAGAGATTCTACGTTTTGACCTGTAGACATTTCGGGTCTAGTGCTTGTCTTGCATCTTGGCCTCGAGTGCATCCAGGCGGGTTATGATGGCTTGCATCATTGCTAGCAGTCTGTCATCGCCGTGTTGCTTCTGCGCAGTAGTTCCAGTAGCAGTGGCGGCTGCTGGGGCAGAAGTGGACATAGGCTTCTTCGCTTTTTCAGCGTAAGAAGTCCTATTTGTTGTGGGGACTGCTTTGGGGGCAGAAGCAGCTTTCTTCGGCGCCTTACTACATCCCTTGTAGTTGGCGGGGTGGCCTTCTCCACAGAGGCAACACTTGGCGTTTCGTTGCCCTGTTGGCGGCGCTGGCAGACTGCAGCTGGTGCTGTTGTGGGCCTCTCCACACTTAACGCACCGTTCAGCGAGACGGCAGTTCCGCTGTGTGTGCCCGTACCGCTGGCAGCGGTAGCACTGGCTGGGCTCGGAAGACTTTTTCTTCCTCTCGAAGCTGACCGTGAGCATGGCCAGCCTCTGGATCTCTCCAAGCTTTTCCGGCATCTTCGTCTTGACGAGGAAGAGCGGAAGTGGCTTCTTTGTGGTCCTTGAGGTCAACTGCTGAACCTCGGCGTCTGCGATGCCTTGGCTCACCAGATCCTCTTTGATGTCATTGACTGACATCTCTCTGGGTAGCCCACGAATGACCCTCTGGTCCATCTTGTCCTCCTTCAGTTGATAGGTGAAGAAGGGCCGCTTGATGGACTCCAGCAGTGCGACTAGTTGACGGTAGTCTGCTGGTGTATTTGTGAATACCTTCACGCTGGTACCCGCCGTCCTCGCTTTGGAGAATTGAATCCCCTTGCTGTTCATCATCCTGCTTAAGGATGACCAATCAGCGGTGCCCTCGATGTTGATTGGCGGAACTCCTGTTCCTGCCATGGGGGCCTCGGTGGTCCTGGTTGCTTTAGGACCACTCTTCTTGGTGGCAGCTGGCATCTTTCGCTGCCTGGGTTCTTCTTCTTCTTCGGAGGAGGAAACTCGCACCCGCTTCCTCCGTCTGGTGGCGACACTGAAATCAGTGTCGTCCGTCCTCTTCTCCGCTTCTTCTACGTCGATATCTTGGGCATCCATGTCCAAGTTCTCCGTAGGCTGCTGGTCCTCCTCTCCCTGGTCCTCTCCTTCTACATCTTCCTCCGTCTTCTTAGCTTTCCTCTTTGCTTTGAGGAGCTTCCTTTTCACCTCATCGATCTCATCCCTCGCCTGCTCGAATGCTGCTTGCAGATTTTTCATCTGCTCAGCGAGCATTGCGAAGTTCTCCTCTTTCTCCTTAAGCTGGCTCGCCAGCTTTTCTATTCTCGCCATCGTGGATGGCGATCGTACCGCGATGAAAATCACAGTAGGATCGCACTGTATGTCCGGGTGGGTCGCAGTCGCACGAGTGTATGCTCGTGACGGCTGCTAGCTCGGAACTGCTTGATGCTGCTCAAAGGAGGACCTTTTTATACCGAACCAACGGCGTATGCAGAAGCCTAAATAAAAGGTCACTGCAGCTGATATGAGGATCTTAAAGAAACTTTGTTAATGCGACTTTTGAACTGTCTAAGGTCAATAGAACTCTTAAAAGCATCCTCAGGTAGATTGTTCCACAATCTCGCGATCCTAGGGCAACGGATCAGTCGTATCGGCCAGCTGTGGAAGTTCGACACGGTTTGGGATGGGAGGCCGAAGTCAGGCGGGTCTCTCTGGTAGGCACATCGCGAGTTAGATCGAAAATGGTGGTGATTGTCCGTTAGAAACGAGTCATCGATCAATCGGACAGCCCTCCTTTGAACACCATCGAGCATGAATAATGTATTTGGGGCGGCCGTACCCCAAATATGGGAGCAGTAGTCTGGGCTAGGTCTTATTTTTAGCTTGTACAGAGTGAGGAGGTTATGTAGAGAAAAGTATTTCTTAGCCCTAAACAAATAGCCTAGCTTTTTCCCAGCAGCTGACGCTATTGACGAGATGTGCTCGTGCCAGATCAATAAGTCCTTGATGATCTGGACTCTGACCAACCTAAATAAACGGTTAAAATGGTAACCGGCAAATTATTTCACAGTACTTAGTCATAAAATATTTGTTTTTAAGATTTTTAACTGTTACCAATGGTAACAATGGTTACATGGACGCTTCGCCACTGTTTCACATATAATGGAGTAGATTATAATTTGATCTTAACGGAATAAACTCAGCTGTAATTTTCGGTCCGTTTACTGCTAATTATTGTTCTCAACAGTACCGGCAGACATACACAAACAGGTAGGTAGTACTTTGTTACATTCATTCATACCAGGCCAACTTCCTAGAACAGGCATTGACATGCTAATATTGTTTTTAGTACAATTTCATTGATCCTTTCGAGCCCATTCATATTTTGCCAAATACTTTTAGTAGGTAGTACAACATGTACCGCAGGTAAGATCTTGAGTAAATGGTATTAATTTTGGACTACAAAGGACTTTATGATTCTAATGACCGGTCGGCACGTTTATTGTGGGTTAAGCGATTGCTAATCCTTTCAATGTTTCCTTTCTTCCTTCTGTGGCTAAATTGTTTCGTTTCGTAGTAATGTGTAAGCGCCAAAGATCTTCATGTTTCTTCCGCCATATGGAGTAGCTACATATTCTTGCGACTAGCTGAAGAAAGCTGTGAAAGAAAAATATTATCGGGGACGCAACAGCAGTTTTTTATGCTCTGATCGACCTATCACGTTGCCACGTTTGCCCGAAGTATCGGGGAGAGGCGACGTTTCCAGGTGCACTGCCGGTAAGGCAGGGAAATAATGTCTATGGGGCCGTTCAAGTATTACGTGAGCACTATGGGGGGGGGGGGGTTCGGGGAGTCTTTGCTTTGCTTATTTTGGATGACATGGGGGGTAGGGGAGTCTAGATGATGATTACGTCATCGGTAGGTATTTACTTTTTTACACGAATGGCAACCCTCACATTGTCTTTGCTTGAAAATGAATCGCATTTTCGGCGATTCCCGCAAATAATGCATACGTTTAGTGAACAGCGCGGGGTAATTCCCCTACTCGCTTTAGAACCGAGTAGGGGAATTACCGCGCGGTGTTCACTTGTCTAAATTTCCTCTATCAGTGTATTGTTTCGTTTAGCATCTATTACACAGGGCGAGATTAGTAGTTACTCGTCAGCGAATTTACTCGCTGCTATAAAAGTCGTCAAATGTAATCGCAGCTGCTAGTAAACTCGCGGCTCGCTTTTTCCCAGCGAGTAAAGTTGAACACCGGCCTACTTTTCTCGCTACTCGCTCGCAATTTTTCACTCTGACGAGTGAAAACGCTATGTGTAATAAGCTAAAGTTGGATAAAATGGCCGATATAGTGCGTGTAGGAATTGTTTTTGTCAGCCTTTTAATTCGGAAAAAACTTCAAGAACGGTTAAACCAGAAAAAAAGGAAAGCGAGACGGATGTGGGTCAGGAATTGGATTTCAAAACGGGACACACATGGGGCTTCTAATATTTTATTAAGACAATTAAAGGATGAAGATCCTGTGGCATATAGGAATGTTTTGAGAATGAGCAATGAACAGTTTAATGTACTATTACAAATGGTTGACGAAACAATCCGCAAAAAAGACACAAAAATGAGGATGGCGATCCCAACTGCTACAAAACTAGAAATAACCCTACGCTTTTTGGCAACTGGTGATTCGTTCAAATCACTAGAATATTTATTTTGAGTGCCTGAATGTACAATTTCATTGTTTGTACCCGAAGTACTTGCAGCAATTTGTCAGGTCCTAAAGCCATATATAAAGGTAGGTTTAATTTAAGTATCAATTTATTTTTAACACAGTACTTATACTTATAAAACAAAATATTTTTATAATTATATGAAAAATAGAATCTATTTCATTGAGAAACTTCTTCTACTATTTCAAACTCTGCCCCCGAAAATGTATTTAATAGTGCTTGATGAATAACATCGTTACCATAAACGCTGTCTTTGTCATTTTGCACATTTGCTTCATATGTTGCTGATGAGGCAGGGCTGGGATCACTGGGGGAGGATAACAGTGAAAAAGTTTGCTCTTGAAGGGGCTCTCTGTAGTAATTATTTAGTTGATTATCATTTCCCAAACACATTAGCTTTACACGTGTAATAGAATTCTGAATTTCTTGCTGCAATAAAATAGCCTCACGTTGGGGTAATTGACGCAGCTCTGCAGCTACATACTTTCCAAATTCGTCGTACGGTTTTCCTTCTGATACATTTTCAGCTATTTTATTCAACTGACTGATTGCATCGCCAATTTCTGGATCTGCCTGTTTTCTCACCCTTTTTTTCGATTTAGGGGGTCCCATCCCCTCTGAGGGTTTTATATTTTGTTCCTTGGGCTGTGTATCGGGTTCTTCATCGTCACGCTGTTCAATTTGAGAATTTGAGATTTCCTCAGATATATTTTGTGTGCTGGGTAGAGTCTGAAAAAAAATAGAACAAATTTGTAAAGGTTTTTTTAACTTTTTGCTTGATTTAAGAATTGAACAAATTTTTTAAATCATATTTTTTTCTTGCAGATGTCTTCAACAAGCAATGAATGGAAACAAATTCAATACAATTTTTTCCTTCGTTGGAATTTCCCAAGATGTTGTGGAGCAATTGATGGCAAGCATGTTCTGATTAAAAAACCTCCCAAGTCTGGGTCAATGTACTTTAATTACAAAAAAACATATAGTATCGTGTTATTCGCAATGGTGGACGCAGATTATTGCTTTACTTACATTGATATTGGAGCAAACGGCCGAGCTAGTGGCAGTGCAATATTTAGAGACAGTACTTTGAACATAGCAATGCAAAATAACACACTTAACATGCCTGAAAATTCGGTCATTGTTGGGGACGATGCCTTTCCATTAAGAACCAACTTAATGAAACCCTACAGTAAATCACAGCTTAATAATACTGAAAGGATATTCAACTACCGACTCTCTCGCGCAAGAAGAGTATCGGAAAATGCATTTGGTATTCTTGTGTGGCGCTTCAGAATATTTTCAAGACCAATTCAATTAAAAGAAACTACAATTGACAATGTTATTTTGGCAGCATGTAGTCTCCACAACTGGCTGAAAAAAAGTAGCCCAAATACTTATTTTCCTGAAAATGCCGTGGATAGAGAGGATCTTAGCACGGGCAATATTACTTTTGGGCAATGGAGAAACCACGTGAATAATCTGCCAACGGTTAGTCATTTGGGAAGCAACAACTACAAAAATTCTGCAGAGGAAGTAAGACGCAAATACGCTAAGTATTTTATGGAAGACAATCCTTTACCGTGGCAATGGAAAAAAGTGGGATTGGAATTAGCTTGAACTATTTTTATATTTTTAAGTGATTTATTATTTTTCAAATTAATTCTGCTCAAAGTGGTAAAGAAAATTTAACTTTATTTGTTATGTATAATTTGCTTAAGTATGAACAAAAAATATATAGCTCTAAAATCTCCTTACCAAGTTTGAATTACTACGCCTTGTTGACAAAACTTCAGCGAAAAAATGGGCAGCTTCAAACCATGTTAGCTTTGGGGTATAAATATCCTCTGTTCCACAGCCACTTTTTTTGCTTCGTTCTATCTTGGCCAGTTCTTGACGAAACACATCTTATAAATTTTTTATTTTGTTTTTTAGTTGCTTTTCGTCCATTCCTTTTGAAAGCCCTTTATCCTCTAATTGCTCCCACATTTTCTTGAATAAAACATCTTTGAGTTTGATATTAACGCGTAATCTTTGTGTTTTATATTCCATAAAACGGGAAATTGTTCATAGACTTTTAAGAACTGTATAATTTGATTACTGTTCCATTTAACAGCCATTTTAGATTCTATTATCGCACAAAAGATACAAACTAAACACTTTTCAAAGGTTCAATACGATGCGAGTAAAGCGATTTTACTAGCGCTGTGTAATTTGCGCTCGCTGAGCTTGTTCTACTCGCTCATTCGCTTCTCGCCGGCGATCGGCTACTAATCTCGCCCTGTGTAATAGATGCTTTTGGATACTATAGCGAGTAGACGTATTGTAAGCATAGTAAAGCAAGTTAACATTTGTGTTACCATTGATTCCATTAGCCAAAGTTTAATGTTTAATTAAGATGTCGTTTCACATAGACAAATCCAAGTTATACCAAAAATTGTTTGAAAGTTTTAAAAAATCTCATACAAGTACGAAAGTACAAAATGTACAAAAGTTAGTTAACGAAGTGTGGCGAAATTACAAATTACAAGCAAAATCCGACAAGGAACTAGATATTATTGTATCTAAGAGAATCGAAGAAGAATTGCAAGCGGCGACTAAGAATAAATCCAATCCACTAAATTTTTTTTCTAAGGTGAGTGACGAAATCATTTTAGGTACCTATGAGTACTAGAAATATTAGAAATCCTATCTCAAAGTATAGAGGTAATATTCATTATATTATAGATTTATTTCTTATGATTGATTCCGTCAATTGGTCACAAAGTACAGGATATTAGTTTTATATATATATAAAAAAAAAGTGACACCCTGGAAGGTTCAAAACGCAGTTGGCCAGAAGAAACACAGGGATGGTATGAAAAGGAAGTTAGAAGATATTTGTCATGAAAATCCAGAAATAAAAAAAAACTATCTCCGACGGATTCAGTGGGACGTCCTAATCTTAAAAGCAATCAACATTCATTATTGAAAACAATCGCGGATATATACTAAGTGACATATAAATCCGAACACCCAGTTTAAATGGTTTTATTTTAATAAAATTTTGTATAAGTACTTAATGAAGCATAATAAGTAAATGATAAAAATTTCAAAATGATTGCACTGCTTTAAAGCCCTTTGACCTTTAATAATGTGTGGATGCACCCTGATGTGCTACGCATTCTCCAACGCGCCTAGGCATGCTTCTGATCAGGTGGTCAATGTCCTCCTGTTAAGCAATCTCCTATCCATCATATCCCACACGTGCTCAATTGGGGATAAGTCGGGAGATCTTGGTGGCCATGGTAACAATGTGACATCATTATGTTGAAAGAAGTCTATTGTGACTCTTGAAACATGTGGTCGGGCATTATCTTGTTGGAAAGTTGGATCTGCCAGGGTGTCAAGATAGGGTAAAAGATGGGGTTCTAGAACTTCGTGGATATAACGCTGCGCGTTCATGTTACCTCTGATGAAGATTAAAGGTGACCTGGAACCATAAGCTATAGTACCCCAAACCATAACTCCAACAGTGTGATGAACATGTCTTTCAACAAAAAACTGTGGATTCCTCCTTTCACCACGTCGCCTTCTAACCCTGGCACGACCATCGTGCATGCCTAAACAAAATCGAGACTCGTAACTAAAGACAATACTGTTCCATTCCTGATCCCAGAGTGACCGTTGTCTGCACCACTCAAGGCGACTACGTCGGTGTTCTCGAGTTAAAGGGAGGACCCAGTGTGGCCGGTATGAAAACAAGCCAAAACTTCTCATTCGTCGGTAAAAACTTCGCATGCCAATAGGTCTTCCGTGTTCTGCAAACCATTCATTTGCAATGGACCTGGTAGAGGAGAAACGGTCCCTTAAGGCCAATAATCTTAGGCGGCGATCTTCACGGTCTGTTGTTCTACGACGGCGTCCAGTGCCCCTTGCTCTTTGCGTACGGCCTTCTCGAAGCCATGCCTGACAACACCTAACCACAGTGTCTACACTTCTTTGCACTCTAACTGCAATTGCCCGAAAAGAAAGTCCAGCTTCCCGAAGTCCCACTATACGGCCCCTATCAAACTCACTAAGTTGACGAAATCGTACAGGTCTCCGTACTCTAGGCATCGTAACCGATCGTAAAGGATGTCAAGAACCAAAATCCGCCAACGTTGATTCTTTACTGCGGCTGAAATCTTCATTTTTAGAGCGTTAGTGAATTAAAAAAAGCAGTATAAAAACCGGAATGTCCAACTGATCAGACTGAAAATTTTTTCACTTGTTATTTACAGTAAGATAAATACATTCACAAACTTTTATTAAAATAAAACCATTTAAACTGGGTGTTCGGATTTATATGTCACTTAGTATAGCTTTATTTGGGAGTGCAGCAGATGATAAAAGACGAACGGAATCAATTCGCAGCGTAAAAACTCTTGATGAACTCACACAAGAACTACGTAAAATAGGATTTGACATTAGTCGCAGTGGGACATATTTTCGTTTGATTCCCAGAAAATCTAATTCTGCAGAGGGACGAAGACAGTCCCTGTTAAGCTCATTCGGGCTCAAACTGATCACCACAAGAGCCACTTAGATAGCAAGTTCGCTGAAACATCAATCCATTATTTAGAGAACATAGCATCCATACTTGGACCAGATCAAGTATTTTTCATATCTCAAGATGATAAAGCTCGAGTCCCTATTGGCGTAACTGCGGCAAATAAGCAAGCACCTCTTCTAATGCACATGGAATATAGAATCAAATTGCCTGATCACGATTGGGTAATCGCTGAGCGTCAAAAATTAATACAATCTGTTTATGCTGGTATCAAAATCACTTCCAATATGCTAGGATAACCGCAAGCCGTTGGATATTATGGACCAACATACATCGCTATTCGAAGTGGAAAGCATAGTTCATCTACTGCTAATACTCATGCTCAGGATTTCGAGACGCTTCTCGAACTTGAAGAGTTTCGACCGTTAGTTAAAACTGACCATGGACTAGTAAAACCAGTGGTAATCATGACGGTTGATGGAGGGCCAGATGAAAATCCACGATATCAAAAAGTCATAGGGTTTGCTATACAACACTTTAAGCGATATCATCTTGATGCATTGTTTTTCGCTACCAATGCTCCTGGAAGAAGTGCGTGTAACAGAGTAGAGCGCAGAATGGCTCCTCTTAGTCGGGAACTGGCTGGTTTAATATTGCCTCATGACCATTTTGGATCTCATTTGGATGAACGTGGCGTTACAATTGATGAACATTTAGAAAGATCTAATTTCGAATTTGCAGGAAATGTATTAGCTGAAGTATGGAGTTCAATGGAAAATGGTGGCTATAATGTTAATGCAAAATATGTTGGAGCAGGTGAACAAGATCTTCCTGATTTTCCAGACATTAAATGGTATTCAGAACATCTGCGTGAGAGCCAATACTTGCTTCAAATTGTAAAATGTAGAAATACAGAATGCTGTCGTCCAAGAAGTGGCCTATTTAGATTACTAGACAATAGGTTTCTTCCACCACCTGTAAAAATAAAACAAACAGTTGATGACTTGGTTTTGGATGAAGGAGGGCAATTTCTTAATCTTCCAGTCAATTTAGCTCTCCGCTTAAGTGCTTCACTCAAAGATTTCCTGCAAATGCCCTACGATTATTTTTGTCCGACGGTAAAATTGAGGCTATCAAGTCGAACATGCAAAACGTGTGGTCTTTATCATGCTTCCGTCAAGTCACTAAATCGTCACATCGAAAATATCCATAAAAAAGTAAACACGCACATTGATAGGAAAGTTAGACCTGTAAGAGTCGCTGCTCGTCGTGCTAATGAACTGATGTCCATTATTCAAAATTAAGAGCACCATGATGTTGAATGGCTCGATGAGAACGACGTAGACATTACAAAATCCGATGAAAGCGACCAAACTCACAACACTGAGCAGCAATCGAAGCAAGCCAATGTCATCGAAAACGTAGAATCATCGATTCGGGTTTCATGGACTGAAGACTTAATTTGAATTTAATATATATATTAAAATTTAAAATAAGTTTGTTATGTTAGTATGATAAAATATTTTTGTCCTTTACTCTATGTTGAATACCGTATCAGTAAAAATTATAACGTTATAATTATAATATTAAAAAAACAATACATTAATTGACAAATGTTTACGTAAGCATGGGGGGAGGGGGTAAGAACTTTGCTTACTTTTTCTGACAAGGGGGATGGGGGGGGGGGGGGGGGTAAATAATTGTAATAAATCTGCTAACGTAATACTTGAACGGCCCCTATGGACTTATTGTATGGACCTGTTTGACTGACTTTTTTCTCAGAGAGTCTAGTTTGTGCTGAACATATTCCCCTATGTACTGATAGGGGCATTGCGTGGGAAGTGCAGAGTCAACCTACTTGACGCCATTTTTTATGGAATTTTTAATTATTCATTTCTTTATACAACTTCGACTGGTTCTATTATAAAAACATACCTATAAAACAAGGTTGGAGATTAAACCAGACATGAACACAGATTTTTTGCACGGAACCTCACTTAGGTCTACAAAAATAATTTCTCTGGAATAACTTGGACGTAAGAAAGCAGAGTGACACTTAATTGGTGGCGAGATGTAGAAAGTGTAAAGCCATGCCATATAACATATAACTATGCTGTAGCCTATTTGTAATTCGTTATCATTTAAATGCTTCTCTGACCCACAATTGATGCAATATGTATATGTGATTTGCGACAAAATTAACCGAAAAATGAGACGTTTACATATGAGATAAAAAACTGCTCAATGTATAGTGTCTCACATCATTTTGAATGTATTTGTGATGATTCTCATTTTCGAAGTTACAATAAAGACGTGAACAAGTTAGTAACTAATAATTCCAAATTTTCTTGTATATCTTAAATGACAAATCAGAAGTTTTAAAAACACAAAAAAATTTAAAATTATATAAAAGGCTTAGTCAACACAGAAAACATTTGAACTTAGCGGATGTGTCAAATTGGGACATTGGAAAATCTGCACTTTTGAATGTATTTAACTCGAAATCTGTTTTCCGGTCCAGACGACGACCTCTGCTTGTGAGTCAACCTACTACACACTCCATTGCTTTTCTATGCAACCTCCAGAGATTTCAGGCCGACTATACAATGTTTCAGACGAACGACGGAGCTTTTGATCAGCATGTAATGCTCTGCACATTAGAAGCAAGGGTATCAGTTATATGTGTACCTGACAAGATTACAGTTAGGGATAATTATCTTCAAGGCGGAAAGACTTATCTGAATTTTATGAATAAATTGCTACCCTTAGTAGTATTACGTTCGACCTGAAGGTATTTACGAACGAACTTTACACCTTTTGTTTACGAGTATTAGATTATCCTTCCGAAAAGTGGGGATTCCCAAATAAGGCAGGAACTGTCGGATTCGAGATCATTCTTAGGCGACGAAGTCATTAGGGTGT